TCAAAGGTTTACAGCAGCAATTTAGCAACATTTGGAATGTTTTGGTGGCTAATATTTGATAGCAAACCTCAACAACTCGCCAGGAATTCTGCCTTCATCTGAAATAGGTTAGGTTTTTCAGTTTTTCAGTGGAAGCAACAAGAAAAGTGAGAAATTAAATAGATTCAACTCATGCCTTGGAAAGGGGGAATATTCAGATGTGACCACTGATAGGCTACGGTTCTAATTCAGAGCTGTAATTGGACTGTAGATGGTAGTGAGCACCGTTTCAGTGAGGACAAATAAGGAACTAATGAGAGCCATGAAGTGAAAATGAGAGATAAAATGATGAAAAGAGCCACGTGCCATCAGCAGGTCTGAGCGGGGTACAGGAGGAGCAAGAGGGAGGGGAAGAGAGACTGAAACTTGGCCAACCATTTTGTTGATCGCCTAAACAAATCAATCAAGGCCCGCTGGAGCACTCTAATTGAATTACACAAATGGGACTGATGGGGGTGGGGGACCTGGAGTTGGGAGGGACGTACACATGGTAAAGCTGCTGTGAAGCAGCGAGTGGGGTGGGCAGATCACAGCCTCAGGCGCTTCCTGGTCACACTAGTTCCCTCTCCAACTTTCCTGTTAGTGTCTCATCATTCAGTTGTCGCCTCATGTGAAGTTGTTCTTCAAGAAAGAACATTTAAAAAACACCTAGCCCATGTCATGAAGTACTGTAGATAAAGATTTTCACACAAATTTAAAGTTTTGCAGTATTTTCTGCATATAAAGGTTGAAATTTAAATTGAATAATTTATTTAAAAAATAAAACACATCTGTCAGAAGCGTTTGTTGAGCCGTGACACCATCAGATCTGTCTGCAGAACCCAGAGCTGTTAACCTGGGCAGCTGTCATGGCTGGGACAAATGTCCCAGCCTCACTGGCCATTACAGCCCTCTCCATTGAGCGGATGAAGGCATTAAACCCACTGCAAGACAGCTATGAGTGGGTAAGAGTGGAGGCTGAAGGATGGGAGTGTTTGTGGTTATTCTGACTGAGATGGAGAGTGTCTCGTTCATGTGGGAGATGAGGTCATTGTTACTGGGGAGTTTGTTTACCTGAATTGATGTTTAGATCTTTTAGGAATAGCAAATAAATGTTTGTTTCATTTTTATCACTTTTCTGATTCAAGAAACAAATTAGAGTAGCAAATTTATTACTGATGCTCAGTGTAGCCGACGTAGGTGAACAGAGCCGTGTCTGTCAATATTTCACACTTTTGAGTAAAATTTGCTTCAGAAAAAATTAGTTTCTGCATTTAATAAACCCAGTTTTATAATTAGATTTTTATCAATGATTGGTTTGTTTTGTTTATTTTAAGGATGTGCATTTTACACATTCCAGTGCAACAGTAGGCACACGGTATGATAAAATATTACCGTTGTAGTCATCCCCAAAATCAAGCAAACCCAGGCTTGTTTGTAGTCACTGAGACTTTAGTTGTTTATAATAAGACATAATGTCTCTAGAACAGGACAGCATCCCACCAGGTCCCATGTTGGACTCACTTATTAAGCACAGTTGAGACATGTTTCTTTTATTTTTTATTTCCTTGAGCAGCAATAAAAATTGCTTCTTGTCGTCGAGCCTTTCTTTATCGGTAAACACTCATGGTGTGAACAGACACAGTGGATGGTTTATTATGTTCATGAAAGATAATTTTAGCATTTATTCATTTTCTTATGATCTCTCTTTTTCTGATAAAAAGAAAAGAATAAATAAAATCTACTGACCACATGTGCTCTGGTTAGCCACAGGCTGCCAGAGGAGACGGAACGTAATTATGCAAAACACCGAAAGACTAGTCACTTTAAAAAAAGTGAGACGGGGACAAAGAGAGGTGGCTGAACACATATTTATGCTGTTTTTGGAGATATGGGATTTCAAGAAAGACTTGTTCTTAGTAATTTGTTGCAATTTACTAAATTCATCAGCCTTGAAACGGAGTGTTTTCTTCACTCAGTTATTTATGTTAGTAGATTGGGTCGTTTAAATGTACTTTTTAAGATTAAAAAGAAAAATGGAAGAAGGGGGTGCTCATCTCTAGTCCTTCTATCCTATCTTCGTTCCATATTCATTGCCTTGTGTGTTTTTTCACCACTCCACATTGACTCCACTGGCTAGAATATTTAATTCAATTCAATTTCAATTCAAGTTTATTTATATAGCGCCAAATCACGACAAGAGTCGTCTCAAGGCACTTCACTTAATAAAAATTCCAATTCAGGTCAGTTCATTAAGCCAATCAGAAATAATGTTTCCTATATAAGGAACCCAGCAAATTTCATCAAGTCACTGACTGGTGTCAGTGACTATACAGCAATCCTCATACCAAGCAAGCATAAAGCAACAGTGGAGAGGAAAACTCCCTTTTAACAGGAAGAAACCTCCAGAGAATCCTGGCTCAGTATAAGCAGCCATCCTCCACGACTCACTGGGGATCAAGAAGACAGAGCAGACACACACACACACACACACACACACACACACACACACACACACACACACACACACACACACACACACACACACACACACACACACACACACTGAAGCTAGTTTGGGTTAAAAACATAGTGACCACGTCTTTGTAAAAAAATAAATAAACCATCAAAGAAACGAGCCTGACATTTATTTTGTAATTGGAACTCTTAAATATATGCATAAAACTGTGCCTTTGATGACAACAAAAGCAGCTTCAGAAAATGTGCAGAATTCACTGGAGGAAGCCAATCTGACAAGCCACTGGCAGAAGATCCTGGAGCTGTCCACCTGGAGCTGAACTTCATACAGTTCTTACCTTGTGGTCTCAGCTTCTGAGCACATTCCAACCCACCTGCCACCATGCAGGCGTTCGCTGTTCCAAGCGCACATCAAACAGATCCAAATCAGATGCTTGCTTAAAGCCAGAGCAAAAAAACTGCACCACCTGCACTCTGCAGGCAGATATTTTCATTTGGTTCAAGGGCAATGTGCCAGAAACTGAGCCTTCTGAGTGACGAGGATGATCTGAGCTGAAAAGAGAAATGAAGAGAAAGTAAAGACTGTTATTTAAAAAAATGAGACCACTACAGATTGTTTTGCATTCAGCTTTGTTTTCATTCTTACTTTATTGGTGCAAACCCCAAGCTCCAAAATACTCTTCCCTCTATCAGGCCAGTGAAAGCATGACTAATCTTTATAATTAACAAGGATCGATTGTCTCATTTGTAGATGAGCGTAAACATGTGATTTGACCAACGTTCCGGAGTAGTAGCCGTGTTCAACATTGCGTTTGCGTGCAGATGTGATGGAGAAGGTTCTGGTGCAGAACAAAGCATTCGAGGCAGCTGCTGGTATATTGATGCTTCCTGGCTAAACGCTAACAAGCGACAGTGCCGTGTTTGTCAGAGAGACCCGGGTTACAATCTGTCTGCTGAGCCAGCCAGAAGCCCTAATGATACCATCAAGAAGTGCCGTCAACAGCGCTCTAACGAGGAACGATCTGACGCCTGGTGTTTCACCTCCCTCCTTTGTCCCCGGCTCACTTTTCTCAGCTTTGCAGTTGTGCACCGATGCAGTCTGGTCCTGCATACGCAAAATCTGCCAAAAGATATGAAACGAAATGCGTGTGTATGTGTGGGAAAACAACAGTGACCAAATGGGTAAAGTGAACAAAAGATGCATGTGAGTAGTAATTAAAGGGCAGCATGTTTTTAATCTTGATTTATGCACAGTAGAAGGACTACTTCCCATGAGACATGTGGCTGCATCGTGTCAGTGTTCCTGTCCCCCCCACGAACCACCTGTCCTCTGCACACATAGACTCCCCCGCTGAGGATGGTGGTTTTCTAATTTCACCTACTTTACAAAATGTTCTCACCATTCCCATTCAATTACATTTCATTACACTCCTATCGTCATCCTGTGGCTGCTTTTAGCAGATGGTCTCAGTTCTTAGAGAAGTTACACGCTGCAAATACGGTGCGACAGATTCAGTTCACATTTTGATTTATTTAGCTTGTTCTCTTTTTGTCAACTGGTGGTCGAGGCCGGAGTGGAACTCTAGGCATGCCTATCTGTGTATGATTTCTGGGAGAAATGGCATTATGAAACAGCCACGAGAAATTCAGAGAACCTACCGTTTAGAGGGTTCCAAAAGGGTCCAAGGGAAGGCAACTGGACTTCTTTGGTTTCTTGAAGATGTTTCGCTTTTCATCCGAGAATCTTTGTCAAGTCAGACTAAAATATGAGAGTCAAACTTATAAACTGTAGCTGTCTGTTGTTACTTAACAAGCTGAAACTACCTATGAGTACCATCAAACCATTTATGAGAGTGGCATAAAGGAAGCCATCTATGTCACCTTTCCAGCACCTATAATGCAGCTCTAAATCTGACTCGGTTTCAGTCTAGGTCTCACCCTTCTGCATCTAATCAAAATAACCAGTCTAACACAATAGGGCCTAATGACACAGATGGCACCTCAGGGGATAGAAAGGGGGTATTTATAAGTAATTTCAGCTCGTTGAGCAACTACAGCTAGAGTTTAGAAGGGCGACTCTAGCTTATTCCAGTTAGAATCGAAAAAGTGCCTTGAAGGAGAAGCAAAACATCTTCAAGAAACCAAAGAGGTCCAGTTGCCTTCATTGATTGACCTAGATGACTGAGAACCTTCACCAGCAAACTTAGAGGATTGTTTTACTGTTTCCATTCACAGTCAGGTTGACTAATCCTAGCTTTCCTGCGTTCTTTCTCTCCTTTTTCTCTGTTTCTTTCCCCTCCTGTCTTGTCTTTGTTGGATTGTGTCATCTCCCCAGGTGCCTTGCAGATTGAGAACAGTGAGGAGACGGACCAGGGGAAGTACGAGTGCGTGGCCTCTAATGTGGAAGGCGTGCGCTACTCGTCCCCCGCTAACCTTTATGTGCGAGGTAGGGAACAACCCGGTCCCAGAACCGGGCGAAAACAGGAATAAAGCACGAAAATACCCTCTAACCATTCTAAATAAAGTGTTAACACGGTACAGCTTTGCTTTAAGTAGCATAATTGTTGATCTTAGCAGTTGCTTCCATTCAGTCCCATCCTAGTCTAACCATATTTTCACTAACTGTTTTGCAAAACTAAAACCTAAGTATAAAAAACCTTTCCAATGATAGCCTTGCCTTCCCATAAATGTAATTTCTTATGCACTGAAACATCCGAATGTAAAACTTGAATCTGACCAACTAACGTTCTTCTCTGTTATGATGTTATGCTCCATTTTGTCTTTCAACGCCCTCCCCTACTCACTTGGAAGGAAATGTGTAGCGCAACAAGCCGTACGTCTTTATCGATTGAAAAGACCTTTAAATGTTTCCCCTAGACGGCAAAGTTGGAACCCTAAAAGAGTTTGAGAAAACTTATTTTTTTATGAGTTTTTGTTACAGGTGGAGCACAACGGTAAGTCTTGATTTTGATTGAGTGGCTAGGTAGTATTGCACACCAATCAAAATCTCTCCTCCTTTAGGCCTTCTCTGTACGGGGGAGGAAACCCAAAAATAATTTGTGGTTTCACATACACACACACACACAAACACACACACACACACACAAACACACACGATACACAAAATATCTGTTGCATAGATTAGAAATAGTCCACTTCCTCTACGTCTCTCCTCATGCCGCACTGGAGCATAAATCCATAGTGTTTCCTCATTTCTGCCCTGGTGTATTATCTTTAAAGGCCTTTACAGTCAGTAGTTATTCTGGCTGGCATGCTTCAGCCAAGTGAAGATATTTAAAAAAAACAATCAGTCAAAGGGAGAAAAAAGAGTTTTATAGGAAAAATACAATAAAGACAAAAGCCTATCCTCCACCACTAATGCTAAATGACAATGAATCCCCTTTTTGATGGAGCTTTAATAAATTGAAGCAGATGCATTTTTGGCATGCATTATTTATATTGTGCATATTAAATAAAGATGCCTCGGTATCTACTCAGTTTGTTCCCTCTGCTGTGTACCAAATAACTTTGTTCCCAATAAATAATTCACTACTCTGACATTATAAAATGGGTCAGGGAGCTGCATTTTCATTATTATTTCTATCATCATACTCAGTGAAACAGAAGCACAGAGACAAAAAACTACCGTGGGAAGCCGAAGGTTTAGAAGTCAGGATCGGTGAGCGTTGGCAGCATTCATCCTGGAGCTGTGATTCAGTCCACCTTGTTTATCGGTAGAAGATAAACGCTTTATTAGAAAAGATGGTCAGAGTTTCTGCAGCTTTATTGGTGCAGCACCGGGACGTTTATCAGCTGTTTTGCAAAACTAAAATAAAACATAAGACCGACAGGTATAACTTTATAGTTTCCAACAATCCAACCAGTTTTCCATAAACTCCGGCTCCACAAGCTTGCATTTAAAAGTGCACACGAGGTTCATAACTACTCAAGTTCCTTCACACTTCGTAACACTCCTGTTATGCTGTGATGGTGTCAACCTTTGTTTGTTTTCAGTTGAACTTTTGTCGACTTATTCTGATACTTGATGTTTACTATGTTTTGTTCAATAGGCAAAATGCACTTGAGATTAGCAGCTGTGGTGGTCGTCATTTTGAATGGGACAAACTGGAATGTAACTTTTACTGAAACGTACTTAATCATGATGAAAATGTCGCTGATTGGCCTCTGAAAGTTTTTCCTTTAACAGTCTTGAACTGCAGCTGCTAATTTTCTCCCAAACTGTGTCTTTATTTATTTTTCTTTTCAATTTCTCATTAGTTTTTTTTTTTTAGTTCCTCTTGATTTGGTTTCTTTTTCTACTAAAAGCAAAATACGGCCACCACAGGAGCGCTTTCATGTGGCCATAAGAGGCTTGTAAACATTTTGAATTATAAGTATGGTACACTTTATTTCACTCCAGTGGCGCCGCACTACTTTTTTTTTTTTTATTTTTTTTTGTAATCTTTCTTTTTTAACCAGCGATCGAGCAGCCACTGGGGTGTATCTGATTGTTTTGGTTTAAAGTTTATTTGAAAGGGGAGGGCAGGCAAGTGTACGTTGAAGATGGGTGTCATTGATAGCAGGGACAAGGGAAAGAGAGGAAGACAAAAGAAAGGAAAAGGGAAATGTAGCTGCAGCTAAACACCTTGAGGTGGCTTTTTTTACTCTCTCTGTGTTTCCCCTATTTTTCTCTTCTCCTCATGTCATTGTGTTCTGCATCAACCCCTTTACATCCCTCAGAGCTTCGAGAAGGTTGGTGTGTTTTTTCTTTTTTACTTTTTTTAACCCACATTTGAAAAGAACAATCAACATGTTGAAAAATTTTAGCTGTATTTGCATTTTGCAGAGCTCGATAAATCACTAATCTGAAAGTAAAAAAAAATCATCCAAACTGCTAAATGGATATAAAATATATATTTTTTATTTATCTCCAAGGAAGAAATGATGAAAGCAAACCCAATTAGCTCGGGTCTTGTTAACTTACTTTTATGTTTGCATTGTGGGGCCTTTTCACGTTTTGCATCCTTTGGTATTGCTTCTGCACCTACAAAGCTTTGTTGCATGTGTTGCCATGGAAATCCAGCATGTGAAAATAACAGGGCCTGTTGCATGATGGGAGAATGTAACTGCGCTTGCATGCTTTTGCAAAATCCCTTTGGCCCCATTGGTCCTTTTACTTTTGCATTCCCCATGTTTTGTTCAGTTGTTTGTTTGTTTGTTTTTTCCTTTTTCTGGGTGTTTGTCCTGAAACTCACCACAGTTGGCTTTCCTTTTATTTTACGTTGATTTTTGTGTTGTGGTTGTGGTGTTCATGTATGTTTTTGTTTGTTTGTTTCAGTTCTGTTTTTTTTTTCTTAAAGCGTTTGTTATTCTTGTGTTTCACTAATTTGTTAGAACTCCGTTTAATTTGGACTCTGATGCTGCTCTGCTTCTTGAATCTTGGAGTGCAATTGCCGAATGAAATGAGTGTGTATGCAGCCAGTGTTCCTGCCATCCTGGGATTCCTTACTGAAAATATTGAACCCAGTTGGGTTCCATGGTGATTTCAGACAGCCATTAAGGAAGGCCATTTACAGTGTTGTGCAGATCAATATCAATATAATGACTTAAATATCCCATTTGCTGTTGCTAAATGCAGTTGCATTTGTTGAATGATTGCTGGTTGTGTATTCTCACAATCATTCCTTAAATTCACAAACATGCACTCATAAAACAGAACAGAATTTTTAGGAAAACCCACAAAGTTGTAGAAGTATGTTATTTTTATAGTAGATTCTGCTAAATAAATTGGACAATAATGTAAACTTAGCTGAATATAATGTGTTTCACCTGGTTTTGTAAAGTAATCTTGTTTTCAGAAAGCCTGAATATTTACCAGCTCCACTAGTTTTAAAGCTGAGCCTTGCTTATAATAAAGGTACCAATAGACAATTTCCATAACGGATCAGATCATTTATTTATTTATTTATTTATTTATTTATTTTTCGGGTTTGGACTTGAGGTTAGTTGTCATTAAAATGTTCTCATTCCTACAGGTTTAAACTAATTAAAGGGTCACCTACATCTTGAAACCAGACATATTTAACTCTATTTTTTGGTATGCTGATGTTAGAGCATTGGAAATTGGCTATTTTACTGCACATTCAACTGATTAATACATATTTACTTTAGTAACAGCAATTATTGAATACAAAAACTTCAGCTTGGTCTTAAACTGTGATTTATTTGTGTGTTTTTCTGGATTTCTTTAGCCACACGTGTGATTTCAAAGCCAGGCGTTTGACTAAGACGTCACCCTTTATATGATCAAGCAGTTAGTCCACACACGAGAACCAGTGGCCTCCAACAAGCTATCAAAAACATAGTTCCTCATAGATAATGTCCAGAATGAACCTAAATCATAACTTAACACTATTTTGTCAGATTTCAGGCATGATGCAGAAAAACTGTGCTGTCACATATGCATGTGCACGTTCACCCTCCTACTATGAAATGTGCTCGTTTGTGAATGTGCTTGCATGTCTTGCCATGCATTTATGTGTGACGTTGGGAAAGAAAGCTAGATTACACCTTATGTCCTCACTGGCCAAAGCAAAGCCCTGCCATCTCTATTAGATGTTTGCCTTAAGGAGTCTGGAAAATATTAGCCAACTTCTAAAAAATACGACGTTTGTTTTGTTTTTCTTTCCAGAAATGCTTTATGTTTTATCACCTTTTCTACTAATACTAGGGTGTAAAGGATGCTCTGTCCCCAGTCAGACTGATAGTATGTGCTGAAACGCTCACGGACACAGGGGACCGTCTTTGCAGTATCATTTGGCTGCTTGTCGTGTACCTGTAAGACGAGAGAACAAAGTGATAAATACTGAAATCCCCTGAATAGAATGCTTGCTCCTATTAGATACCCCTGCTACGACTCCTGTCAGTTTCCTTTAGGTAATAATTTTCATTTTGATGAGCCACCCATAGTGACTGTTTAGTGTTGGCACAGCCAAGGTATGTTAATACAACCAACCCCCGCGGCTCAAGTGTAAATGCCGCAGGACTCTCCCAGCGAGTGTGACTAAAAGATCTCTATACTGTGCCTGTGTCTTCAGGCAGCAAGAGGGTGTAATCTCCGCTTCAAGGTGACACTAAAGGCTGCACATTATTTTGGCTTCCCTCCCTTATTTCGGGGCAGTAAAAAAAATCTGCCTAAAATGGCCAATAATGTCCACCTTCTGACCTCTGTTTTTGGGCACAAATCCCTCGACACCGCTGCCCACTATTAGAGTTAGTGCTGTACTCTGGCATTCTCTCTCGACTGCTTCCCACCTCGTCCAGTGCACGGCTTCTTGTCTTTCTCTCCACATTGGGGCTAGAAACAAGATAACCATAGAAAATGTTAACGTCTGGTTTGTTTCTCTCCTCTCAATTCCAAATGGGCCGGCTGGGCTCCTGGTCTCTGTGAATGAGGACCGTGTCCATGCAGTTGGGATTCTTTAATTCATTGTTTTCTTATTCTTTTCCCTTTGTTTTAATGATGGTGCAATTTAAGATGAGAGGGTCATCTTTACATACACATAGCTGACTGTCTAGGCTTTCCAAACCATTGACACAATCATCATTCAGATCTTTGTCCAGTTACAGTGTTGTGAATCATTTACACGTGATAATGACATGTAGATGCAGAGGTTCCTTAGTTTTGTTATGGCTTTTAGGATCTCTAACCTGTATAGAGTGTAGAATAAACAGTTTCCATCCAGGGTTGTAATAAACAATTTAGAATTTCCAATTGGAGATGTAGAGTACACTTTCTCCATATTTCATTTCTCCATCTAACTGTTTTGCATGTTACAGTTTTATACTAGATTCTCTTGTGTTTAAGTCTTAAGCTGTATTGGCTCAGTGAGTTTTATGATTCTAACTTTTTGCCATAGCCCAGGGATGTCCAAACGTTTCAAGATGAGGGCCAAAATCATGAAGTTAAATCTCCTCACGAGCCACAAAAATGTTATTACCTTTTTTTTTTTTAAAGAACGCAAACATAATTTTATATTCGTCATTTGTTCTGCTCAAAAAGGCCTAAATAAAAATACTAGTAAAAAGGTGAACATAAAATATTAAAATATGTGAATTTACATCAACAGCCTCCTGGAGAGACTTAATTCCACAACTCTAAAATCGCTAACTAGGACCGTGCAAAATCACTCCGAGGGCTGCAAATGGCCCCCGGGCCGCACTTTGGACACACCTGCTTTAGCCTAATACTTCCCGTGTTTGTCAAGTAATTTGGTTTTAAGCCCCCCCTTGTCCTTGAAACGATAGGTTTCTGAAGATAACTAGAGACTAATTCCTGTGGGGAAACCTCATTCACTTAACCATTTCAGCTCCCGGTCCATTGGCTGATCAGAGCCCCAGGGAGAGAAGATCGGCCCTCAAAAACTTGGATTGAAAGTTTCCCCCAAAAAAGTCCACATTGACTCTGTTTAGTTCTCGCAACCATTTTGAATTGGACGATCCATTGAAGAGACAAACGGAAGCTGAAAAACATCTAATAGTAGTGATGCAAACCTTTTTGTGAACATAGCTGCACTCTGGTCCTGTCTTTGTTGTCCGGGTGGAGTTTGTTTTTGTGACTTTGTTCAGTTTCATTTGTTTCATTTGATTTTTTGTGAGTGTGTGTCTGAAGCAATGCTATATTCAGTAATAAATGGCATGCTTGGATGGGCTTGGGTGACATTTTCTGGATTGTATTGGTTCTCTGGTGTTTGCTGAAGTGGATGAGGGCGCACCTTTGTACGCCACTCATGCCAAAGCCACACCCATGCATGTCTGTGTGAGGAATGGGCTGCCCTTTCACCTTTGTTGATCAGGTTGTTTTTCTGTGAAACAGTAACTCAGTTATTTTTTGCACTTGTAGGACATTTTTCTTTTCATCTTTTCTTAGGATGTCTTCTGGCGTCATTAAATGATGAAACTAAGATATCTCAAATGAAAGGTCCTTTTTTTTAGGAGCTATTTTTGCCCCCAACTTAATTAGACTGTTTTCAGATGCACAGTTGACCATTTTTCTTCTTGATACATTTTTGCTATGTTCATATGTTTTTGGTTTCTTTTTTCTTGTTTTTGTACCACAAATTCCTCAAAGGTCAGCTCTGAACTTTTTGCCCTCAAGGTCAGGTCATGTTTTGCCCCCGAGTGGCAAAGTAATGGACATTAACAGTTGATAATTGAGAGTATGCATACAGAGTAGTTCAGAGGATGACAGATCAAAAACACCAGCTGTGGTCCCCATCTGAGCTCCACTGGCCTTGTAAGTAAAGCTGACCAGTGTGTGGTGTAGTCTCTTTAGATGCAAAGCAGAATGCAGTTCCTGTGGCTGAATACGAATTGGCTATTAAAGAAGAAAAATGACACTAAACATCTTTTAAGCCCTTGGAAATGACGTAGTTTTATTTATTAGAAAGCTTTCACCCCTGCAGCAAGAATGTCTATATTTGCTGTAATAAAGCATCATATTACGTGTCAGCTCTCAGGTAAAGACATGTTTCTGCATTAGTTTTGTGGAGAGAATTAAAGCAACGATCATATGAATCCCATTTGGATCGACACGGTGTGTATTGGGATCCTAGCGTTCCTTGTGAACCCCCCCCCCCCCCCCCCCCCCCCTTTGAGTCTTTCTCCAGATCCCTGCCTCTATCCCGAATTTCTCCTTTTATAAAGCCATGTGACGTCCACCCACCCATCCAAAGATTTGAGTCACATTTGCACTCAGCTGCAATGTTTAAGGTGGAGAGGAGGGAACATGTACCCGATTCTTGATTTTAAGCCCCAGTGTGTGAGACCTCCAAACCAACTTTTAGCCATGATTTTTCTTGTCTCTTTTTTTATTTACAATCACATAAACTTATTCTATCCCCCACAAATATCCTTCTTCTCCTTCCCCTCTCCTTCCAACAACCCAAAAACCTCCCCTTCCTTGTTGCGTATTGTACAGTATGTCTGCGTGTCCATCCTTTTTCCTTTGTCGTGTCTGCTGTCTTGCTGCTCGGGTCTGTTTAACTCCTGCATTGTGTCTTGTCTCTCAACCCTTTCTTTCCTGTTTTGTCTGTCTCTAAAGTCATCTCTTCCATTTAGTTGATCATATTTTGACTTCTACATCTTTACTACTATCCTTTTCTCTTTTTAACCTCTGCATCCCAACAAACATTTTGACGTTGAATAAATAGAGCTGGGCTCCTCGGGAACCGACTTTTACATTTAGAGCTAGTCCGTATGTTTAGCCTGTGATGTATCTGGGGTGTTTGAAGATGTTAAAATCATTTAAAATATTACTTTTTGTATCACATTTTAATGTACCAAAGAACGTGTTGCTCTGGTGAGCACATAGCAACACTTAACCTAATGCATAATAATTAGGAAAATGTTTAAATGCACTTTAATTGTGCTTTTGATGTAAATAAAGACTTTTGAAAGACTTTTTCAGGTAAGCGCCGTTGTTGGCCACCTCTAGCTGTCATGTGCTTGCTGGGATGCCTCTCATGAACACAATTTAGTTATTCTCTTCAGCTCAATCATACTCTTTCACTCTAACTTTGCATACTGTACACACGCACATGCCTACACCAATGCAAGAAGTGTACATTTATATGTAAAATAAGAAGCATACACACCTGCGCCACATTCTTCCTCTGCGTCTCAGACTGTTTATCCTCCCTCTTGAACATCCAGCCCTATCCATGACTTTAGAGGTTCTCCCTGTCTACCTCTTGTAGCTGGCATTCTGGCCGTGTTCATCCCTTTACCCTTTCCTTCCATCTCTCTGATTCTCAGAGTTTCTACTCACTGTTGATCCAGTTCTGTTTCTTTACTCCTACACTCTGTGATAGTTAGTCTTTTTAGCTCTGACTGCTATAATTTATTTATTTTCTCTGTGTATTTCTAGGCACACTCCTTGTTCTTCAGTACTTATTTTGTGTTATCCGGGACTGCGATGTGACAATGTGCCATCATCACATTTAGTCACATTAGCTGAAGAAAAGCAAAAGTTTACACAGCACTGAAACGGGTTACCCCCTGCCCCATTCCCCCTCCTCCAACCTTCCCTGCTCTCTTTCTTCCTCTGTCACTCTTTGGTTCTCCGTTCTCCTCCTTTCTCTCCTCTCCTCAGTTCCTCTATCTTGTACTTCTGTTTTTCCTCTCCAGTCGTCTTTTGTCTGGGCATGCAAGCGACCCTTCAGTTATATTCCTCTATGCATTTTATCTCAAGTTTTATATCTGATTTTCTTATCATTTACTCCTTAATTTACCTCGATCTATTTATGCATGCTGTCTGTGAAACTGATAGCTGCATCTATCAATGGAACCGTGTCAGATCTTAATAAGGCTTTGTCCAGTGGATCTACCCAAACCCACAAAAATCTGATTAAAGTTTCTCATCTTTAAGATTGCAAGAACATAGAGACTTTTGCTAAGAGCAAACGTATGCTAGAATTAAGTTAGAGACCTCCTAGAGATGGTCGGAAGTTCAGTAACCATACACTTCCTGTGCTGAGGGAGAAGCCTGCAATGGCCTACTTCCTGTTTGGCATGAGTTTCGGAGAGGACAGGAAGTTCCAGGTTGCCCACTTGGGTTTATGTGATGGAATTATCACATGACCTTTACTATACACCTTCTTATTTTGCAATAAACAATGCTTTGTTGTCTGTATATCAGCAGTTCAGTCCCCAAAGATGAGAAACTCGTAATAGATTTTTGTGACTTTAAGTGTGCTGTGATGGGTCAATTATTGGTCTATGGAACCTTGTTGCTATGAATCGTTGCTTAACTGTAACTCTATATTGTTGTTGAAGCAATTCTGTTAGTTTAGTTCTTTTTCATTACTTGTAAATTTTTATCTTTTCAAAATATTTTTTGTTTGTTTGAGTTTGCATTTGCCATGTTGAAAAGTCTGTGTTGATTATTTCCTGGAGAAGGGTCCATGTTCATCGGCCTCTCTTGTTACTTCTCTTTTTTTTTCCTCTTCATTTTGACTCTTGCCCTCTTTTGTCATCCTCTCCTCTTCCTCATGCTTTCTCCCAGTCCGGCGGGTGCCTCCTCGCTTCTCCATTCCACCAACGAATCAAGAGATAATGCCAGGTGGCAGTGTGAACATAACATGCGTGGCAGTGGGGTCGCCCATGCCTTATGTCAAGTGGATGCTGAACTCTGAGGATCTGACACCGGAGGACGAGATGCCAGTTGGCAGGAATGTTCTTGAACTGAGCAGCGTCCGTGAGTCAGCCAACTACACCTGCGTAGCCATGAGCAGCCTTGGCATGATTGAAGCTGTGGCACAGATCACAGTCAAATGTAAGAGATAACTGTATTTATGAAGAAGGTTCAGTTCATGTTGAAATACTCAGAACAGTGTTTAACTTTCCTTTGTTATGTCTTGAAAACAGCTCTCCCGAAGCCTCCTGGCACCCCTGTGGTGACTGAAACCACAGCTACAAGTGTAACTATTACCTGGGACTCGGGAAACCCAGACCCAGTGACATATTACATCATACAGTACAGGGCTAAGTCCCCAGACAGCAAGTATGAGACAGTGGATGACATCACCACTACACGTTATAGCATTGGTGGCCTCTACCCAAACACAGAGTATGAAATCCGTGTCTCAGCCGTCAATACGATTGGACAGGGACCTCCCAGCGAACCAGTTGAAACTCGGACGGGCGAGCAAGCCCCTGCAAGTCCGCCAAGAAACGTCAGAGCAGAAATTCTTCCTCAAAACTCAATGGTGGTGCAGTGGGAAGAGCCAGAAGAGCCTAACGGGCAGATCAAGGGATACCGAGTTTATTACACCATGGATGACTCGCAGCCAATGAGTCTGTGGCATATTCATAATGTCCAGGATAGCATCCTCACCACCATCCAAAGCCTAGTTCCTGAAGAAACATACGCAATCAAAGTTCTTGCATTTACCTCTGTTGGTGATGGACCTTTTTCAGAAGCCGTTAGTGTCAAAGTACAGCAAGGAGGTAAGGATAAGCAGAATGATTTGGAATACTGAAGTGGTTTTGGTGCTGCAGTAAACAGAAACCAGAGTAAAATAAATCACCAGCACATTTTTTCTGCCTTCTTATAATGTTCTCTGCTGCCCTCAGTTCCTGGTCAACCATCCAAATTCCAGGTGGGTGCCGTGTCCGACACCAGTATTGAACTGACCTGGGATCCTGCCTATGACAAAGAAGGGATTGTAAGATATGAACTTCGCTATGCAGAAGGCAAATTCAGCACACTGGTAATAATTTAATGTTGTTTCATCTTAAATTCAGTCCAAGACTCTAGAATGATTCGACGTTGCATCAAGATGCATTGTCAGTATTTTTATTTGCTAATTAACAGATAAAGAAAGACTTTCCGCCCAGAAGATCTTATGTCGTGGAAGGTCTCCGCCCCAACACAGAGTACCGTTTCTCCCTGGCAGCCATCTCCAACAAAGGCATTGGAGCCTTCACAAATGAAATCTCTGAAAGGACCTTACAAGCCAGTATGTAGCCTTCTTTTCAGTCTTTCCTGTTTCATTTGCAGGTTTGTAAACAAAGGAAATTACCCACCACATCATTTAACTATGACGGTTTTTATGTTTTATTGGACCTTTGCGAAAAAGACTAATTAGGTTCTTTCATGTTCCTTTGAATGAAGCTTGCAAAATCTTTTTTCTGTCAACTACCTCATCACTCTTTAGTTATGAACTGTGCTTTCTTTAGAAATAATTAAGCACTCAAAGCTTTCTGACATGATTTAACGGACTAATTCACACGGTTACTTATTCCCCTTTAAATAAGTAGTTAAAGTTGTGTGTATTTTGTCTTTATTTAAACAGTTGTATTAACAAAATGTTTTTTTCAACCCCATATCAAGTAGCATTGTACTGAGAAGAGGTACTTTAATGGAAAGTTGTGGTTAAAAAAAAGGCACAAAGTTTAAAGGCACATTTTACATTTTCATTACTGGAAATGTTTCCAGTAGCTGTGGTCTTTTGGGGGTTTTCACTGACCTTTTCATTTCCAATGCTGGAATCAAGGGTTAACTTGCTAAATTAGATTCTACAATCAGATTTGCACCACTATTTTATTTTAATTACTCTCTTAATATTTGTGCTGCTCGATATCATAAACTGCAGCAGGTTGACATTTTGAAGAAGATTGCTGAGCAAAACTAAAATATACAATTAGATCCAAACAGACTGAAACCAGTTTTGGAGGAAAATAGATCAGTTAACTTCTAGTTATGTTTGTCTAATAAAACATGGCTTCCTGTGCAACTTCTTCTATCGTCAATGTTTCTGCGTTGCTGTTATTTTTAAGCTCTGATGCCTGTTGTTTAGACGGCGGACAGCAGTGAGTGTAGTCCTTCTCAAGTGCGGATGTCACAAATTGTTCATGTCAAAGCTAATGATAATAATAATAATTTATCACTTTCAACGGCACTTCCCACTGAGGTGATTTTTCTGCATTTTGATTAGATTTTCCTAACCCAGAACACTGGAAATGTAAAAGACCCTAGCCAAAAAAATGATCGTTTTGTTTCTTTAAAAAAAGCCACGGTACACTTTAGTACCTGGTCCTTCTAGTCAAAATGTTCCTTTCAATGAACCGTCTCACAGCCTTGTCTCTGTTGCCTTATTTTTTTAACTATGGTTTGGTGCAAACCTACACGTGTTTGCTGACTTCCAACAAACCACATCCACGTGGATTTTTTTCATTTTATGTATTGGCCGTTCATTTTTCTTTGTGTTTTTGTTTGTTTGCTTTTCTTTGTTAACAGAAAGTGCACATCCTTCTTGTCAGACACAAAAAATGGGAATTCTCCCAAAAAACTGCCAAGGCTCTCGTATGATTTATTGTTATTTTTGGGTGGTAGAATCTTAAAGTAAGTTTAGTCATCAAAACTACCTATATCCTTGTTTGTGAGGTAATCAGTCCAACACGGATTGTTTTAGTTTACTGAAAGAAAGGACACAGCTGTATTATTTATCATTGATAAATAGCAAGCCCAATATTTTACACCTCCAAGACAGAAAATACAACCTGATTGCATCTTACAGCATGAGATCTGGTCCTTTGGAAAAGAAAACCCTTTAAGGATACACTACTCCAGATACCTAGAGCAAGCAATGACCAAATATATCATGTAGATTATTTATCTTTTGGAAAAATATAATTTTGTGACAGAGATGCATATTATTTTTACAATAGTTATTTTACTTCATAGGTACAAATTTGGCATAAGATGTTTTTAGATTTAAGCAAGATACTTTCCTGGCTCCAGTACCAACAAGGTTCTTGTGAAAACCAGCTCAAATATGATGATGATGCTAACATCTTTTCATCACTCTTCACAGGCCTTTGTCTAATGTAATCCAAAGGATTATTAGGTGTGTCTTTAAAATAAAGCTGCTCTGGGACCAAGACTGTAGATTTTGACTGTAGCAAACGAGAGCCATGACAGTGGGAGTCAACGTTTTTAACACATTTTCTGTTTCTACTCGTGCAGCTTGTTGACTACACCTACACATGTGGGTGTAGAGGCCTTGGGACCACCACCTTACAGTTCTTTCTGTCAATGCTAGACAGCAAACCTACACGGAGTGTAGTATAACTACCAAGAGCCCTGCTTGCATGTGACTCCCCCTCCTGCCCTCTTGGGGTGCTGTTGAGCAGCGATGATGACATTTTAAGCCTTCAAGCATGAAACCCACAATGTTCCTCCATCCCCATTTCTGTCTTGGGATTTGTATTTGTGTTCATCCTCACCTGTCAGTGTGCTTGGTCATTTTGATACGTCTGGTTTGCATTTATAAATTTCTGGCAGGCCGAGCTGAATTCACACCCACTCTTCTTCTGTCATCGTTCCAGAGCTGCTTATCACTTTTCCACGTGTCCTCCTTATGGACAAAACTACAAACACTCTTTGGAATGGCTTGACATCACCTTGTTCACTTTCAGCCCTCTTTCTTTTATGTTGAAACTTTTGATAAATGTTTCCAATCTTTTTGTTTCACTAGTTTAATTCATTTATGTTTTATTGTGAAAGGCCAGTTTTTCAAATAGTAACTTCCCTTTTATTGAATGAGCATTAGACCAGCCTTGATACAAGCTACAGGAAGGCTAATGCAATCACACATCACAGAAAAAGTTACTTTTATTCAAAATACATCAGTGCTAATTTTATCTTAGAAATGAAGTACACAATGTAAATACCATATTATATAGTTGGTGTGTTTCCATTGTCAAACCTTCAGGGTAATTTCTGGGAGGGGGGAATTAAGCAGGAGCTACGGTGGCCTGGTCCTCTCAGCTGTTGTGTCTCCATACAAATTCAGCCCTTTCAGTACTTTCCACAGATGTCAGCATATTGCGACTGCTTCGGCAGTGACTGATGTCCCTGTTCATCACCAAAAAGTGTCCTCAGTAACATTAAAAGTTTCATTCTGTATAAGCACCATTCAGAGTACCAGGAGAGCAGCTGTGTAATATAAAATGTGGGGTTCAATGACCAGAAGAAACACAATTTTTACGATGCTCAGTGAGACAACAAAGTCCCGTGAATGACATGGTTGGGGGAGGGAGTTCCGTTGCGTTATTCGGCGATTTTAAAGCACAAAGAACGGTGCTTATTTGCTTGTGCTTCCATTCTGCGTTGGCAACCTTTCTAATTTTATCAATGCTGGTTGTTTTGAACATCTGCTGATGTCTTTTCCTACTGAGTTACAACCAGTCAGCAGGAGTTAGCCACATGTTCCACTCAGCTACTCTGCTGGGCCTTTACAAGTACCTACCCCTCTTCAGATACTTCGAAATTTTCTAAAATGGCCCAGTAAACGTCCCGTTTGGCCGGCCCGGTGAAGTGAAGGCATGCTGAGAAGTTCCAGTAAAATCACCCTGAAGTTCCAACAGTGGAAACATGCCTATTGTCTACTTTCTTTAACAAAATCACAATTTTCACTTCTTTTCCATTCTATGAACATGCTTTCACTTTAGACCTCATTGGCTTTTCAACGCATTGATGAGTCCTTGAACAAGCAACTGTGAAACCCGCTTTTTGGTTTGTCAGTAATTGAGACTAAATAACCCAAGTCAGACAAAACTAACGGTTTTCTAACAAAACACTTTGATCTTTTGGATGCTTTGAGGTAAGTGAATGTGTGGTTCGGGGATTCAGTCTGCCATAACCTTTTCCACAGAGCTGCAGAATGCATCCACTTCTTGTAAAGGGCGTGCTGTGTAGACACCGTGACCAACACTTGGAAACCGCAAGTTTGTCTTCAACATTTTAATTTATTGGATATTTTTGCGTTTTGTTGAGACATTTTCACACCAACCCTCAAAATATCTAATTAGTACCAGTTGTGAGTTACTATTACTGGGTCTGTTCATACACATCCTGTATATACTATAATAAAGCCCCTTGCATGAGTAAACTACAAATAAAACCAGGTTTTAGATGTACATCAGAGACATTTTCCACAGCCTAAAAAGAAACTAAATTGTTTTCTTGTGTCCTCTTTATCCCAAACACCTAAAAATATACGATTGTGTAAAAATTTATATTGCTGTGTGTGTGTGAGCGCAGCTTTACGTGCAAATGCAAAGGCGTTAGAACTCAGACTTGATTCCATCTCTGTGCCTGGCAGACTGAATCATTGTTCCACAAAGTAAAACTTTACAAATGTTTTCTATGCTACAAATGTTTGCAGAAGTCTAAACTTTCAGTCCAAATAGCATTACCAGAGAGGCTTGTCATGGGGACCAATTTTCAAAGAGCATATTTAAAAAATGTACAATTCTTTAGGAATTATTTTCCAAACTTTCATTCTTCTAATTTGACATTAAGCTAATGATCTATCAAAATAATACAGGTGATTAATAAATAAACAAAATGTTCCTGGACACTGGGTCCCCATTCTGTAGTCCTCATGTGGTATGCTACTATTCTCAGACAAAGTTTGAAAGATTTTTACCAGTCCATTCAGATGTGGCTGAGGAGGGTCCACAGCTGGAGAGCTTAGGGGGGAATTATTGTAACTGTTAGCCAGCTCCAAAGCATGGAAACGGAGCTGGAGATAGGCACGATGAGTGGGTGTTAGGGGACTGCAGGGCCCCTGAGTGGCAGATAAGAATCCCATTTCATAGCGTCAGAATTAATTTCATGCTTTGCAATGAGCTATGAGCCAGGGCCTTGAATTGTCAGGCTTTGTTACACATTTAGATTATACCTAGAACCTGCCAGTATCCAGTCAAGTGCTATCTCTAAAATTAAAGTGGCAGACTGTAAATCCTCTGTATTTAACAAAACATGCAGTTTAGCGCCACCACACACACACACACACACACACACACACACACACAAACACACACACACCACACACACACTCACTTACTCTAATTGCAGAGGGTTTTTAGATGTATTGGTATACTTGTATGAGCCTCACCATGACCATTTGGTATTTCAAGGATTAATGATCTACAAATATGAAAATTCGGTCATTTGAAGCTTCTGGTTAAAAATGCAATCAAAATACTGATTTACTTCAAACAGGAAGCATTAGCTTTTTCTATTAGATTGTACAAAAATTGATATTACCGCTACAGTGATTGTTGTAAACAGTGGTCACAATGATTAGCCAAGCCACCAACCAGTGTTTGACTTTCCACCCAGAGATCTGTCACATCACAACCAACATAAAAGCCCCAAAAGATCCACGAGGACATGACTAATTATTTGTCAAAAGGCATTTTCTGAAAGTCTTTCAAGGGAGATTTAAATAAGTAACCTCAAGGAAAAATTTAGTCGAGTGACTCCTTTTGTGTTTGCATGGTTCTAGTATCCATAATCCTTTGACTGGACTTGAGGGACGATTCATTTTATTAATGATAGGCCCCCATCAGTTTTAAGTTATTATCGGGCAAGAGGATGCCTGTGCACTCAGATAACCTCAACCCTGTCAGGTTCCTAGCTTGTTTCCTACATAAAGAAGGAGAACTGAGCAATCATTCTTGACGTGAAGAGTTTGCTAATAAAAAATAGGCGAAGGAAAGAAGCTGAAAGGCTCAAAATTCGGTAAGACCTTAAGTAAATAAGCCCATTAGACACAGAAAAGGGTTTGGGGACTGTGGCTGAGGTCTTGTCTTATTTTTTTGTGCAGTTGAGCATTCAACTTTCCAAAGCAGGAGGCCTTTGTACTTTAAAATCACAGTTTTTATTTTCATTTTTCATGCTGCTCTTCCAACATTTTGATGAAACTTTTAGCAGTTGTGGTATCAAAGCTTTTCATGTTGCTGCTGGTATTCTAGTTTCCTGGTGTACTCAGATCAGCTGTGGGCTATGAAATGGGATTTATTTGCAGAAATTGTCAACAAGAAGGATGTTTGTGTGCTCGGGCCAAGTTCTTAAGCATAGCACATCTTAGTAATGAGTTTTCCCCAGTGGCTTCCCCTCTGCCTCACAGTTTTGTGGACCCTCAGGCCCAACAATACAGTATAAGCAGACCGCTTACAGCACAGAGCCATCTCTCTCCCTCCTGCTTACCCCTAAGGGGGTCCAAAGCCACCATTGGGTAAATACTAGAGATGTTTATTGATGAAATAACAGAAGATGATCTGAAAAGTTGTAAAATGCTTACAGGATGGGAAAGTGTTGCTGCTCACTGACTCCAGAGTAAGAACACTCTGTAGTCAGGTGCTGGTGGTAAGAAAGTCTTTAAAGTTTTGTGTTTTTGGGATACAGGTACGTATGATGCAGACAATGCTTGTGGTTTTTATTTATTTATTGTCTTTTTGTTCTTTGATGTTTAAAATGCTTGTTTTATTCCGAGTATCCAGTTTTGCTGTCTCTGGTTTATTATAAGTTCTCATTTTAACGTTATTTATAGTTGTTTTCTATTGTTTGTTTTTCCTTTTGGGGCAGTTGGGTCACAGACAAATTGATTTCCCAAAACCCTGCTCCAGTTCTTTTTATTATTGCTTCAGTCTTTGTTTTGGAATGACATCATCACCTTTCTTCTCATTTCTTTTTTCAATTCCTAACAACGCACCTGTGGAATTTTGTTTGAATTTCATATTATATGTACTTTTATTTTTGGTTATCTTGCTGCTTACCTGACCAAAGGACAAAAATGTAATAGTGAACTGGATTTGCTACTTCAATATTGAAAAATTATTTATAAAGTCACAGGCGGACTAGGAAGAGAGAAACAGTATATATATATATATATATATATATATATATATATATATATATATATATATATATATATATATATATAAAGGCATGGAACACCAAAAACACATTTTTTTATTATTATTTCTGATTATAATCAGTGACTGAGTTTTACATGAAAATAGATCACTTGCATTAGCTTCTGATAGAAAATGGTGTGAATAAATTAAGATTTGAAAAGCCTCACAGATCTACATCACACTGTTACTCAACATTCATGGACTCACTCATCTTGACTCACGACAGGGAAAGCTGTTGTTGGTTTAGCATCCAGGAAACAGCAGAGAACGTCTGGACTGGTAGAAGCTAACTGTTAGCATTAGCAACTCCACCACACAGCAGAACTCCTCCAAACTTCTGTATTTGTGGAGATAACACGAGTGTTGCTGAGCAAACAAAGTCAGTGGTATAGTTGCATTGCTGTCATCCAATCAGAGAGGAGATGTCCAAATATCAGGAAATAAGACTCCAAAGCCTGCCGTGTTAAACTCTTCTCCGATGTGGCATTCTTTTAGTTCCTGTTGAAACATGTGCATCTGAGCTTTATTTCCCCTGAGTGCGACCTTTAAGGCTTTCATTCCTACTACAGACCACTGCTAATGTATTGATTGAACAAATGTCCCACACGTTCACATTTTCAGAAACCCCAAAAGTAGCCATCTTGATTCATTATTACATACGTTTGTGCTGTGGTCCATTTTAAGCCTCCTAAGTTGCCATTTGCTTGATGCATATTTTTTTTCTTTTGCACATTTTTAAATAATTAGTTTGCATAACTTTTTTTATTTAGTTATTGCTTTTGTTAGTTTTCAATTTTTCTTTTTTTTCATTTCATTTATCTCTCCCATCTCTTTTATTTTTTCGTTTTTCACCCTTCTCCCTTTCCCATCCTCTTGGTCCTCTTCCCCCTCTTTCTTCCTGTCCTTTCCACCTCACCAGAACCCTCAGCTCCCCCTCAAGACGTTAAGTGCCGCAGCACCAGCTCCACTAGCCTTTTGGTAAGTTGGGGGCCCCCACCACTGGAGAGTCAGAATGGTGACCTGACGGGGTTTAGGGTGCGCTACCAGGTGGTGGGCCCTTCAGAGGGGGCTGGTGACAACATGGAGCCAATGGAGGAGCCAATGGTCCTTCCAAACGAAGAGCGGGTGTTGCTACAGCGACTAGAGAAATGGACCCAGTACAGCATCACTGTTTCTGCCTCAACTGCTGTTGGGATGGGCCCTGAGAGTGAGCCCCTGGTCTGCCGCACAGACGAAGACGGTACGTGACTCTGTTGAGTAGAGGCTTGATTTTATTAAGACAACTCAGTTAACTCGAATCAACAACTCCTGTACTATCAACAATAGCACAGCCACCCTCAGAGGGGATAAATTATGCATTTTGCATTGTTTTATGCTGCCATGTGGGTTTGTACTGCAACGATAAACACTTGACTCCAACTCTAAAGGTGGACTTAAATAAAGCATTTAGTTTTAGGAATAATATGCATAAAACAAGCCGTCTGAGTTTGTGACATCACAAACAGGGAAATTTGAATAGAACTACATTTCATGAGCATGGGAGAGCTGCTGCTGCTGCTGCTGAAGAAGCAGAAGCTCAACTCTGAGCCTCTCCCACATATGGGAGCTTCTCAGCTTATAGCAGCCTGAGTGGGGGAGGGGTGGACTTGGCCAGCTTCGGCTTGTTTTTTTAAAGGCCAAGCTCACTGAGAAACCATTTTTTTACATGTTAGTTTTGAAACAGAGTCAGTCACTATGAGTTTAACATGCAGACTAAAGCTCTTTTTACAAGACACACTGTGCTGACAAATCAGTATATTACTGCAACAGTGTGTCTTATAATGCACTATGCTGGCACGGTGATGTGCTAATTTAGCTGCATTTGGTCTGTCTTGCTTGGCAGTAATATTGTAGTAATTGTATGTCTTATAAATGGCGATTGCACCTTGGCGCAACTGAGAAAGGTGTCATGATCACGTGGGGCGTTACTGCTGAGCTCCAGTCCTGCAACTATATTGACAATGAAAGTAAAAGCAGGCCGTAAGTTTTGCTTTTTGTATAAAATTAGCTGAGACGACAAACTGGAGCGCTGCAGCGCTCCTGGAGCTTCTCTTCATTAGAACTGGAGCTCAGATCATCATAGACTTTTGGAGTAGCTTGTTAAAAAAACGTAATGAGCTTCAATTGCAATAAAAAGCAAGACGTGTCCACGATAAATGGAAGGACCGCCCCCATATCCCCTTTATGCCGCCATTGTGTAATCTTCTGTAGAAAGGACATGATTGTGCCACATTATCGCCACAGTCTGACCACTCATAAACGACCTAAGGCTCCCTGACACTGCCACGGCATTGTGGCAAATTGGCTGCATTGTTTTGTAAAAACAACTTAAAAGTCCTTCTGCCTCTATTTCCTGCATTACCCGCTAATAGAAAGTAGACGAGAAAAATGCTCGGATTAGAAAAGCCAGTCAATTCCATGTTGCAATGAAAATTTGCATTCATGGACTCATCCGTATTGGCCCGCAATTTTAAAGGCTGTTGTTGATTTAGCATCCCTGAGAGGGCAGAGCACATCTCAGCTAGTAGAAGCAATCAGCTAGTAGAAGCTAACTGTTAGCATTAGCAACTCCCCAACACAACAGAACTACTTCAGGCTTGTGTTATTTGTCGAGATAAAATATCAGTGTTGCCAAGCAAACAGACTCAGTGGTGTTAGCCAATCAGAAGAGACATTTTTGAATATCAGGAAATAAGACCCCAAATCTTGCCGTCTGTGGCTCACTTCTGCTCTGGCTTTCATCTGGTTGTTGAAGCAGGAGTTTGACTCACAAAGTGTTCATTTCTACCAGAGACCACTGTAAATGAATTGGAAGAAAAATAAAATACAGAGTGAACTTAGTCTTTAAGGTGACAAAGTCCTTAAATGGCTCATTCTGGAAGGTAAAAATGTAAAGAATAAAACTGCTAAAATCACGTTTTGTATATACCATAGAACTATTATAACTTCAAGAGCAAGTCACCCCCAAATAAACTTTATTTGCTGATAAACTATATAAATGAGTGTTTAATTGTGCTGTAGACACATGCTCAATAATGTGGCACTTTAGTGCATCTTAGTTCAAATTTAAACGTTCTGCCTAAAACTGTCAGTGTTGTGCCATCGTCAGGTAAAACCTCTGCCATCACTATTGGCTAAGAGGTACACTATGACGTTAGCTGGTACATTGTGTTGTCACAATGCCGTTGTGAGCCTGTGTGTGTGTATTTGTTAGTGGCTCTGCCCTCTCTGTCTGCCAGGCAACAGCATTTGCTGCATTTTTCATACAGGAAGTGGGAGTGGACTAAGACTCTGGTAGGGGGTGACTTGCTCTTTAAGAAAATCTGTTGCAATATGTCCTGTTTAATAATGGAAGAAAAACTACAGAAAAAAAGTTGAAAAACAAACTTTTGTTGAGTTTGAAAAGAGCAAAAAAAAAAAAAAAAAAGAAGCTTACCACAAAACACTTTGGTTGTAAACGCAGTGTATGTAATATAACATTTACTATACATATGTATAGAATCCACCACCTGTGCACATGTCGGCAGAGTCACACGAGTCATGAGAACAGAAGGATTTAAAATGCTGCACTTGGGAAATCAAGTGTATTGCTATTTAAACACAACTAACCAAATGTCAATAATAATAGCTACTAGTGCCGATATCACACCTCAGTCTTTAGGCTCTTAATAGTTTCACATTGCTCATCTGAGAGTCTTTAGCGTTTACTCTATTAGTGATGTGCACTGCAAGGCCATATCTGTTTGTGCGTTAATGGCTGTAACAGCCTGCAGGCTGATGGGAAAAACACATGCATGTATAAGGAGTAGGGAAATGCATCCTGACATGAAAAAGAGTTAATATTACCCACACTGTGCTCATCAAATACAGCTGCAGTGTCACTCAGGCTAATGTCACAAATGGCAATGCTGCTGGCTGCTAGTGTTCTTGGTGTAAAGCTGTTAAAGCCAGAGAGATGTGAAGTTTACTGTTCCTGGAAGCAAAGGCCAACTGCTGTGTACCTGAATAGATTTTTTGATTCAGTTCACTTCCCATAATTGGTTACACTTCTTTCTGTGCAAGCTCTGTGTCAGAGTTCAGCGCAATGAGGCGCCCAGGGAAGAAGAACAAAATTAAACTGCTTGAACAAAAAATAAAGATGATCCAGCTGAATTTACTAAATATTACAAAGTGAAGAGATTAGCGTGTGTGAAACACATCGACTAACATTGATTTTCTTTTAAAATAAATTTTATATCCATTACTGCAGCAATTTAAGCATTTTGTCTGACACGGATGTACACCAGCATGAGAGGCACAACGCTTTCAATAGATGTTCAGTAAAGGATGCTAACATCAGTTACTGAAGGCGTGAAGCAAACGTTTCGGTGCTTGGTTTTAATATGTGGAACAGGAACCAGGGTTAAATGCTAGCTGAGATAAGAAAAGGCAGGACTTGTGTAGGATGCGGGGGAAGTCATGTGATTTAAGGTGGCTTTCTGGAGGAGCAAATAGAAACAGTTTGAGAGGAGGAGCGTTATTCATGCCACATTCGTCTCAGAAAAGGATAGTTCCTGCCACTTCCACTGGCCTGGATAAAGGTCATAAAGGTCGGCCATTATGACTAAGAGGCGAGGCCTCCTCCAGTCAGACACATGATGAAAGGGTGGAGGTGACAGAAGAAAGTGGTGTATAATGGAAAAGTGTGTTGTTTTTAATGTTCCTGTCATTCCTGCCACTTTAGTTCCTGGAGCTTCGCCAAGGCGAGTTGAGGTGGAGGTCCTCAACTCCACAGCTCTTAAGGTGATGTGGCGTTCGGTGATACCAGGAAAGCAGAATGGTCAGATCCGTGGCTACCAGGTCCACTATGTACGGGTGGAGAACGGAGAGTCACGGGGCCTTCCCCTCATCAAGGATGTGATGCTGGCTGATGCCCAGGTATGCCCGTCGCAGTTCTCTCACCAACCTTCCACACTGTAGAAAAATAAAACGTCCACCACACAATAAACCGTTGCCAATATCAGTGGTTAAGTTTAGGAAGCAATATCTGCGCTTTTCCATCTCGGATTTCATTTGTCGTTGCTGTAAAAAATCTTTTCACCTCAGCCTGCAACACCAGCTGTAATCAAAGCTTCCATCATCTTTTTCTCCTTCCTCCACCTCCAGACCTTTTACAACGAATGCCTGCTTCCTCGCGACACCGGCCGTGAAATATTTGATTGCAGGCTTGTCTCCAAAGCAAAAACCCAATGAAAATGCTTATTTGGGTACTTCTGCATCTAACAGGAAGGGGGGGGGGGGACCATCTAGAGTAAACATGTCACCAAAGATCAGCCTGAAATGGACGATCTTAAACTGATATTCATTTTCCTTCGTATGAAATTGTCAGCGTAGTTCAAGAAGAATTCAGATTTTATCTTTTTTTTTTGTGAAACAATCACCCAGGTGGAAATGATAACCTGCAAACAGAACCTGGAAAGTGCGTCGATGCACAGCAACAAATAAAAAAGAATACCGACAGTGTAAAAAATGTGCAAATTTACAAAAAAAATTTGACTTTTAAAAGTTCGTCCGATGGATTTAAGAGGTCTAATATCCTGAAGTAGGTGATTCACATCAATGCACGTGATGCAACAGCCAACGTGGTGTAGAAAAACAGCCTAAAGTCCATTTTCTTTAAATCATCTGACTGTAAAGCTTTAAAAGTGCATCCTAATGTCTGTATCCGTTTGTCTTGTTAGTGAAAGCCCTCAGGGTTCAGTGACAGACCTGTTCATCTCCCTGCCTTGTTCCAGTCGTCTCTCTTTTAAGCTTTAAGCAGCTTTTGTGACTTCTAACCCCCCAAAACCAGTGACCTATTTCTGCTGCCGACCCTCTGCTCCCACGCTACTAATGTCCCCGTCTCTCACGCTCCCATTCCTTCCCCGTCACTTTTCCCATTCTTTAAAAAATGTATTGCTCTTTTTTTTCTGCTTCTGTTTCTCTCCTGCGCTCTCCACTTTTGGCGGGGTGGGGTTAGTGGGAAACGGACGATACGGCTGAATATGTGAGTACGATTTTTCACCTGAGTGCTCCGTGTGCCTGAAACGGTGGCTATTGCATCAGAGTCACGCTTTACACTGCACCTCCAATCTACATTCATTAAAGTTGAATAACTACGGGACGTAGGAGCTATATTTGAGCCGTTTGGTTTCATCTGCCTCCACATCCTGGAAAAAAAAACTTGTTGCCAGTTAAAAAAACACATTCTGATGCAATATCCACCGTGCCTTGAACGCTAATGCTATGTGAGTTTTCTTGTGTTCAGCAACTGCGTTCAGTCTTGTGATGATTCTGATTTATGTTACTTTGATCTCATGTGTGTGTGTGTGTTTGCATTTAATTTAATTGTTTCTTGTGTGATGACTTTTTAATAGTATTACTGCTTTTTTTTAAATTAAAACCATCGTCAAAAGAAGCCTCGTTTTGATCATTCAAATCTGCTTGAAAGTCTCCATCTCTGCCCAGCCTGAAGTTGAACCCTCGTTTTAGAGACAGATTTAAACTCTTGTCCATCTGCAGGACATGAATACTTTGTCACGTAAAAGACATTACTTAGAGCTTATTTACCTTTATTGACTTCTCCCATCCCTCTGCCAACCAGCTTGTTAAAAACCTCCTTCTGCATTCATTGAGCGCCCGCTCTCCTGAAAGATTCATTAGAATCGATCGGAAGCCTCTCTTTGAAGAGGGAAACGTAATGGCTAAGGTAAAAACTACCAGCGAAAGGCCAGGATGGATTCAGCATGCATTTATCAAAGTTAAGTTGTTGATTGGAATATTGCTAAGAGCTGTTTTGCATTTACACGCATAATGTCCCTGCTCCACCTTGGCAGCTTTAAGGATTTAGGTAATGGAATGGTCTCCCATTACATGGGAGAGAAACAATACATTAAAATGCCTGCTTTGTGGAAAGTAATGAAGAGGACCTGGAGATGCTTGGTTTAACATTCAGCACGCAGCGGTTGGAACTGCCCAAAGAGGGTCAGATCATGAAAAATTCAGAACACATTTTGACATTTTCCTTTCCTCTGTCTCTCCCATGTCTCCCAAAGGAAATGGTCATTGGAGGACTCAAACCAGACACTACTTACTCCATCACGGTGGCGGCGTACACCACCAAGGGGGACGGAACTCGGAGCAAACCCAAAGTGGTGGTGACTAAAGGGGCAGGTCAGTGCAGAGACGCAGTATTTGTTCAACAACCTGTTGTTCCCACAGCAGAAGGGTGTTTGGCATGCCGGCGTTTGGAGCAGGGACACAGTTTTACTCACAAAAACCATCTCAAACGCTTGAAAAGGCAGACGCTAACACCGGCTGTGATCCCTGACATTTTAAGGGGGTGATTAAATGTTCTTATTAAAGGCATGTTTTGTATTAGGAGCTTTGGTTTGAAAGAAAAACGTGATATTGATTTAGCAGTTCAAACGTGTGTGTTTTATCTGAGGCATCTAAAGCTATGTGGATGCTGGCGTATTTCAGTCATGTCCAGAGGACTATCGGCTGATTTTTAGGGATCAAAAGCATCTTTAATGCACTTTGAGATCTTTTTAGTCAGATTATGATAGCATGGAAATCTCTCTTGGGCCTTGGCTGTAGTAAAGTGTATATGTATATACATATACGTGTGTGTGTGTGTGTGTGTGTTTTATTTTATTTTATTTTATTTTATCCATTCAAGACATCTGACTCCTCTATGCAAGGCCTTGTAATCCTCTATTAGATCTGTGATTAGCCTAGGTTAAGCAGGCCACTTGTTTGTTAGCATGAGCACAAGCTCAACAGTGAGGCTGGCTCACTGAAGCCTGGTTCACACGACAGGATAGTCATACCAGCTCCTCGCCTTCTGACGATCTAAAGATGATCTTATCAGATAATTTTACCTTTTGTGGTGGGTAAGCCCTCTGGTTTCCTCGGAAAGATGTCAGGATGCTCTGATCATAAATCGGGGTTTTACACACGATGGCTAGGGTTAGATTAAAGCTCTGCCTTGATGAATGTGACGTCTAGACAATCAAAAAGCGAGGGGGTGGAAACAGGCAGCATGCTCCTCCTCCACCATGTTTTGTTCACTTTGAAGTCATGTTTGATCTCGCGGGACCGCCGGAGTGAGGAACAACCGGGGATTTGTGTCTAGTATTTGCCGAGTTGCTGTACACCACACACCGGAGGACCGAAACTGGTGTCCATGAGAGGTTTTACCACCTCGCATGAGGCCTCTGTGGTTTTGAAAACTGACCGACTATGAAAGCGAGTCACAGTTACCCTTGAAGCTTCGGATCATATCTACCAGTTGACTTTGGAGCTAATGGGCAGACTGCTACATGTGTGGGGTGCACAAACTAGAAGTACACAAATGCAGACCCATTCCGTGGAATTTCATGGAACACCAAGCACACACAGGTAAATACATCTACATGAAAAAAGAGACAGCATTTCCAGATTTTGACAGGTGTGTGTGTGTGTTTGTGTGTCAAAGAGAGTTACGTGGAAAAAGGACCTGAGTGAGCTCTGCCACTCTTCCTCCTCTTGTGGGACTGGCTGCGTGATTTGCCAGTCTAATGTTTTTGGTTGTCTCTCAAAGAGAAAATCTCCTTTTCATGATTTTTATTGAAGTGGGGAGTAATGGCTTGGGGCCAAGAGATAAACGGCATACAGGAAAGGGTGAGAGATGGGAAGGATAGAAAGAAAGACCTTTACTAGACTTAAGAAAGTCGGTCCTTCATGTTCTAAAGGCCGTCCCAGCAGTAGCAGTGTTCTTACTTTATATAAAGTATCTTGGAAGCTTCTTAGATCCATATCAAAATTGAAACAGAAGCAGTAAATTTATGGCAATCCATGTTTACAGCCCAGAACAGATGAGCTATACCTGGTTAGCATTTATTGTAACATGTTAATCATGGCAGAAAGAAACGAAGAAAACATTTATCTGATGAAGCCCAAAAAAAGGAAAAACAATGTCCTTTGGTGGGTTCTTGCTGTGTTGAGTTTCAAATTCCATCTTTCAGATCTTTTTAAAACACAGAAAAGGTTTATTTACCTGCAATGTTTCGTTTGCAGCTGCAAACATCATCAGGCTGACGCCGATGGTGGCGTCACTTCCTTCGTTTATCCGCGGGCAGCAGAGGACGTTGAAAGATGGAATTTAAAAACAATGTCCGACCACAATAGGAGTCGAACGAGAGTCAACAACATCGGGAGTTTTCTGAATCACGGGGGCTGAAAGCCGAATAAGGATTCAAATTAGATGCAGACCTAACGATCATCCTTGCAGAAGAATTCCACATTTATACAAATGGAATATTTCTGCTAATTATGTAAATACCTTTAAAAATATTCACATAGAAGAACTGTTGTGCTTTTTGGCCCAGTCTGATGTTGGTTTTATGTAGTTTAACATTCTTTACTAAACAAAGACAGCTTGGTGTTTTATTAACTAATTACAGTTATAAAGAAAATATGTGGGCAATAAGAATCAAGAATTTATTCACAAAACTACTAAACTCATTCCAAAACGTATGTGTGAAAGCCGGGTGGATTTGCCGTAGTGTGACATCATCGGTAGGCGCAGGACCCTGAGCCAATCCGGTACCTGCACTGGCCCCGGTCCTGTCGGCTACAAGGCGTAGCTTGTTATCACCCAGCGCTCTGAATCTGCTTTTGGGTTTTCCGACCCGCCACAGCCTTTCCCTGTGGTCACATGATTCCTCCTCTCAGGATCTTGGTCATGTTTTCTACCAGGAACTCTGTTGGTCAATGATAAAGTGGCAAGCTGACATGCTAGCTCTGGAGTCTGCTTCCAGCACGTTCCCTGCCGTTTTTAGATCGTGAACACAGATGATTTGTCTGATTTAGTGAGGAACTGCTCCTGTAGAAACTAATGAACGCTGAGGAGACGTTTCCGTAGTTAGATTAAGGTGTTAAAAACACGAAGACTCTAGGGGGTGCTAAAAGCAAGCCAAAACTGTTAAGTGTTACTTAAGGAGCACTATAGCCTCCAGAAGCGATAACATCAAAGTTGTTCATTCAGCAGAAAACAATAAAGGCTTGAAAAGCAACATTCAAACAGGAATAAAGAGAGCAGGTTTTTGAGCGGCTCAGATGTTGATTCACATCACTGGTCAAGTCTTTCATCTTTCAGACATAAAAGTTTTTTTTTTATTCCTGATGTTTAACTCTTTAACAGGCAGGTCAACCCTGTTCCTTTGTCCTTATTTCTTAATGAAACAATGAACTTACCTGACCTGTTATCCTTAAAAGTGCATATGTAGATGTTTAATAAAAAGGTTAAGCATTTTAATTAAGCAGTAGTTATTATATATTTTGATATTAATCATTTATAATACCATTTTAAGGCAGCTTGATTTGTAAAGTAGTCTACAGTTGGTACACGGAAGCAATTCAATCTGCTTTCCAGGTGCAAGATCAGCAAGAACAAAAACATTTAAATCAACAGGACAACATAAAACAGCAGGTTATAAAATCTAATTTAAAAATACTCAAAAGAAATTGGATGTTAGAAATAAAATAAACAGGCAAAGTTAAAAACACAACATAAGAATCAATCATTCAACGGCCGATGAATACATGAACGTTTTCAATTTTGATTTAAAAGTTACTAGAGTTGGGACACATCTGAGGTCATGAGGAAGCTGATTCCATCTGTGTGCAGCACAGTAGCTAAAAGCAGCTTCACCCTGTTTGGCTCTGACCCGATGCTCTACCAGCTGACTGCTTCCTATAAGATCTCAGAGCCCTGCTGGGCATCTATACTGTAAGTAGCTCTGAAGTAATTTGGCCCCATGCCATTGACTGATTTACAAACTAGTAGAAGCACTTTGAAGTAGATTCTGTAGTTTACTGGTAACCAGTAGAGATTTAAGAACAGGAGTGATGTGCTCGGTTCTCCTGGTTTTTGTTAAGACTCCAGCAGCAGCAGCATTCTGAAGAAGCTGCAGTTGTTTCACTGTTTTGTGACGGTAAATGACCTGTGTTTGATATAGCACCTTCTAGAGTCCAGGAACCCCCCAAGGTGCTTTACAACACAATCAGTTAGTCACACATTCGCAACCTGGTGGTGATGAGCTACAGTGTACACATAGCACACTGACAGAGGTGAGTCTGCCATACACAGGTGCCACTAGTCCCTCCGACCACCACCAGCAGGCAAGGTGGGTTAAGTGTCTTGCCCAAGGACACAATGACAGTGACAGGCTGTGCAGAGCTCAAACCTGCAACCTTACGATTACGGGGCGAAGACTTAACTCCTGTGCCACCGTCACGACCAGACAAATGACCCTCATTACCCAAAATGAGTACAAAATCAAAAAACTGAAGAATGTCCATTCCTTCTTTACTTGGTTAAAATGGAGTGTTAAATAATTCCAAGAGAAAAGATGTCACCAACGTCCTTCCATGGATGACAGTTATAATTTTTTATTTTTGTTTCCAGTTAGGACAGATGTCTGCAGCCTAGTTCATTTGGGTTGAACCATTTCACAAATGAGTTATTATTATTTTAAAGAGCAGGTTCTGAGAAACCTCCCTTTTACTTATTATGTTTTAAAATGATCAGTCTCTCTGAGTTTAACATGCAGGCTGAACAATAAAATAGTCTTCATGTTGTATGGAGTATAATCAGACGTTATTTTTTTTATTTCCATTTTAACCCTTTACAAAAGTTCAGAGATGTGTTTGTGTTGATGATATGAGTGTGGCAATTACACAAGGAAGGGTAATGAGAGGGAAACCTGTTTACCTCTTTCTTAGCCAGACAGAGTGAGTGTCAACAGCAGGGTAAGACAGACTGCTGCCTGATGGGAAACGTGCTGGGAGTCCCATGAAAGAGGATTGAACCAATGTCAGTCCTGAAATGGACGTAGATAGGACGGGGAGAAAGTTTGGATATGGGGTGATGGTGAGCAGAGTAGAGGACATGAGCAAATGAGAAAAGAACAGGGGAGTGTGACTCAGGGGAGAAGAGGAAAGGGACAATCAAGGTGTCCAGAAATCCCAGTGTCACTCATAAACACACACACACACACACACACACAGATTTCAGCGTCCTCATATCCCTGTTGGGCCCTCTTTGCTGCTGATTGCTCCCTGTCCCTACTCACCTTCATCATCCCTCATTCACTCATTTTTCTTCCTCTCGCCATGCCCTTGCTCTCTTCTCGTCACCCTTGTAGCACCACACACGTACACACAGCTTGAACAATTCCCCCGTTCTCCTGCCTTCCCAACACCAACCTGCTGGCTCAGTGCCCCTGATCCCTCTTCCTTTCAAATGCGTTTGGCCAAAGGTTTGAATGCACAAATAATAAAACTGTCCGGGAGCTACAAAAGCTGTGAGGGATACATATGATAGCCTGTTGATTTTAGAAGTGGAGCTCTGAAACAGAGAAAGGAAAATGCACTCGTGGAATCATAACAGGATCATTATCTCTGATTCCATTTTCTTGATTAACAGCGAGCATGACGGCGGAGCGGCCTTTCAGATGACACCAAGCTGAGCTGTAGTATGTAGCCAAGGAGTATTACAAAAATTTGTCTCACCCAATATGCAGCACCCCCGCCTTTTCCTTACAGGCAAATCAGTGCCGACAAGCCACCATCTACCCACCCACTCTCATCTTCGTCTAGCAACAGTAAGGAGACCATTAGCAAACCTAAATTACTAAAATGAGAGGAGGAAGTGGTCTGTAAAGTGTGGATTGCTGATTTGGTGCGTGTTTTATATAAGTTTAGACACGCGTGTACAATGATGCTGTTCCAGATAGAGAGAGAGAGAGAGAGTCCTGTTGCCTCAGATTAATGTTAGCTTCTCCAAAAGACTTTAAGTTAATCTCTGTGCAGCGATTCCAGCTGACATAAAAGATGGAGGTTTCACATGCACAAGTGCTGTGTGTTCATGCTTTGTGTCTATTAGGATGCACCAAAGTAAAGATTCTTCACATAACACACAAACTAGGGCTGTGAATCTTACAACTCACAGTTCTGTTCGATTCCGGTTCACAGGGTGAAGATTCGATTCAGAATCGATTCTCAATCAATTCTCATTGTAACAGGTCCACTAGTGTGTGTGTGTGTGTGTGTGTGTGTGTGTGTGTGTGTGTGTGTGTGTGTGTGTGTGTGTGTGTGTGTGTGTGTGTGTGTGTGTGTGTGTGTGTGTGTGTGTGTGTGTGTGTGTGTGTGTGTGTGTGTGTGTGTGTGAGAAGAAGCGGGTAAAAGAGAATACAATAACAACATGCAGTAGCATGTTTTCACATAAACCAGTAACATTCATCATTGACCACAAGACTAACAGGCACTAATTAGTCGTAACAAGCGTCAATTATGCACGGTGCGGTCGGCATGAAACGACACACTAACAAAACAGGATAAAACCATCTAAACATTATGGAACGTGCATATTTTAAAATGCTCACAGGACAATAATAAAGGTATGTCTGCTATATTTCAGCAAATTGCTGCGTAGGCAGTTAACGCTGGTGCAACGATGCGTTCAGGGATGCTCGGAAATATGACAGTTTGCATAATGGTGACATGAAACAACATCCATCCATTTTCATCCGCTTATTCACAGTCGGGTCGCGGGGGCAGCAGCCTAAGTCGAGAGGCCCAGACTTCCCTCTCTCCAGCCACTTGGGCCAGCTCCTCCGGGGGAATCCCAAGGCGTTACCTGGCCAGGTGAGAGACATAGTCCCTCCACCGTGTACTGAGTCTACCTTTAGGCCTCCTCCCGGTTGGACGTGCCCGGAATACCTCACCAGGGAGGCGTCCAGGAGGCATCCTGACCAGATGCCCGAGCCACATAAACTGGCTCCTCTTGATTTGGAGGAGCAGCGAATCTACTCCGAGCCCCTCCCGGATGACCGAGCTTCTCACCCTATCTCAAAGGGAGAGCCCAGCCACTCTTCGGAGAAAACTCATTTTGGCCGCTTGTATCTGCAATCTCGTTCTTTCGGTCACTACCCAAAGCTCAAGACCATAGGTGAGGGTAGGAACGTAGATCGACCGGTAAATCGAGAGCTTCGCCTTCTGACTCAGCTCTCTCTTCACCACGACAGACCGGTACAACGCCCGCATCACTGCAGATGCAGCACCAGTCCGCCTATCAATCTCATGCTCCAGTTTTCCCTCACTTGTGAACAAGACTCCAAGATACTTAAATTTCTCCACTTGGGGCAGGACCTCATCCCTGAGCCGGAGAAAGCATTCTACCCTTTTCGGTGGGAAAAAAAGCTTTGTCACTTATCTGGCGCTTAAATATATAGGAGTCCTACAGGAGTCTGACATTGTAGCATGGCTGATCTGGCGTTATTGATGGATTTGGCAGAGCATGCACTCCGGAGGGAATGCATCCTCTGTGAGAGCGCTGATCTGATTCCTGAAGGAAATCCTTCTGGAGCTTTGCTGGGATGTGGGACCCTTTGCGGTCAATTAAAGGTGTTTCTGTATGTAAATGATGGTGAACGAACTCGAGCACCCGGGTACAGGCGATTGCGGAGGGAAGTGCGTACGAGTGGCCACCACATGTTTCATAATTTTGATCATTTGTACCAACATTCTAAATTTTGTTCGTAGGAAGGAATTTAGGAATATTTCAACACATATTTGATGAATGAGGTCCCAGGTGCCTAAATTAGAGTTGCATTCAGCTTTTCTAAATGTTTATCACCAACCAATGTTCTGCAGACCAAATTGATTGATCCAGGTAGAAATGTCTTACCAACAAATACACACAGACCATGACTCTCCTCCCTAGTCTCATTTGAATACATTAAGTTAAGTAAACTAAAAATGATGTATTTAAATCATTATCATCTCTTTGTTATTTAATCATTCAACAGCTTTAGGGGCTCACTCGTGGTATTGGGGACTCCCTGCAGGACCGCATGCCTTCAAGGCCTTTTTTTTTCTTGTCTTGTCTTGTGTTATTCACTCTGCAGAAAGGAATGTTGCTCTGACACAAAAGCCTGCTGGCAGTTTGAAAATGAATCATAATCGGATAATTTTCCCATTGTGTATAGGCTTAATGAAGCCCAGGCTTTGGTCCATTCCTCAGACTTTTATTGGAATTGTCAAGGCCAGCTTTTGGAAAATTCTTTTCTAAGGACCGTTTTATGTTAGAATATTTTATTTTTTCATTCATGATGATGGATTTTATGAAAATCAATGTAGATGTTGCCCCCGGAGTGACAGAGGACCTGCTCTAAGAAAGCGACTTATCCAGGTTATTGTAAAATGATACAGCGTTGAACCTATTTACAGTGAGATGGAGCTTTAGAGCAAATCATCCATACACATCTATCAAAAGGCCTCGACAGCTGCGTGAAAACTGAGGCCTTATCTTAACTGCTATCCTCTATCTAAGTGATGGGGTCTTAAAAGTAGGTTTCAGATTGGACATGTCATCCATAAGAGCAGCAAAACTGGGCCACAAGGAACGGTGACTGGACCCCTCAGTAGCTCATCCATTTTACAACAAAAGGAATGCAACTGCGTAAAGAAGAATTGTTATTTGCTTGAATTTTTTGTGATGCTCTGCAATATGGAAATAATTTTGGCAGCTGTTTGCATGTCACATGAATTGGTAATGGACACAGTGATCACTCTGCAATTGATGGGCTCTTCAGTGTCTCTGTTAAATACAAACTGCTTTCATATAAACTGCTTCTATGGCTTTAGTTTCTGTAAACTTGTAATATTTATGCCAGTCACTGAGAATCTTGAATTCTCATTGGTTACAATCAAGCATGTCGGACCACAATGTAAACATTAGGGCTGCATCAAACCATTATTTGGATCATTGATGAATCGGATGGGGACTCCACTTGATTAATTGGATTAAACGAGAAAGTTTAAAAATTGTTAGGGAAACATTTTTTCTCTCCTTCCTTTACTTTAACAACACAACATGATTAGAAAACTGTTCAATAGCTTGCTAAACAACATGCTATCACCTTAATATATCCATAAATAAACTATGATCACTAAATATTAGTGTATTTCATTAACATGTTCAGTAGTAAGCTACTGGAAATGCTAATATTTAATTTCTACTATTTAAAATGTAATGGTGACTTATCTATTATGTACGGGTTAACAATAATCCAGTTTTAATTATGTTCACAGATAGACGCGTTTGTGAATTAAATGCTACAGTGGCTTGCCATTTTCCTTCAGCAGTAACCTGACTGCAGCGGTTCTGCTCCGTAGCGCTGCAGACAGCTAATGAACAGGATGATGATTGGGACTTTTCTTCAGCTTGCAGAGTTTAGATGTTCTTAGTTTCACAACTATCGTGTTTTTTCGGAACTCACTTGATCACGAGCCTGCTACCTGCTAGCATTAGCTAATCTGCTTGTAGTTACACCTTTGATCCCAAACTTTGGATGGTTTCTGCCTCCATGTCTTTGCTGGTTTCTCTGTTTTCCTCCACAGCACCTAGATTAGCACAGTGTGTGCCAGTAAAAGGCATCTTCCTTACACTATAATTACACGTGTGACATATGTGTGTTTCGTTGTGATCTGCCTCAGTCTGCTCTGCTGCCGCATCAGATGAGCTGCTCGCATCGACTGTTAAATGTTGCACAACACACACAAAAGTTGCACAACACAAAACAATTTGCGCAACACAACAAATCGATGACAAAGCTTAGCCAACACATTTCTTTATCAAATTTTATCGATTCGTTGTTGCAGCTCTAGTAAACATGTCTGATTAAACATGCTAACTTTACTGCTTTTCTTTTCTTTTTGACTTTGGAAAATGTCCAACCATGATATAAACATTGTAATTGAGATATGTTTAGCTCACATTCAACATACAATATAGTACAATGTAGTACACTTGAGTAAACATCTGTTTTCTTCTCTTTTTCTGTCTAGTACCTGGTCCACCCTATTTGTCAGTGGTTCAGAACTCAAAATCATCTGCCACTGTTCACTGGGATCCTCCAGATCTGACCAATGGAATGGACCTGCAGGGATACAGGCTACAGTTTGGACGAAAAGATGTGTCCCCTTTAGCCACCCTGGAATTTGCTCCCCAAGAGCGTCAGTATTCTGTGGGCAACATTCACCGCGGCGCCACTTATCTCTTTAAGATCTCAGCCAAAAGCAGAGGGGGCTTTGGGGAGGAGGCTGTGGCAGAGCTCACTATTCCTGAGAATAGTCCAGGGGGATACCCTCAAATGAACGAGGGCTCCAACATAACATGCTGCTCAGTGCAGCTGTCCTGGTCTCCACCAGTGCTGGCAGAGAGGAATGGGGTCATCACAGAGTACACTTTGGCCTACAAAGAAGCCGGAGCAGGAGGATCACCACTGGAACTCCGATTACCACCCAACCTTTCCAGCTTTGTGCTCAACAGTCTCAAACCGAACTCTGCATATGATGTGAAAATACGTGCCCACACCAGTATAGGTCCAGGGCCCTACAGCCCACCTATCCAGTATCGGACGGTGGCCATTGATCCTGCAGGTAGGGCTTACTTGTTTCTCTACCAACCCAGTGCCAAGGGGTTGGAAATTGACTAAAAGCAGTCTGCAACGACACAAAAATGAAAACTGTCCTCACCCACTTCTTCAACCACCTCCACTTCTCCTCAAATGGAGGATTGATTGATGTTTAAATTGCTTGCCATGGAATACTTGCTTCACTAACCCAAACCAGGTAAAATGAAAGTCAGTAAGTTATAGTCAGTCATTTTGAGAGAGGGGAGAGCAGCATAGAATTAAAGGTAAGTGACTTTTTTGGTCAGACCCTCCAGTCAGTCCTTGCAGCCTTTTTCAAGCACATCTACACAGATTTGCCATTTCACGTCCCAGTTTTCACACAAGGTAGGAGTCAATCCCAGTCTTTAGAACAGTATATTTGGAATATTTTAGGAATAAGGAATTTTTTTTTATTTTGACTTTAATTTTATTTTGGGTTTAAAATATCCTTTCCTTCCTAACACGCTTCCTCTCGAAGCCTCCTTTCCCTCTTCCCTGTCCCTGATCAGGACAGCTTGTGGCATGGCATCCCACAGATGCACTGCTCAGAACTGTTGGCATGCAGTGTTTTGGGTCTGTCTCAATGTTTGTGTGGCAGCACATTGGCAGTGCCAACTCAAACTCTGTATCATTGTCCCAACAGTTGGCATTGGGTCTACAAGGGTTAACTGTTAATCACCTGGTAGTCATGGTTCAAAGTCGGTGGGTGAGATGGGTTTGCACTACTAATGATGGCTAGCCAAAGAGCATATAACTTGTGCTCCATGGGTTTGTTGTCCTTGAGTCTCGTGTTCTCTGTGTCTAAACTAATGACATTGCCCTTCTCACAGCCAATCACTGTTCACCTTTCCTTTCACTCTTCAACTCAGAGGAACGTTGCAGGGAAAGAACAGCTTTGATTTTTTTTAAACCAAAGTTTTCGTGATTTTCTCTTATTTTTCTGCTTTTTTTCACTTAAGATGCACTTTTTTTTCCTTGTTTTGCATTTGTCTTTTAACAGATGTTCCTAAGAATTTCACTGTTAAGTGGGTCACCAAGACCACGGTAGTCCTTGCATGGAAATTTTCTGAAAGCAGATCTCCATACAAATGCACGGTGAGTGAAATCTTACTTTAATTTATTGCTTTCTGAAAGTCTAGCTATATAATGAAAATGATTGATTAAATTGATTTTAGCTGGAGTGTAAAAGCATATTTTGTTAAATAATACATCTTGCATTGATATCATATTTTAGCTGCGTTATTCAGTTTTGTCAAAGTGATTTAATTCTGAACAATTTGCCGATCAACCATCCACTACTTTAGATTGAGTACAATCGTCAAAAGATGGATGTGGACGCCAGGCAGTTGAAGATGTTTATCACAGGACTTAGGCCCAACACCACATACGAGTTTAGGGTGACTTGCCAAGAAAGTATGGATGGTGGCCCTCGACACCGTGTGGTGGCCAGGACTGCACCACATATCCTGGTCAAGAAACCAAAACTGGACATCTACGCTGAGCCTGAAAACATTCTTACCATGTCCTTTCCACCAGTCAGCACCAAGGATGTGAAGTGAGTATAAAGTAATATCTTCTCTACAAACTCTGCGTAAATGTTTGAGTGACAATGTGGGCTGGGGGGTCATTGCATGTACTCTTTGTTTGTTTTGCATTACTATCAGGGCCCATTTCACACATTTAATATTGACATTCAGTAGGAATGAAGATGTAATGTACTTTTGTAACTTTCTTGGTGCAGGAACTTCTATGTGGTGGTAGTACCACTTAAGACAACAACAGGAACAGTTAAAAACTTGAAGAATCCCGATGAGATGGACATTGAAGAGGTACGTTTTTTTTTCATTAGCAATTGGGTGCATGCAGTGCCTTGCAATTGCCTGGCAATATGTGAAAATATAATTTGGCCAGAACCCAAAAAAAGATGTCAGTCCTGGGGCGGAATCTACAGATGTCTTTTAAACTGTCTCCACATGGCGGACCATGCTAACATTGGCGTCGCACCCGTGGGGATGTGGGTGTTTTAACACCCACACTTTTTATAATGTGGAGGTTAAACACCCACACCTTGTGTTGGAATAAAAACTGTATACATATATATTAGGGCTGGGCAATAAATTGAAAATTAATCGTTATTGAAATTTCTGACTCTTATTGAGATAATTATTCCCATGTTAATACATTTGATAATAAAAAATGAAAAAATGTGTGTAGTTTGGCAACGTTCTTTTCCCTTTAAGAAGCTGTACCACCTTGAGTCATGTAAAAATGTGAATCAACGTAATACATGTGACAGCCCCATCTAGTGGACAACTTTTGTCTCTGCGCATACCTGTAGTTATCGTCCGTTTATCGTTATCGAGGTTAAATCCTCAATATATCGTGATATTGATTTTAGGCCATATCGCTCAGCCATTTTATATGTGTGTGTATATATATATATATATATATATATATATATATGTATATGTATATATTATATCTGAAAAATCTCAACACCCACACTTTACAAAAGCTTGCTATGCCCCTGCGCGCTAAGACCAGTCAGAGCTCAGAACAACAACGTGTTGTACTCATTGCTACAGATGTCAGTCAACAAAGTAGTCCACATACACTGTTGAAGAAAACGCAAATACATATTTTTTCTAAATAAAAGACTTATATACCTCTACCTGCTCTTGACTGAAACGAAGAGAAAAGAAATGCTCAAGTCTAGTAGGGCTTTACACTAGCATTGGCTCTGCACCACCTGGACTGGGTGTTCACATCCACACAGCCTCGATTTTTTTCCACACGCAACCGGTTGTTTTTTCAGCCCTCTTCCCAAAGCGGTGTGCCTCCAACTGAACTAGTCCAACACACCCACTGATTGGCTGGCTCAAATTCATGCCTACCTTTAGGCGGAGCCTCAGATTGGCAGACAGAATCAGCCACCGGGGGCTTCCTGCATGCATGATTCATATCATTCTGGTTACTCAGGAGGAAACATGCCTCTGACTGAAGCCATCTCTGCTGTGCATACACACACACACACACACAGCACTGCAAGGCTAAAACTGCCCTGAGGGAGGACAGATACATCAGAACAGGAAACAATATCAGAGTCAGTCTCCAAAATCAACACTGCTCACGGCCGCCTTTTTTTGTTAATCGCAGACTTCTCAGCGCGTGCGTTTGTTTGCCCCACCCGCGTGCTCGGAGATGCACTCATGACAACACTGATATCTTCGCGCCAATTTTGGAGACCACCCATATGCTCAGTCACGTCCACAACTATGTGTGTAATCAACCTGGCCAGGCTGGGGCGGAGTGGAACCGGCGCTAGTGTGGAAGGGGCTTAAATAGTCTGATGCCGAAGCCATCTCAAACAAGTCGCTGCAATCTCTGCTGTTTTGCTCCTTGGCAGCTCTGGTGCTAATCCTGCCCACCAAACTGATAAAGCTCTGTGATTGGCAAGACACAAACCTGCTCAGACCAATGGTAGACCTTCTGAGGCTATAATGGAACGTGGCTAGAACAACCTGCAGATCAAAATCCTTTTGCTGTCTAGATTTCTAGTCAGTGACTTGATGCAATTTGCTGGGTTCCTTATAAAGGAAACATTATTTCTGATTGGCTTAATGAACTGACCTGAATTGGAATGTTTATTATGTGAAGTGCCTTGAGACGACTCTTGTCGTGATTTGGCGCTATATAAATAAAATTGAATTGAATTGAATTCTAGGCTATAATTTTTTTATCTGTACAAAAGAAATCTTGTGTTTTCAGAGAGACTTTGCATGTTTGTCATACCCATAGTTGTGACTCCTAGTTATATTGTTAACACCGTGTAGCCAAATGGGCACGCACAGCAAGCTCATCTCAGCCTTGCTAATTTATCCCCCAAAGCATGCAGAAGAGAGAATTATGCAGGCGCCTCCAACTCTTCCCATAGCTAGGGGTCACCATTAGCACCAGATCAACAGCAGCCATACTTAATGGATTCAGGATTACACACTTCCCCCCGCTTGGTGTTCGCCTCTGTTTACAGTTGGAAATGAATGAGAAAGCCTGTATGCTTATTTTTTGTAGTCATTCACATGAAAAGTTAATAATAGGTTTTCAATCCAAAAGAAGTGGTTTTGAGGGGGTTTCACTGATATTTTCGTAATGAAAATTGAAGAGGTGAAGGTTTTGATAAAAAAAAAATTGTGTCTCACTAGATCATTTCTCAAAGCATCTTCTTCTTTAGGTATTTAATTTGATGTTTACAAATGCTGCAGGGTATAAAATCAGCATCAAACACCTCACTAGGTCAGACTTGATCTTTGTCTTGTCCAGTTCTGGTGAAAGATCTTTCAGTCGATTTGAGACTTGTTTAAAAAAGGAATGAGAACAGAAAAATAATGATATCAAGAAGAAAACTAACATGTTCTTGAATTTGATCAGCTCTTGCGGGAGGTGATTCTGAAGCGGCGTTCACGTCGTCAGTTGGCTCAGCTGGACCAGAGGAATCCCTACATCACGGCCTGCTTCAAGCAGCTGCCCACCAGCTTCACGGTGGGATCCGACCACTACCTCAGCAGCTGTGAGAATAAGCCTCTAGAACCTGGTCAGGAGTATGTCTTCTTCCTGCTGGCTGAACTCAATGCCACCGTGGGGGTGAGTTCCTGCATCAGCTGACTTCTGCACAATTCAGTTGGGTTGATTTGAATCCTTCTGTCAGTGTTTGATTTTTAGATTGTATTATCCTTTATGTGTTTCTCTTCTGTTCTTAGCACATCTTATTTCCATGAAAGTGAAGAAAATTTGTTCCAGGGACGGAATAGTTCTAAGAATCGCCGTGATATTGATTTGATTGTTTTAAAAGGTTTTGTTGCAGTTGCTGCTTGCAGATTGCAGCATATAAACTTTAAATGCAGAAGAAAACGGTAAAAACGATGAAGACAATTATGTTCCATTTTCAAAACGACTTCATAAAACGCCATTTAATCAAATTCAGCTTGGAAAATAAGCAGGTCTGTTCCTTGTGAGACTCCAAATTTGGTTTCCAGCATTTAGCGCTTCTTGCAGCCCACTGAGATAGCCTGCCGCTCTGCAGGGGAGCACCCAGCTGCATGTTCTCTCACACCTCTGTTTCAGTATCTCAGTCAAGCCTGATCACACGCTGTGAGCAAACACTCTGATTGGTTTAAGATCTGTAGTTTATTAAACCTTTATGATTTGGACTACAGCCAATTTTTATAGGACTGTGGGTAAATTATGAATAATTTAAAACTTAAACTATTGGCTCATGGTACTCATAGGGCCCAGGAGCAGGCAGTTGATGATCACTCTGGTTTTACTGGAGTTTTTATCCTGCATCTGAGCCCAGTTTGGTCATTTGGTTTATTTGTTTTGCAGAAAATGTTTGCAACTAGTCCGCACACCGACACAGTGACGACTCCAGAGATGGTGGTGGACCCTTTGCCAGTGGAGACCGGTGATGGACTCATATGGGTAGTGGGACCTGTCTTGGCTGTGGTCTTCATCATCGGCATTGTCATCTCCATTCTCCTTCTGAAAAAGTGAGTTGACTTTGAAATTGTGGGATTAAAACAAGGAGAAGTAGCTTCTAGGGTTTTTCTTGGTTTGTTTTTTGTTGCCAGAATAAAAATTGATCATAATGAAAGGCTTTTAACAGAATGTTTAATCATGAACCTGCCACTCAGAAACAGTAAGACTGTGGTTTGGTGTTGTCTGTACCATTCCCAGGCATGGGCCTTCGAAAGCTTAAACTGCAATTGTTCTTTTTTCTGTGTGAATTAAGCTAAATGTGTTTATCTATTTATTCCCGCTCTCAGGCGGCAACAAGATGCTCCTATTATTTCACATTGAACCAGTTATTTAGAGTTTAACTGGAAAATGTGGTTACTGGGAAATAATTGCATGTCGGAAAGCATCCCAGCATTTTTGTAGTCATTGCAGCATTATATCCAAAGACCCAATAATATTGGTGCATGTAAATGTGAAAGAAGAAAAAGATGGCTGTGGAAAGTGAGCTGGGGGGGGGGGATTATTTGAGATGATGCTCAGAACAAGACATCCAGTCTTCATTATTTTGGATTTCTTTATTTAAATTTATTTTACATAAGGCCTTTTAACGGTCATTTGCTCCATGCCCCAACCCTTTAGTCTTTTAATGAAGAATTTGGCCTCTTCTTGCTAAAGCTTCTTAAACATTACCTGAAAAGAATAAACATTTACATTAGTAGGCAACAGTTAATTTTAAACTCTTTCCATTAACTTTAAACCAGCATCTCACTGGGCTGTGGCTGCTGGTGATGAGCTAGAGTCAAAAAATTGCAAGAAACTTTGCAGCTTTTCATTCGGAATCGTAATGAATGAGTTTCTAAGAGACATCTGCAATAGATTTTATTCAAAGCCACTGTCATATGTGACATATTATGTGATTGTGAATAAATTATAACAATCATGCATCAGCGTCACAAAAGCAAGGCTTTAGCCTGGCAAGCCATCCTAGATATGTGAATAAATATAGTTTAGTCATGACCCATAGACATAGCTTAGTCGTGAAGCGGGGTATACAGCTGTCTTTCAAACTGTCTCCACATGCTATTGGACCGCTTCTGTTAAAGAAGATGTGAATACATCTGCCCTTAACTCAAAGAAGAACCCAATTCTAAAGGGTCTAAAGTTGATGCCAAAGCCGTTTCAAAGTAGCTGTCTCCATTTTTTATGCTTTGCTTAGTCACATCATCCCGCCCACCAAACCGATTGAGCACTGTAATTGGGCCCACCAAACCAATGGAGCCCTATAATCTGGCCCAGCAAACCAATGGAACACTGTAATTGGCCCACCAAACCGATGGAGAGCTCTGATTGGCCCACCAGACCAAACTGATGGAGAGCTGTGATTGGCCCGCCAGACCAATAGAGCACTGTAATTGGCCCACCAAACCAATGGAGAGCTGTGATTGGCCCGCCAGACCAATAGAGCACTGTAATTGGCCCACCAAACCAATGGAGAGCTGTGATTGGCTCACCAGACCAATAGAGCATTGTAATTTGCCCACTAAACCGATGGAGAGCTGTGATTGGCCCACCAGACCAATGGAGCAACTCGTAACAAAACAGAAAATTCTTGCAAATGTTTCGAGTCATTTTGGAAACCCCCCCATGAATGCCATTTGCGATATGTCTCCAAGAATGGCAGCCTGGTGAGATACTCACAGGGGTTAAGGACTGAATATTGGGAGTGAGATTTAGTCCCTATCCAAGAGATGATTCCTGAATTATTAAAGGGAGGCCAGTAGATCTAGTGTTGGCAGCACAAATACAGCATGATCCCTTGCTGTCTGACCCTGCCTTACCTCCATCTTGGTGGTTAGGGAGAGTAACATCTCTCCTTGGATCTCTTTTTTTCTCCGCTCTCTTTCTCTTCATCTTACTCTCCCACCTCTCCTTGGTGAATAGTGTTTCCCGGGTTTGCCCTTGGCCCTGACATTTCCCCTTCTCCTTCGTGTATTTGCACCCTTGTGCACACACGTAACACACACACACACACTCACAAGTGCATGCTCTTAACTCCACATCTCATCAAATGTGTACTCATACTCAGCCCCCTGACACATCCACACACCTCCTCCGGACACTGTTGAGCTACGGCTCGCATTTTTTACATTCCGCGAGCTCAACAGTGACCCCTGTGAATTTTAAACTGCTCTCTATTGATTTATATCTCTTCTTGCCTCCCCCCTTTCCCTTTCTCCTCCTTGTGTGTTGTGTTTTTGCCACCTTTATATATTTATTTGGCTCCTATTGCTTTCTCTGGAAACAGCAAACCAGACAGGTAAGGTGTAGTCTCCCTCAGATTCAGTCCATTTGAACAAAAACAGAAAAGGTTTTGAATCTCTAGTTCTGTCACACCAATATCCTTTGACACATTAAAGAGCAAGTCACCCCCAAATAAACATTTTTTTGCTGATAAACTAAATAAACGAGTGTCTAATGGTGCTGCAGACACGTGTCGTCAATAATTCGGCACTTTAGTGCATCTTAGTTAAAATTTAAATATTCTGCCTAAAACTGGCAGTGTTGTGCCGTCGTCAGGTAAAAACTCTGCACTGTATTTTAATTTAAATCTGCCACCGCTATTGGCTAAGAGGTATGCTATGATGTAAACTGGTACATTATGATGTCACAATGCTGTCGTGAGCCTGTGTGTGTGTGTATTTGTTAGCAGCTCCTCCTTCTTTGTCTGCCAGGCAACAGCATTTGTTGCATTTTTCAAACATGAAGTGGGAGTGGAGTAATACTCTGGTAGGGGGTGACTTGCTCTTTAAGCTTCCAGCTGGTTAGAGATGATGAGTTATGAGTTGCTCAGAGTAAAAAAACTCAAAATAAATAATTCTGATATTTTGACATAAAAGTTCAGACACATGGTTGTCTAATTTGAGTTTTAACCATTTAATTCCAATGAAATGAATGTTTTAGCTCAGTGGTTTTCATTGAAAGATCAAAAATGGAAGATTTCCTTTGTAGAAAATGTCAGCAAACTGTTGTTTAGGTCGGATTTGTTGTACATCTCTCCATCTCTCTACTTTCTACTCTTTTTGCTATTCTACAGCCGCAAAAGAAAAGAGTCTGAGCCGCGTACGAAGTGTCTGCTGAACAACGCAGACATCATGCCCCACCACCCTACAGATCCTGTGGAAATGAGACGCATCAACTTCCAAACTCCAGGTACCGAACAGATTCAAAACACTTCCACGCAGAAACCCACCAATCTCTACGTAAGCCTTAATAACTTCCTTTTTGTAAGCACACTTGGGCTGTAGGTGGTATTGAACAGGAAGGCTGAGTTGTTGAGGCTTTTATGAAGTTGTATAAACCACAAGGAGACTGTTATGAATGTCGGGGTGTCGGTGGTTTAAACAGAATAAAAAGGTATTTTCAGCCTGAAAATGAAATGGGTTCCTTGTTAAGAAAAAGCTTTTATCTATACTTGGCATTAAGCAAAACTATATCAGTGACACTTATCTAAATTACGGTTATTTGCTACAAGCATTTGGACCAAATAAAGGGAAAATATAGAAGAAAAGTATCTGTTTTCATTCAGATGGATAGAATGATCTCGGGCTAGCTCAAGAGTTAAACGTTCATCATCGTTTTGCCTCCATTACTGCCTGCAGGACACGTATGCGTGCATTAGCCGCGTCCCCGTGCAACAATTAACCACTGATAAATAACAAATTGTTCAAAACGATTCCTCTTGTTCAACTGGAAGCAAATCCTGTTTTGTTCTCCCGGGTTTACATGCTTCCACTTCTGCTCTGATGTTCATCCAAGATAAGTTGGATGTTTACAACAACGGAGCACATCACATCTCTACATCTGAAGACTCCTCTTTTTCTATTGGTCAGTCATCCCTGCTGATGAGAGTTGTGTGATTTTGGTTTAAATGTCATCTCAAGATTGTTTGGTTTCCGTTGAGCTACGGTTGAATCTAGTGTGTTCAGTTTGTACCGGACTGATCCGAGCCAGGATTAGTAAGCACACAGACGTTTGCTAGTGGAGCGTCTTCATCTCTAGTCGAAGCAGGGGGGGGTGCTGGTGTTTGAAACAGGATTTAGTTCATATTCTTAAGTCGAAGGAACAGAAAGATGCACACTTTGGAAAAACTTGTGCTTTTGCTCAAAATCCTACCTACCCCTAGCCTAGTGAACTAGACCAAATTCTTGCTTTGCAAATAATACATTTATTTAGTCTGGCTTGCCAGGCTAACCTACCCCAGTAAATATCCAACAAAGAAGGAAAATACTCCAGAGGTAGAAAAACTCCAGCCTAGTTTCTGTGTTGTTCTCTCTGTTTTTCCCTTCTCTCTGTTTTCTAGTCTAGTTGTCTTTCAGCCATCCATCTGTCATCCGCGGCCATCCTCTGCACCATCAAAAGGCTCAGATTTCAAAATAGAGCATTTCTCTTCAGCATCTTTGGGAGCTCAGACATGCTGCCTTGAGTTGGTTTCTTTGGGCAAAATAGACATCTTCACATCAGAGAGCAGAAATGCAGCAGCAAAAAGACAAGCTCAATCCCACTTGGATGCAGAAATGTTGAAGTTCATGCCGTCGTCCTCGTGTTTTTCACGCTCGGCTATCTGCAGCCCTGTCAGTGATTCTGTGACCAAACGTAGACCATTTATAACACCCGTATCTTTTATTCGATTCTGCTCTTTTCTCCCTTAAATAATCTAAACTTGTTACCATCTTTGTTTCTTTTGTACGTTTTGTACTTTGAAGCACGCACGGACCTCTTCTCACATACGACAAGCGTTTCTCATCCAGCAGCTCGGCCATTGTTACGCAAAATTGGTTGCTGTCATTATCTCCACACCCTGAAAATTTAATTTGAATGGACATTTTAGCCTCATTAGGAAGGCCGGTAAGCATTTGTGAACATTTCCATCAGCTAATAGCGGACATTGTTCATTGAGCGTGCTTCCAGTGCGGTTATCCAAGGGCCCTTCTGTCCATCAGAGCATATGCTACATTGGCTGCATATGCTCACTGACCCCTGGTGCTGGAGAGTAGAAAATATGTTTTGGGCTCACTTTTCCATGAGAACATTTTGCTGTGTGTGTGTGTGTGCGTGCGTGCGTGTGGTGGGCTTTAAAGCCTGTAGGACAAATGACAGCTTCACAATGACATCCTGGAACTCCCCGGAGCAGAGAGTGTCTAGTTTAGTTACCATCGTTGTGGTGCCCAAGGGTTAACTAGTTAATAAAGCTAAAGTTTAAAACAACAACTCTGCAGATCTCTGTGCTCAATCTCTGATCAAATCCCACCCTTTTCCCACTTTTTAAAAACCAAAAACAAATCTTGTTCTCCTAAAGCCGATGAAGAACAGTGACAGAAAAATTAAACACCAGGTTGCTTAAATTCAAATTTAATAACTTTGCACTTCTACATAACAAGAAGCCCATTAAAGAGGAATGAAGCAAACAGGTTGCAGACACCTGCCGTAAATACCCGCCAGTATCACTCAGTATTTCATCACAGTTCCCTTCAAAGTGGACTTGAGTCACGGTGGTTTTATATGAACGAGCAGGCGTACCTGATTCATGATGGCGTGCATCGTTCACCAGTATTTGTAGAGAAAGCTTTTTAGAAAAGGCCACTTCTCTTCTTTGCTGTACTCACTCAAAGCTCTCTACACAACGAAGAGTCGGAACTCAAAAAAATCAACATTTTCTACATTTCGTTAAGTTGAACAAACTACTTTTTTGGCACAGATGATTCTCGTTGGAGCATTTTGACGTTCTTCCTTGTCTGAGATAGAAAACATGGAGGTTAAGTTGCCAACAAAAGAGCAGGAATGGTGCTCAACTTTCATGGAGCCAGAGAGGAACAGCTGGAAGTTGGAGAACCAAATAGTAAAGCTGAACAATAAAGGAGTCTGCACATTCTTGGCCCAAGTGTTGCAGCCCTGAAATCACCCTGATCACAGCAAATAAAGAATAACAAAGTCAAGGTGGTTACCAGCTGGGGTCTATTGGTCTGTAGAAAAATCAACACACATCTCCTGGGTGACTTAAAAAGAGATTACTATTTTATTGATGACAGATTAAGTAATGATGCCTTTAAATGGATCCTAGAATTCAAAACCACACTTGCCTTGTTTTGTTGAATATAGACAACTTAAGGTGTCAAATGGTATAAAAAAAGGCTGGAGTGGGAGGAGACTGTACCGATTATGTGAAATTGTACCAGCCCCAGTCAATCACACATTTAAAATGCAGTAGCCACCGTTCAACCCACAGGGGGCAGCACCGAGGCGTTTTTAGACTTAGATTTTAAATTTATTCAAGTTCACACAAACATGTCCAAAAATGCACAGAAACAGAAAAATTGCATTTGTAAAGACCCAGTTATACCATTTTTAATCATTATAGCTTCATTGTTATTCAAGCACTTAAATCCGGCCCTGCTGTGTGTTAGCAGCAGTAGCTGCAGCTGATTTCTGTAGTCTGCACTGTGCATTGGTTTTTAGTGACGGCACGAGCATTTGGTTTTTCCATCAGCGCATTTCTCAGCTTCCTACTGTAGGTTTTATATAAAAAGCTGGCGCAGGTTGCAGAACCTAGCAGGCTGTGCCATTTTCCAACTTGAATGACAAGGTTTGTGTTGATTTTACAATGAATCTGACCCCTGCTGGTAAACTCTGCTGTAACCCCAACTAATTAAACCAGTAACAGCAAGGCTTTGTTTGGTGGGTACAGCAGGTAACGCAGCAAACATTTACAATGCGTTTCCCACACTCACACCTTCCTCTAATCAGGTGATTATAAATTCAGTGAAACAGTAATCCTTAGAAGTGTCCATCGTAACTGACTTTTAAAGGCATTGGACAAATCCAAATCTGTATCCGTCTCTGGTTTTCTTCCAACTTTACCCACCGTTACAGCATCTCATGAAACACTTCACTCCCCCACAGTTACGACTGAAAAAAAGTTGCTTTCTCATCTAGGCTCGTTAAAAAATCAAACGTTTTCCTGCAGAAAGCCCTGCACACTGGAGAATCCTGCAGACACCGGCCAGTCACTGGTACGTATCAGCCACCTACATGTTTCTCCAGATTACAGCAGCCATGCCCTCCTCCTCACAGCTCTGTCAAATCACACGCACACCCCAACGCTTCCACCTAAACAGAATCAGACATGCCTGCACCTCCTTCCTGCTGTGATGAATGACGTTTGGAGACAGGGGATCACAGTACCACCCGCAAGGCTTAATTAGTCATTGTCACAAATCAATTAGGGAGAGGAGGATGTTCAGTGCCTTCCTCCTTCTGCTCTCGCTCGACGCCGCTAGCGTCGATGTCTTCACAGCGAGATGTCTGCGCGAGGTAAACTCACCTAAAGCTTGGACTGTTACCAGTATGGTTTCTGACTGGAAGCAATGACAAAGACAGAATAAAGCAGACTGTTTGAAAGATTTAACTTTTTGGGTTTTGATTACATCTCATCACGCAATAATCTTTTTTGACGCAAGTTCGGGAGTCCTCTTTCTTGGATGACTGTCCAAGAGTAGATCAGTCAGCCCAGATGTAACCTCAGCTGGCTGTGGCCTCGGAAGACCTCTCCTCTAGAGGAGTTAAGATTCCCTCGGAGCTCTGATTCCCATCATCTCAAGCTTCACAGCTGTCAGCCAGGAATGCTGACCCTGTTCCACACCTTTCATTTTCCAGGGACTCAGCACAAGCAACAGACAAAGAAACCATTCAAAAATAGTTTTCACCAGCAAATGCAAGCGTGTGCCCCCTCCTCTGTCCTCTCGACGGGCCCATCTGAGAGCTCAGAGATAGCAAATCAATTTTCTTATCCCTGATCTCTGTTGCTGTTAATATGGGACTTGGCAGAAGGGGGTTCTTAGTTGGCACAGCAGTAGCCGACACCCCTAGCCAACCAGTCTGCTTGGTATTGGCTGGTGGAAGGGTAGGTCTGGTCAGCTCTAAAATACTTGCTTGAATATCCAGGCCACCCCTGAAGCTCGCGTTAACGGAGGGTGATCGGTTTCCTTTACCAAAAACAAAAAAACAGTTCTTTTTTCATTTTACATGCTTTCTACTTTGCTTCCTGTAGGTTATTTATTTATTTATTTTTTGGTGCTTTGTAGTTTCTTGGGTTTATTTAATCACTGTGTTGTATGTTTACTGTTCCTTACAGATTCTGGTCTGAGCAGTCCTCAGAGTGAAGCGGGTTTTGACTATGAAAGTTAGTCTCTATGCTTTTAGAACATCTACACCAGCTTTTCTTTAAGCCTATAATTTGCGTGTGTGTGTGTGTGTGTGTGTTTGAGCTTTGCCTGCCTCTGTTTTCAAACACATAATTTGCATTTTATTATGTTTTTCTTATATACATGATGCAACAAAATTGAAGCAATATTTTAATTGTTTTTTCTCATATGCACAGTCGGATTTTTATAGGTTTTTTTTATGCCAGTCACAATATTCACTGGAGCTTTTGGCTATGCAGTAATCCCCCTTGCATTAACATCCTATACAGTCACTTCTGCTGATGTATAGATGCTTATAAAGGTGTTTTTAACAAGCCTAAAATCTTTGTTTTTTTTTTACACCTCTTTGTTGTTGTTCTCCCGTCCTCCTCATCCCCTCTTCCTGTTTCACCACTACTGCTCCATTTCCAACCAACGGGGTCTTTTCTGTGCTCAGAGATAACGAGCAGAATTAATTAAAGCGGTGCCAAACAATGGCTCGACATTTGATCACCCCACTCTTTGTGCAAGAGAATCATCGGAGAGAAAGCCGAGTTTCTAGTTTTTCCTTTTCCCCTTTCCCCTCTTTATTCCCTTTGCTTACCCGCAGACAGACTTCTTCCCTTTTATATGGAAATACACAACTTCATAAATAGGCATTTTGGAGAAACTGGCTTGGCTAATCAAAAAGAATCGTTTTTATTTTCTCAGGCACGTTGACGGCAAATCAGTAGATTGGAAACAGGTAATTAGCAGCTATAGTTTGTTGCTCTGTGTTCACCCGTGATGCTGTTGATTACATTGGGGGAGAAGTGGAAGAGTCTGAACCAGAGTAGGAAAAAAACAATCTTTTGATTTTGTGCTAGAGTAGAAATTTAAAATTTAGATTGCTTTGCTGACTAAGCCACAATGCAAAGCTTATGTTGGAGGGTTTTTAAAACATTTCTTGGCTAAACGCTGCAGCGAATGATACAAATCGGGTGTTTTCAGCTGTCTGGTTCCAAAAGCAAAACATTTCAGAGAAAACTGAGAGACAAATGGATCTGTGTAGGGTTAAAGTGCAAATTATGGTCAAGAACTATTGAGAATCCAACAAATTTCCAGTTATTGGAGTTACTGACAGACAAGAACAAGCCATCCCAGTGATGATGCACTTCTCCGACCACTGCAGGCCTTTATGTATTAACTTGGACAAAAAGAAAGTTTGAGTTCATTAAAGGTGTGGGAAACTTGTACACACGTGCAGTGGTCTCTGGTAGGAATGAATGCCTTGCAAGCTTTACTTGGGGCAGAAAAAGCCCATAAAGTTTGGATCAACATGGACAACTCTGCCGCAGCAGAAAGTGACACAACTCGGCAGGACTTGGATCCTTATTTCCTAAAATTCTGACATCTTGCCTCTGATTGGTTAACAGTAACATGACTCTACCACAGACTCAGTTTACTGTGCAACACAGATGTTCTATCTCCACAAATAACACAAACCTAGAGGAGTTCTGCTGTGTAGTGGAGTCGCTAATGCTAACAGATAGCTTCTACTAGTCGAGATGTTCTCTGTGTTTCTCTGTTTTCTATCAGAAGCTAATGCAGCAGATAGGTGTAGGAGACTATTTCCATGTTCAGCCTGCATGAAAAATTCATTGTGACCGATTATAATCAGAAATAATCATAAAAAAATGGAGTTTCACACCTTTAAACACAGAGAGTGATGTAAACAACCACATGTACACAAACTCAACACAACCATCTTTGATGTCCTGCAAACGTCACGTTAAAATTCTTATTTGCATTTTCTTATTTCACCTTAAGTTTTAGTTCCTGTTGCCCTTTTGATTTTGGGAAATCGACGAGCAAACCTAATGATTGAGTTTTCCCTCTAGGTTTTTCCTAATGTTCATCTGAATGAATCTCAGGATTTAATCCCGTTTTGTCGTGAGTCGTTAGCTCAATGACAGCATAAACAGTTGATGACAAAGGTGAAAAACAGTGGTTTTGAAGTGTTTGTGCATTCTAATAGTAAAGGTGTGTGTGTGTGTGTGTGTGTGTGTGTGTGTGTGTGTGTGTGTGTGTGTGTGTGTGTGTGTGTGTGTGTGTGTGTGTGTGCGTGTGTGTGATACACCCAGAGGGCGACATGGCTTCCGGTGTGATCTCCATTTGTCCCGCATCGTAATCCTCGTGTAATTTATTGCCTCATTGTTCTCTCTCTGTAAAGTAAAGTGCCGTTGCTAACGAGGAGTGTCAGTAAAGAGAGCTGAACTCTTTAAGTGCAATAAAAGAAAACCAGAACATGAGTGACCCTGTGACACTGGAAGGATACTGAGCACATTAAATTAGGAATGCTTAATGTGATTAAGCCAATTTACACACACAATTAGGCTTGGCTACGTTTTTTTTTTCCTCGTGTGACTAGATGTCAAGATTTTGTTGACTTCTGACCTCAATATTCATCGACAAAAAAAAAGCCACTTAACTGAAAATTGGAAAATGCTAAGTATTTCCAAGGGCAGAGCCAGAGTCCGTGGTTGCTCCATGGCTTCAGCTTCATGCTCCTAAACGGATTAGCGACTAGAGCACACGGAGATGAAAGTAGCAGATGCAGTACATAAAAAAATAAACATTTCCCCCGCTCAAGTGAAACAATGTTCTTGGGAGAGATCATGTCAGGGTTTGGATGAAGGGAATGTTTCTATGTGATTCTCAGAGGTTAGGGGTATTTATCTTGGCGCTGGAAGCCCGTGGCTTCGAGAGGACCTGCAGATGGAGGGAAGGATGTTTTGCCTGCTTTGCACTAGCTGGCTGGATTGGAGCAGCTCACTGTGTCACTCAGCATCACTCACACTCCTAAACCGCCTGATCCTGTTTCACCCCCCCTACCGCATGCTCCCAGGTCAGGGCTCCGCTCCAGATTAAACGCTTTTCTACTGTGGCAACAGTAAAGAACTTTCACAGAGAAGCACATCAACCGCATTATAGTTAAACAATGAAAAACAAAGCACTTTTAGGTAGGAATATCATAACTGATAAGAATATACTGTGTGTATATACATAAATTATAATTTAACTAAATTCCATTTTTATAAGAAGAAAGTCGACCATGGACATGTCATGGTGATAAACAGTGGCTACAGTCTATGAATTTAGTTCTTTTCAGACATTTTTCTGAATAATGTTGGTCCTTTGTGAGATTCTACTCATATGTTTCTATATGATAATAATAGAAGTTGTTTCCAAAAACTTTTATTTACTAACAGGAATTTTGGATCAACATTTTTTTTAAGACTTTTACTCCAAACTGGAGTTGTCTTAACCTCGTGCATCACAAATCCTATATATGTACATTTGTTTTTTGAGTTTTTTTTTTTTTTTTGTTAACTTCTGTTTTCTTGACAGCAGTATTACTGGAACGACAAGCTATTAAAAAAGTGAATATCACTCTTTTACTTTTAATGTCTAATTATCTTATTTCTCACTATCTTCTGGATCATTTGGGAAAATCAGTGCAAATAAATAGTAGTTGTTCTCGATTGAAAATAAAAATATTTAATCACCCAGCTTGAAACCCTTCCATGAGCTCTGGCCTGGTACTTATAGCATCATAATTTTTATTTGTTTGGGAAATTCACCATATTCTCCTCAAGCTTTCCTGCCACTAAAATCCAACTTGTTAAATAAAAGGGGTTAGTGTTGCACAGTTTAAACCCACGTCTAATGAAATGGCTTTTATTGTTTTGCCTTCCTCCGCTACATGTAACTCCTGTGCCTGTTGTGTTTTTGGGGCGAACAGGTATGATGAATCATCCTCCCATCCCCATCTCGGAGCTGGCTGAACACACTGAACTTCTCAAAGCTAATGACAACCTTAAACTCTCCCAGGAATATGAGGTGAGTGGGCCCGAGGCTCTGAGGTCCAAGCGTATTGATTTCTGCCCGATTGTGTTTTCACTGGAAACGCACAAAGAAGTCCGTTCTGATATTTTGTAAAAGCCGTTTTACTTGTTTCTGTTTGCTGACGGTTGCAGCTGGTGCTGCTTGAGCAATTAGGGAGGAAATCACTTATCCTTACCTCAAAATTTCTTCACATTAATTTGCAGCCTCAACATGATAGAGCGAGCTCATTATCAGGCTCAATCATGTGAAATTCCCCTCAGTGGGCTATTCCCGAACTGCCAAATGGAAGTTCCTCACTTTTTGTGCTAAGTAGAAGAATCCTTCTACAGTTATACATCCTCTTCTGCAGAATAAAGGATGTCTGACAACAGAAAATTAAACACTCCTTCAAACAGAAAGGGGAAATATTTAAATTACTCACACATTCAAGTGGATTTGAACTAAAGATGGTCTTTCTGCTGCTATGGAGATAGAATCTATTTCCTTTCAGAGCTACACACTTCCAGCCTGCTCCTGTGTGTGTGTGGTAACTGAGCTGTCTGGGCTCTGAGTCTGCAGTGGTTATAAATGACACCAGAGTTGATTAGAAATCAGGAGCGCTGAATCAGCTCTCGTTTGCATACAAGCAATATTCCCCTCTCTCCATCCCTAAATCACTGAGCCTGTCGCCTCACGGCTCGCCAGCCTCGAGTAGGAAGTGGGTACACCCGCATAGACTGCCCTCGTTGTACCCGCCGGTGGATGCTGGTGGATAATGATTTCTCATAGCACTTGAGTATTTCTCAGGTATCTATTATTCAGGAATCCACATCCGGACCGTCTACCAAATGGGTAAGTTAGTCCCTTCCATCGGGTGTGAGAGACATAATGCCAAAATCGAGTTTACAGCTTCTGATTATTTTTGCTTTGCTGAAAAATCTCAACTTTTCCCTTCTCTCTCTGTCCTCTCCCCCACCCCACACACACACACACACACATACACACTCACACGACTTCACCCCCTCCAGAAAAATAAATGACCAAATTAAATTGAGAAGTGCAATTTTAATTTTGTTATTTTCTTGATGAATGGCTATTCGTCCCGGCGCCCCGGCTTGCCAAGCGCAGCTCTGTGGGGCTTTGACTGATTGGTTTTTTAGCCAGGCGGTGTGAGAGGGAGGAGGGAGAAATGGAGGGGAGGCTAGAGAGAGAGAGAGAGAGAGAGAGGTGGAGAGGCTTGGTTAATGATGAGGATTCTCTGAGAAGAGATGGAGCAGAGCTTCACAGCGGGGGGATGGAGATGAGGAGGAGATAATCTGCTGCACAAACGGCAACGAAAAGACTACCTGGCTTTTACCTGAAGGAACCGAGGATCCTATCAGGCAGTCAGGAGCTAGAGTACGCCGTGCAAGACCTGTCTTCCTCGCAGGGGCTTTTATTCATTTCTTAACACATTGTCACAGATTATACAGGGAAGGCAGATAATATAAAGAGGCAACTAGAAAGTTAGTTCTATTTTTAAAAATCAGTTTTATTGAACAGTTTTGCTAAACTGGCTACACTTATGTTATTTTTTAATCACAATATTATATTATTTATACACACACACACGTGCTCACACAGTCATGTTGAGGGTAATTTGGGCTAGCACAATAGCACGGGAGTGGAAGTGGGTATAAACATCAGAGGAGGGTAAACAGAAAAACAGACTTTCAAAATGAGGAAAATTGATTCAGAAAATAAACCAGTGGGACCAAAACAGGTGTGATCTCATTGTTTTGCTGATTACATTTAGATTGCTTGTTAAGGTGTGTTTTTCAATTTCAGAAAACTTTAGTTTCCTTCTTCGGTCACGATTGTAGATACCGGTCTGAATCACCACACCAGCTGAGTGCCAGACTCCAGGGACCATCCATCAATTTTCATCCGCTTATCCAGAGTCGGGTCATGGGGGGCAGTAGCCTAAGGCGAGAGGCCCAGACTTCCCTCTCCCCAGCCACTTGGGCCAGCTCCTCCGGGGGAATCCCAAGACGTTCCCTGGCCAGGTGAGAGACATAGTCTCTCCACCGTGTCCTTGGTCTACCTTTAGGTCTCCTCCCGGTTGGACGTGCGCGGAAAACCTCATCAGGGAGGCATCCACGAGGCATCCTGACCAGATGCCCGAGCCACCTCAACTGGCTCCTCTCAATGTGGAGAAGCAGCGGGTCTACCCTGAGCCCCTCCCGAATGACCGAGCTTCTCACCCTATCTCTAAGGGAGAGCCCATCCACTCTTCGGAGAAAACTCATTTCGGCCGCTTGTATCCACAATCTCGTTCTTTCGGTCACTACCCAAAGCTCATGACCATAGGTGAGGGTAGGAACGTAGATCGACCAGTAAATTGAGAGCTTCGGCTTCTGACTCAGCTCTCTCTTCACCACGACAGTCCAGTACAAAGCCCGCATCACTGCAGATGCAGCACCAATCCGCCTATCGATCTCACGCTCCAGTTTTCCCTCACTCATGAACAAGACCCTGTGATACTTAAACTCCTCCACTTGGGGCAGGACCTCATCCCTGACCCAGAAAAGGCATTCTACCCTTTTCTGAATCAAGACCGTGGTCTCAGATTTAGAGGAGCTGATTCTCGTCCCAGCTGCTTCACACTCGACTGCGAACCGCTCCAGCGAAAGCTGAAGATCACGTTCTGATGAAGCCAACAGGACCACATCATCTGCAAAGAGCAGAAACCTGATCCTCAGGCCACCAAAACGGATGCCCTCCACACCTTGGCTGCGCCTAGAAATCCTGTCCATAAAGGTTATGAACAGAATCGGTGACAAAGGGCAGCGTTGGCGGAGTCCAACTCTCACTGGGAACAAGTCCGACTTACTGCCGGCAATGCGGACCAAGCTCTGACCCCGGTCAAACAGGGACCTAAAGCCGGGCGTACACTGTGCGACTTTTTCACTCGTAGCACTCAGCTTCCGCTCAAACTGTTCAACTTCCTCGCAGGGCAGATCTCACGAGTCATGTGCTCACACTGTATAACCCAGTTCTCGGATGCGATCTGACTGCTCACACTGTACGTCTGGTAGCAACACGTCGGCCCTAAAAATGTGCTAAAAATAGCAGTTTTTACTCAACACATCAGACTTTTTTGTCTTGTTTTTCCTGTTGTCCTTCGGGAGTGCTGCAGGAGGACACACAGGGATTTATGGGGGTTGGATGAGGAAAACGAAAAAGTAAATCTGTGTTTTGTGATCAGTTTAATTTGACATGAACACGACAAACACGATTTCTTGACAATCTTTGTGAGTAAAAAAGTGTAGAAATTAAAACGAACAACGTGTGTTATTAGGGAAATAGCGGGTGAGCGGTGTTGATGCAGGATTGTGCATGCGCCGTGGTGGTTCTGATACATTTTGGGTCGCAGCTGCTCGCAGCGCCGCTTCAACAGTGCAATACCCTCACGAGGGACGAGCAAAATATTAAACGCGCAAGAAGTCCGTGCGAGCTCACGATTGCTGATCGGTAGCTGGTCACGTGGTGTTAATCGCCTCTTGTAACCCCCTGTACACTACACGATGCTTGGCACAAAACTCGCCCCGATCTCGTGGATTCTCGCACGGGTGGAAAATCGGCTCAAAAAAGTGAAAAAGTCGCACAGTGTACGCCCGGCTTAACAGCCCGTATCAGAGGGCCTGGTACCCCATACCAAAGGAGTACCCCCACAGGGCCCCCAGAGGGACGCGGTCAAACACCTTCTCCAAATCCACAAAACACATGTAGACTGGTTGGGCAAATTCCCATGCACCCTCCAGGATCCCCCTAAGGGTATAGAGCTGGTCCAGTGTTCTACGGCCAAGACGAAAATCACATTGCTCCTCCTGAATCTGAGGTTCAACAATCCGACAGACCCTCCTCTCCAGAACCACTGAATAGACCTTACCAGGAAGGCTTAGGAGTGTGATCCCCCTGTAGTTGGAACACACCCTGCGGTCCCCCTTTTTAAATAAGGGGACCACCACCCCGGTTTGCCAGTCCAGATGCCCCCGATGTCCACGCGATATTGCAGAGCCACGACAGCCAACACAGCCCCACAACATCCAGAGTCTTAAGGAACTCCGGGTGGATCTCATCCACCCCTGGATCCTTGCCACAGAGAAGCTTTTTAACCACCTCAGTGACCTCAGCAACAGAGATTTGAGAGGCCAACCCAAAGTCCCCAGACTCTGCTTCCTCACTGGAAGACGTGTCGGTGGGGTTGAGGAGGTCTTCGAAGTATTCTGCCCACCGATCCACAACGTCCTGAGTAGGGGTCAGCAGCACACCGTCCCCACTATAGATAGTGTTGGGAGGGCACTGCTCCCCCCCCCCAAACCCCCCCCACTCCGAGGTGCTGGATGGTGGACCAGAATCTCATCGAAGCCGGAATTCTTGCTCCATGGTCTCACTGAACTCCTCCCATGCCCAGGTTTTTGCCTTGGCGACCACCCGAGCTGCCTTCCGCATGTACTGCCGGTACCCGTCAGCTGCCTCTGGAGTCCCACAGGCCAAAAAGACCTGATAGGACTCTTTCTTCAGCTTGACAGCATCCCTAACCGCCGGTGTCCACCAGCGGGTTCGGGGGTTGCCACCACGACCGGCACCGATGGTCCTACGACCACAGCTCCGGTCAGCCGCCTCAACAATGGAGGCACGGAACAGGGCCCATCCAGACTCAATATCCCCTGCCTCCCCCGGAACATTTTGGAAGTTCTGTCGGAGGTGGGAATTGAAGCTCCTTCTGACAGGAGACTCTGCCAGACGTTCCCAGCAGACCCTCGCGATACGTCTGGGCCTGCCTGGTCTGACCGGCATCCTCCCCCACCATCTGAGCCAACTCACCACCAGGTAGTGGTCAGTTGACAGCTCCGCCCCTCTCTTCACCCACGTGAGTGTCCAAGACATACGGCCGCAGGTCAGACGAAACAGCAACAAAATCGATCATCGAGCTGCAGCCTAAAGTATCCTGGTGCCAAGAGCACATATGGACAACTTTATGTCTGAACATGGTGTTCATTATAGACAATCCATGACTGGCACAGAAGTCCAATAACAAAACACCACTCGAATTCAGATCAGGGGGCCGTTCCTCCAAACCACACATCTCCAGGTCTCACTGTCGTTGCCTACGTGAGCGTTAAAGTCCCCCAGCAGAACGAGGGAGTCACCGGAAGGAGCGCTTTCCAGAACCCCCTCCAAGGTCTCCAAAAAGGGTGGGTAGTCTGAACTGTAGTTTGGTGCATAAGCACAGTCCACAGTCAGAACCCATCCCCCCACACGTAGGCAGAGGGAGGCTAGCCTCTCATTCACTGGGGTAAACCCCAACATACAGGCACCAGGATGGGGGGCAACTAGTATGCCCACCCCTGCTCGGCGCCTCTCATTGGGAGCAACTCCAGAGTGGTAGAAAGTCCAATCCCTCTCAAGGAAACTGGTTCCAGAGCCAGAGCCATGCGTTGAGGTGAGTCCGACTATATCTAGTCAGAATCTCTCAACCTCATACACCAACTCAGGCTCCTTCTCCACCAGAGAGGTGATATTCCATGTGCCAAGAGCCAGCTTCTGTAGCCGAGGATCAGACCGCCAAGGTCCCCGCCCTCGACTACCACCCTTCACACACTGCATCCGACCCATTTGGCCCCTCCCACGAGTGGTGAGCCTATGGGAAGGGGGACCCATGTTTCCTCTTCCGGCTGTGCCCAGCCGGGCTCCATGGATGAAAGCCCGGCCACCAGGCGCTCGCCAGTGTGCCCCACCTCTAGGCCTGGCTCCAGAGGGGGGCCCCAGTGACCCACGACTGGGCGATGGAACACGGTTTCCATTTATATAATTCATCATAAGAGGTCTTCGTGCTGCTCTTTGTCTGATCCCTCACATAGGACCTGTTTGCCATGGGTGACCCTACCAGAGGCAGAAAGCCTCAGATAACTTAGCTCCTAGGATCATTGAGACACTCAAACCCCTCCACCACGGTAAGGTGGCAGCCCAGGGAGAGGCGATCTCATTGTTTTGCTGAAAACAGGCACGATCTCATTGTTTTGCTGATTACATTTAGATTGCTTGTTAAGGTGTGTCTTTCAATTTCAGAAAACTTTAGTTTCCTCCTTCGGTCACAATTGTAGATACCAGTCTGAATCACCACACCAGCTGAGTGCCAGACTCCAGAGACATTCAGCGTAATAACAGGATTATTTACCCTGAAAAGTAACCATAAGATTCCTGAGAAATGATATTATTTCACAGAAGCCGAGTCTGGTTACACCTCTCACAGGAGGAAGAGTAGCTTCCTTGATCAATATTGTTGTTTGTCAGTGTTCGCCTGCTACATTAGCAGCTGCTGTTTTTAAAGCGGTCAGCAGGCAGATGTTTGAGATAACACAGTATTTTTCTTCGGATGAAAACACAGCTTCGACGTCTCACTCCTCTGGCGAAGGCTGAAGCTGTAATATTCTGCCTCTGCTCCGCTTACGGCTCCTCTGATTACTTCTTCATGTGTGCATGTTGTGTCTGCTTCTGTCTCCTATCAGTCCATTGATCCGGGCCAGCAGTTCACCTGGGAGCACTCCAATCTGGAGGTGAACAAGCCCAAAAATCGTTACGCCAACGTCATTGCCTACGACCACTCCCGTGTCATCCTGGCTCCCATCGAGGGTAAGGTTCATTCACACACAGTTTCTGAGCTAGACATCATGCCGTCTGCTGAATCCTCATTTAGTTTAAGTAGAAGTCAGAGGTCATTCAGGAAAATATCTCCAATAGGTAGTTATTTTATGTTTTACACAGAAACACAACTTTAAAGGGAGGCATATTGTGCTAATCCAACCTTTTGCATCCTTTTGTGCTGCCATGTGGGGCTCTGCTGCCCTAATAAACATGCATCTCTAACCCTACTCCTAAATGTGAAAAATCCTATCTGTTTTCTGCCATTTTTTAATTTTAGGAAGTATGTGGTTAAAACAAGCCATTGAAAAAAGTCCCCTTTTGTGATGTCACAAACAAGGATCAAATTAGAATAGCATGAAGGAGCAGCGGCTCTACTTTGAGCCCCTCCTGGTTATCAGGGCTTCTCAGCCTGAATTGGGGACAGATGGGCGTGGCCAGCCCCAGATGATTTTTTTTATGCCGCTTCCACATTTGGCCCGGTCTGCTCCGCATAGCGTTGTTCCGGATCCCGCGCCGGTAGGGTTTGTTAAAGCCTAGTTTATGCTTCTGCGTCACCTCCACAAGGGAGAGATGCACTGACAGAGACGTTTTGCTCGGACTTCTCTTTCTCCTGTGGAGTGTTGCAAAATAATTCGCACCAGGACAACAGAGGCATAGCGTTGTTCTGGGATATCCTGTCATGTATCCGGTCCAAGATTGTGCATTTACTGTTGTGTTTTGTTTTATTTCAGAGACTTTCAACGCAGACAAATTTGTCCCTCGTTCTCCTCTATCTCTTCATGCGCTTGCCTCATCTAGACCCACGTTTCTCGTAATTTCCGTCCACAAATAAAACACTCGCTGCATATATTTTTTCTCATCCCGTCACGAGTGAATAAAATGTTCATATTTTTAGAGTTTTTCTGCGAGGTATTCTTCAACCTGCTCCGTGTCTGCCGCTAGATATCTTTGGCTCCCTTTATGTTTTTGAGGGCACAATGGCGGTGCTGTTGGCGAAACAGAATCCTGACCAATCCGTTCAACGGATGTTTAGAAAAGTGGGCTCATCTCTGTCTGTTCTTGCGTGCCTGCTGGAGAGCCCTCGCAGGGATGGATAATGGCGTTGCAAGTCTCCGTACCAATGCAAAAGCATAAACTAGGCTTTACACACGCATCTCAGGGGTGTGTAATCTCAGAGCATGTGGGCGGGGCAAACAACGCATGGAGAAATCCACGGTGTCGCCAATAAATTAAAGAAAGGCAGCCATGAAGTGTTGCTCTTGGAGACTGATGCTAATTATGCATCCTGCTCTGCTGTGTCTGTCCTGGCGCAGCTCAAGCCTGGCGTCTTGTGTGTGTGTGTGTGTGTGTGTGTGTGTGTGTGTGTGTGTGTGTGTGTGTGTGTGTGTGTGTGTGTGTGTGTGTGTGTGTGTGTGTGTGTGTGTGTGTGTGTGTGTGCTCCACAAAGAAAGATGGAGGAAAACGATGGCTTCAGTCAGAGACATTGTTTACTCCACAGTATCTGGAAAGATAATGAAACGCGCATGCAGGAAGCCTCCGCTGGCTGATTGCATCCTCCAGTCGGAAGCTCCCTCTAATGGTATGTGTGAATTTGAGCCAGCCAGTCAGTTGGCAGTGGGTGTGTTGGACCAGTTGATCCCGAAGCAGACCGCCTTGGGAAGAGGGCTGAAAGAACAAGCGGATGTGCGCACATAAAATCCGAGCTATGCGGATGTGAACGCTTCATACCGTATCTAGGTAGTGTGCAGCCGGCGCTAGTGTGGAAGTCCTATAAAAATGACAGAGCCCTAAAATGACTCATTCTGGAAGGTACTGACATTGTCAAGAATAAAACTGCTGAGATTGCTTAATGTGAGAAGGTTTTGGTGCAAAGAACTTAAAAATGAAGTTTTGTATCGACCATAGAATTATTATAACTTAAGAAAAAATGTCATATAATGTCTTCATTTTAATCAGTGAAGTATGAACACATTTATGTTTTAAACTGAGGACTAGTTTCAGCTTCGTCACAACTGTTAATGTAACCAGTTTTTATAGAGCAAAGCAAGGTCTTGTTTTGGTTCATCGTTGTGCACAGCTCACACTTTTCACACTCAACGGGGGATCCATGGACTTGAACCAGTGTTTGCAACTCCCCATTTGTCTCTTCAGATCCGCCCTTTGCTCTTGACTTTCCTCTAACTGGCCATAGACACTGAGTACTTCCAATCTCACGGCCAGAGACGCTCTTCCTCTGACTCCTAAATCTTAAGGGACGTTGTCGGCGGTACTCACCCTTCAGTGCTGACATTGCTCTGCTTCACCAGAAGAGCTCTCAGCTCCTCGCAGAAACACCAAACTCTGTGCTCCAGAATACCTTTGTTTTTGTTTGAGTTTGCAGCTTTGAGGCTGAGTTTCAACGTTGCAGGGCAGTCTGGCCAAATTGACAGCACAACAGCATGCATGGCAAAATTATCCCAGCGAAGAAGAATGCCTCGTCCATAAATACATAAATTAATCAAGTCTGAAATTTCTATTTTACACTGCAGTGGTTTTGCTATTAGTCGCAGCAGTAGAACGATTCATGCACTCCACAGTTCTCTGTTCACTTAGCTATGACTAAAGCCAAAGCTCTACAATCACATTTTGTGACGTGGTATTCTTTTTAATTACATTTTACTCCTTTTCTGCCTTATTTACATTCTTTTTTTTCTTGTTTCCTTCTCCTTTTTAATCTCCCTGCACTCACTCCGGCTCTGATGCTTTTGTTATTGTGCTCCTTCTCTTCACCCTGGTTGTTGTCCGCACTCCGTCTCATCTCTCAAATTAGCTCAGTCGAGTGTTTTATTGTTTGCTGCTTGAGTGAGGAGACGTCAGTCAAAGAGACGTGACTCCACAACACAGACGCCACCTCTCTGCAGTCTCATTTCAAACAGAAGCAAGTTGGTTGAACAAAGATTGGCGATGCTCTGCCTTATCATTGTCAGCTTCTCTGTGTTACTAACTGATCACAAGATTAACTCATCTTGTTTCAAACCTCTTTGTTGTTAAACTCATTGATAAGCTCAATCTAGTAGGAGTTTACCCGATAAATAAGTGGGATCCTTGCACATTCTTGTACCCAGAGATTCAGAGGATGGCCTCTTAACTATTAAAGCCACATTCCCACACAGTTCTGGCTGTCTAAAAGCAATGATGATGGCTGCGTGGCAGATTTAATCACGTACAGCCGTCCACACAACAGAAGTAGAAAACAGTAAATAATCCAAAAGCAAAATGTATACAGGGGAAATTCCAGAAATGATAATACGGTGCAAAAGTCCATTGATTTCTGTAATTCTTCTTAGATTGAGAGACCACCTAAAGGCTCAGGAACCCTTTGTGGGTGTTTTGGATTCATTAGTTGATTAGTAAGTAAGAAGTAAGTTATTAAATTTTATTTATATAGCATTTATCACATAGAATCACAAAATGCTTCACATAGATCAAAACAAAATAAAACATAAAATCATAATGATCTCCAAACAGAAATAGATTAACATCAGAAAAAATAAAGTATTTAAAAATATAAAATTTCACAAACAGATAAACAGCTCTGGTCTGAGCTGAGCTGCAGTCAGAGAAGATGTTTACCCCACTGCATCCAGATTGCTAATGAATCGCACCTGCGCCTATCAGAGGCTCTCAATAGTAAGCAGGCATTAAAGCGACCATCAGTCTATAGGTGGGTGTTTATGGTCGGCTCAGCATGAAACAAACCCCAGGGAAGCAGCGCTGATAAAAGCGGTCATCTCTGCACGGATAACACCAATGCAAATGCAATGACCCCACATGATGGGAACTGTTGACTTACGCTTGAATGATCTCTTTTGGTTTGAAGGAGAAATATAAATTTCAAACCTCAGATCTGAAATGTTGTGAGAGAAGTCGTATAACTTTAATATTTGGTCTTTTCTTACAGTTTTTTTTTCTTTATTTGTTATTTAGATTTGTGTCAAATTGGTTTAAATAGGATTAGAAACTATTGGTGTGTGTGTGTGTGTGTGTGTGTGTGTGTGTGTGTGTGTGTGTGTGTGTGTGTGTGTGTGTGTGTGTGTGTGTGTGTGTGTGTGTGTGTGTGTGTGAACTGGGAGCTGCTGTGGTGCATAACAGAAAACCAAAGGTGCTAATTAGGAGTAAAAGGGAAATACACAGAAGTAGGCATGTAAGCAGAGCCGTCAGAGGCAACATTTTGGTAAATGGTCTGTATTGATATGGTTCCCTCTTGGGTTCTACAACCCCCAAAGCACTTTACAACTCAACCAGTCAGTCACACACATTCACACACTGGTAGTGATGAGTTACAACATCAACAGCATGGTCCTCCTGACCACCACCAGCAGGCAGGTGGGTGAATTGTCAAGGACACAATGACTGAGCTCACATCTGCAGCCCTCTAGTTACAGGCCTGCACTTAACTCCTCTGCCACCTCCAATTATTTAAATTTCTTTTCTTCTGTCCCTGTAGGTATAACAGGTAGCGATTACATCAATGCCAACTACATTGATGGCTACAGGAAGCAGAATGCCTACATCGCCACCCAGGGTCCATTACCAGAAACGTTTGGAGATTTCTGGAGGATGGTGTGGGAACAGAGAACAGCAACTGTTGTCATGATGACCAGGCTGGAGGAGAAGTCAAGAGTAAGTCTCTGTTCCTCTTTTGGCTGGCTATTTTTAAACCTTAAAATGACCTTTATTGGTGCTGTTAGTGCTGAAACTCTTAACAAGATCGACTGATCAGCGCTAGCGAAAGACAATTTTGCGCATCTTTACAGGTTTTGCTCCATCCTCTTATTTTGAAAGACGATCAGCGAGCTGTTGCATGTTCCCAATGGTGGTTATAGGGCAGCAAGTTGCATAGAGACTCCACAGAGCAGGACATGAAAATGAAATTTGAAGGAACTGAGTGTGCTGGCATCTTTGTGGAATCTGTGACGAAAGCCTCCCACAGCCATCTGTTGGTGGAAGATGGAGGAAGCACTGTGAGAGAGAAATGTCTGGCACTTCCTAGACGTTTGCATTTGTGCATTGTAGTCGTTTCAATTAACAGCTCTCACCTAAATAATTTTATATTTTACCTCAATCAGTGCGTTTACATGCAGCCAGTAATCATTTTAAAACCCGAATATTCACAATAACCCGGTTCCGCAGGTCCTTGTAAACACCGCCAAAAACCCGGATATGCTCATAACCGGTTACTACACCTGGGGTAACCCTTTTCTAACTCGAATGTTTGGTCGTGTAAACGCATATCAGGATATCCCCATCAAAGCGTGTGTTCTGCGCATGCTCTGTTCGCAAAGAATCTTGGTCTTTTGAGTAGCGAGACGTCTTGTATGCGCCAGAACACCGGAAGTAAACAACAAATAGGGAGCAACATGGCGAGTCACGGCACAGCACCACACTTTGAGTGACGAGGAAACTAAAGCGCAAACAAACGCGGTCGCTATCTCTTCCGAACTGGGAAACATGTTGTTGTTTTCACCGATACCAGAACAAGAACCGGAAATGACGCATATTGTGTCTGGACGTAGTCCATACGTCCTGACGCTACCCCAACGTCCGCAGTTAAATCGGGTTATGCAAGTTAGGGGTAACTCTTTCTATTTATGCTTGTAAACGGGTTATTCTGATCAACTCAGAAACCCGAATCCCGACCTTAACCCGATCATAACACGGATATTGGCTGCATGTAAACGTACTCCATGACACTTGCTCAGCTCCTGAATCTACAGCAGTAGAGTTCAGTAGAGGCGTGGCCTGAACATCAAAAAGCCATCTGCAGTGTTTCGCCTTGTCAACTCAAACCAGTGTCAACATCAAAGTCCCTCACCCCAGGTGTCTCCGCTCATTCCTCCCCCCTTCTGTCCCTTTATCCATTGTTTACCTATCTCCATCCTGACATGCGCATTCCCCTCCTGTCAAACGTGATCAGGATTGGCAAGGACTGGAACTTGAGTGTCGGCTTCAGCAGGAAATGGGAGGGAAAGCTGCAGAGCTGCACGTCTCCTTCACTAGCTGTCAAATTTCATCAGCTGTCCGCCGGCACATCTCACCCTGGACCGAGTGAATCTTTATTAGGTGGTGTGATGGAGGTAGAGTCAGGTGGTGCTGGGGTTTTAGATGTACTGTACTCCCACAGGAGACGGAGAAACCAACAACTCACAGTCGTAATGAGAAACCTGATCAGGATCTGTTCTGAGATGCATCCCTAAGCTTTAGGAAGAAAGCTGGGTTTTAAAAGCATGCCTTTTATTCCTGATGGATGCTTTCATTTAAGGATTTTTGTCAAAAACAGGATGAAAATGAAATCAGGCCACAAGAGGGGGGCTGCTTTAGCATCATTTTTCATGATGACATTTCAGATACCCCTTGTGTTTCTGTCTCCGCCTCCTGATGTTTTAATCCACAAGAAGACTTGCTTTATGTGTGCAAATTTCTGTCCATTTTTATTTGTCTGCTGTGCCTCATCACACACGTGATCTTTAGTTGATTGAAAGTGACACCCTAACACCTTCCCCTGTTCTTCTGTCTGTTTTTCTTCTCACTCCTCCCGTCGCAGATTAAATGTGACCAGTACTGGCCCAGTCGTGGCACGGAAACGTACGGCATGACCCAAGTGACCCTGCTGGACACTATAGAGCTGGCCACTTTCTGTGTTCGCACTTTCTCCCTACACAAGGTAGGAGAATTCATCTCTATGACAGATAAAAAAATGGTATTTTAAACAGACTGAGTCATTGTTATAATTTTAAAAGATGGGTAACGCACCAGGTGTTGAGAATAACTTTCATTTACACCGAGTGCGGAATGGAAGCGCTCCGGAATCCAAACGGCTTACACAATCAGAGCATTCACACCGCCTGTGGAGCGGTGTAGATCTAGATGCCGAGCTCCAGAAAGTTTCCACATGGAGTCTTTGTTTTCTGGACACCGCATGCAGATTTTCATGAAGTTAAAGAAATGAAATGAGCCAGGCAGGAAGTGAGACTTGTGCAAGTCATCCGGTCTATAGCGAGCCTAAGTCTCCCCCACTTCTGTTCATGGCTCCCCGAAACAATGAAATAATGAAGTGAATGAATAAATAATGGTGTGTGTATCCACTGTGTCTGTCATTTGACTTGAAATTAATTTGCTTGTAAAAATGTAATTATTGTAACTACAAATCAGGCGTCGCATAAATGACATCACTACAGAATCTTATGTTCGCTAGCGTAGCTGCTAATGTCCGCATGGCCAGATTTATGGTAGTTTTTTTTCCATGTTTAATGCTCTGAATTTTGTCCTGGAAAAAGGATTTGAAGCTCGCTGAACTCACAGCCATTTTTCTTCTCTTGGTATCAATTTGGTGAGACTAACGTTTGTAGTTCTATACGTCATTTCACATAAAAACAAAAATTATTATTGCCCCCATTTGGAAATAAGCACTTTCTTGGCATCAAAATGACTCTTTAAAATGCATGAACATCATATGCGAACGTCAAGGCACATATCAAATGGGATCAGAAAATAACTTTTTTTCCTCCATAAATGATCTTTTTTTTTGGGGGGGGGGGGGGGGGGGGGGACCCAATGGTCCAGAAATGTAGGCATGACGTTGGCTCTCTATTTCAAAATAAAGCCTTCACAGTGTATAATAGCTCACGTTAGTGAATCTTTATGCACGTTACATCCCATTTCTAAGGCAAACTCACATTAACCCCCAAGATTTGGTGCTCTCGCAGGAACACATTTGCAGAGGTGTTCTGCACACGATCCGCAGTCAGTGTAAATGGCAGTCTGTTCTGTGTTTTTGAAGGTCACCATATTTCACGGCATCAAATTCAACCGCCCTGAGACTGGGAGATCGGGGTTCCAATCTGCAGTCGGTCATACCAAAGACTTTAACAATGAGACCCAATGCCTCCTGCCTGACACTTTAAGGGGTTGGATTGGGGCAGTCAAACCACCAAATAGTTCCCGAGCGCAGCCACAGCTGCAGCTCACCGCTCCTCCAGAGGATGGGTCAAAAATGCAGAGAACAAATTTCACCTCAATAATAAAAGTGTGTGAAAACTAAAGAGACTTTAGTCTTTTTCCATCGATCCATCCCCGTGGTTCATGAGATGTTTTACTAAAAAAAAATCACACAGACACAGAAACGGGCAGAGTATTTAGAAAACTTTTGAGGTGTCTTTTTGTGATAAACTGTTAAAGCAAACTAAATATATCTATAGCACATTAAAATGAATCAAAGCGTGTTGAAGTAAATAAGTTATAGTGTTACATCACTGAAAATCAAAATTTAATTGCTGCATTCTGTAAAGTGTAAAAGAACCAGATCACAGGGTGCATGATGGAGAACAACACAAACACGACGTTTCCACGGACAACAAAGGAAGGGGCCCTAAAGCTGGGGCAGATTTTCCATTCTGTACAATCGTAGCAAAGAATAACTTGTTGTGTCTATTGTCCTTCCAATCCACCCCCCATTTACCTTGTTTAGCTTTGTCTGTCCTCAATAGATCATCTGTTTATGTGCATCTGCCGAATTGGAGCACTTAGGTAAAGTGAGCAGAAAAGAAACTCAATATACATAATTGGCAGACTGCTCTCATGCTTCTGTGTTTTGCACAAAGACCCTCGCATCACACACGCCAATTCAAACACTGAAACACACACACTCACGTGCAAGCAGCCGCTCGTACACACACACACTCGTGCTCTGCTGAAACGTGATGCCGTACACAGATAAAGCACCCGCAGACATGAAAAACACACTGACATGCTCTTACATGCACACATAGAGACAGAAGGGGAAAAACAGGGAGAAGGTGCATGTGCACATGCATATTTATAGTATGTTGGCTCTATCGCTCACACACTCCTCGTGATAATACGATGGCTCTTCCAAGCAGGAGCAGCAGCCACTAGGCAGATTAAAAATGATCTGAATTTTCCTCTCATCCAGGTAGCAGCAGGTTAATAGCAGCTCTGACTTTTTAGCGGAATCGAAACAATGAAGCCGAGCCAGAAACGGTAAAAACGGAAACACATCAGCAGCCATAAAGCTAGCTGGTTGACATTCAGGCACATTTATGTTCTGCTGCTCTGAGACTATTAAATCCACCAGTACCGTCCCCTCTTTCTTTTTCTTTATCTGTGCTCTCTTTGCAAATTGGAGTTGTTGCTGTGATTTCTCACTCAACAGCTCTCACCTTAGTGAATCTGTTGTAATGAATCAGGCAACACACACACACAAACAAACACACACACACACAGAGTGCAACTTCCACGCAGCTGCTGGGGTACCTATACTGTGTTTACGGCTATCCTACAGTAATGCACAATAGTTTCTGCTGACAAACCTTTTAGAAAAGTAAATTAATTCAGCAGGAGGAAAAAAAAAGAGCAGCCAGAAACTCGAGTCCCGTTCACGCAGCCTACCTCAGCTGCAGAAATGCAAAACGTCAAAAGAGGCAGAGCGAAAAAGAACTAGGTCAGTTTGCTTTTAATTACCACACTCATTTATTCATTTATTCAGCAAGAAAAAATTTCCCTCCGTCAGGAAAAGCTGAAGCTCCACACTAAAAAGCAAACAGCCCCTCTATTAGAGGATCTTATGAGAGGAAAGAGAGGAGCCAGAAAGATCTGAGGGAGATTTTATTTTCTCTCGTCTTAGCCTTCTTCTACAAAAATAAATGAACAAATAAAAATCACCTCTCTTTAGATCCCAACGTGCAGTTTTGAAAAGCTGGAAAATGCTGAAAGATAAACATGCAACATCCATGTGAAGCTGTCTCATCTTTATTTAGATTAGAAGGAAGGTAGTTCTGGTGGCCCAGCACCTATTTTATTTATTTATTTTATTTATTTATTTGTTTGTTTGTTTAGTAGAACAAACCTGCAGAAATTTGCTTTTTAATTAGGGACTAGATTTAAAACGGCTCAACAAGCAACTCGGTGCACCAGAATGCACAAAGCTTTATTTACTACCAACAGAAAATGGTTTGGATGCAGATATTTCATGTGAGACTCAATAAAATAATATCAGAACAGCATTTTTGACGTTTCTCCGAAGTGAACTAAATGTCATTTTTTTTTCAATAAATAAAGCTGCTTTTTCTCAAGCAAGATGGATGACCCATAGAGTTGATTCATGCAAAAACTTTGCTTTTTTCCAATCAGTAAAGATGATAATAATACGATGCATGTAGACTTGTTTGTCTTTCTGAAGGCAAACCGGTTCTAATCGTGCTGAAGCACCAAGATAACGTAGCAGGAACACGAATGTGTGTGCCATGGATTTCACATATGATGTTTGTGAATTTTAAAGATGCATTTTGATACCGAGAACATGCTCATTTTCAAACAGGGCAAATGTTGTTTTAGATTTTGTGTGAAAATAAGTCCGCGACTATAAATGCGCTTCACTAAATCGACGTAATTGAACCAGACACGGAGAAACGCAGAGGGAAAATGGCTGTAAGTTCAGCGAACTTCATATCCTTCTATCAGGAGGAAAGGAGGCATGTCGCCACCTACTGTACCGGAGTGGAACTAACCTGTATGTAGGATAAAGACTCTCAGTATTTTACTTTAGATCAACCTAAATCAACCTAGAGCATGTAAATGACATATCAACCTGGCTTTTAGGTTATGACAAAAAAAAAGGAAGCACACAAACAGCATTGCTACAACTACTCCACAGAAGAGAACCACCACCAGTGCACACATGACCAACATGGCTGTCGCCACCTCACTTCTTACCTTCCAGAACGGCTCGAGCGAAAAGCGGGAGGTTCGTCAGTTCCAGTTCACAGCGTGGCCCGACCACGGTGTGCCGGAGTACCCGACCCCCTTCCTAGCCTTCCTCCGTAGGGTGAAGACATGTAACCCGCCTGATGCCGGACCCATCATTGCTCACTGCAGGTCATTAAGAATGCTGCGTTATTAGTTCTGATTTGATTGTGTTTCAATGTAATTTAAATATATTTATGAAATTTAATAACACAATTAGACAGTTGTACTTTAAAAGATTATTGAATTCCTTTATTTATTAAATGTATTATCAGTTCATACTGATACATACCAGGCCTTATGCAAGCACTCTTCCTTATGTGGTTTCAGTCTTCTCTCCTTGATTTTTGTGTCATCATCCTTCTCTGTGGCATCCTTTTAAATGTTGTCATTCTCCTCGCCGCTGAAATGTCACGCAGTAATCCCTCCCCACCTTTCCTGCCTCTCCCCTTGTCCCTGCTTAGTGCTTCCTTCTTATACAAGCTATAGTTCTCAGATGGCTTATTCAAATTGAAGCCTTCCTTTTTTTTGTCAAGATAAAAAGACTTCAGTGAGTCCAAAGCGCCACACAATAATTCTAAAGTTTGACAGCTTGAGTCTCCATCAGTCTCCTTATGCTGTGCCATTTGCCTTTTCTGTCCTTTTTCTTATTTTTTAAATCAAACCATCAAAAATTCTTAGATTACTATAACATAAGAATTGTGTATACAATTAACTAGAAATCTTGTATTAAATACCTAAATGTAATGAGGAAGTATAGAAGTATTATGTTGATTACTCTCTATCCATTGTAGTGCTGGTGTTGGGCGGACAGGCTGCTTTATAGTAATCGACGCCATGCTCGAGCGCATCAAGCACGAGAAGACGGTGGACATTTACGGCCACGTGACGCTAATGCGCTCTCAGCGGAACTACATGGTGCAGACGGAGGACCAGTACAGCTTCATTCACGACGCGCTGCTAGAGGCGGTGGCTTGCGGGAACACCGAGGTGGCCGCCCGCAGCCTGTACTCCTACATCCAGAAGCTGGCCCAGGTGGAGAGTGGGGAGCACGTCACCGGGATGGAGCTAGAGTTCAAGGTACAGGAAGTGAACCTTTTCTTTTACTTTTTGAACACTATCATCAACTCTTTCACCAAGTTCTATTTCTGAATTTTACCATAAAAAAATGTGAAGTGTGTGCCTCATGGGTGAAATGAGTTGACCCTTCCTGAGAACTGTTAAGTTTTCTTTGGTTAACCATTAAACTTTTGAAATAAATTAGTACACTTTCTTTTTCCTAGAACTTGTTGTGCCTGCAAATTGATTTGATGTCATTGTTTGGTTTTTTGTCAAGCCTAACTCTTGTTTTGTGTTTTATTTTGGTGTTTTAACAAAACCTTGTATTTCCTAAACAGCAACTTTGTTTCATGTGACAATAAAATAGGAGATTAGAGGAGATATATCAGTGGGGTGTGATGGAAAAACGTATTTGTATTCAAATGACGCTGCACTTTATAGCAAGTCGCTCATTTAGAGTCATACAAAAGTTAAATAGACAGTGTGTGTGTGTGTGTGTGTGTGTGTGTGTGTGTGTGTGTGTGTGTGTGTGTGTGTGTGTGTGTGTGTGTGTGTGTGTGTGTGTGTGTGTGTGTGTCAGGTAGGCAGAATTGAAATTAAAGGCCAAGTTCACTGAGAAACCATTTTTACTTATTATTTTCAGTTCAGTATTCAGGGTTTTGATAGCAAACATACAAAAAAAATGCTCAGTTCAGGTCTTGTCCAGTAGTCCGGAGTCTACTACTACTTCTCTGTAGTCGTTTTTTTTAAACGAATGTCCACCCTCCCAAAATATAGCATCCACACCACCTCGTTTTTAGATAAAGCTCCATCCACACGTAACCGCATAAGTGCATGCCAGACCTGTAGTTCCTCTGAATCCCGTCCGTTTCGTCCTCCTGCTCAACAACAAAACATAAAACATGGCACCTAGCTCATTTGTGTGGACCAATGAGGAGGTTGCTCTTAAATGTAGTTTTATAACTAGTTCTACTGATAATGCCAGCACATCTCCGAGGGCCTCCATGTTGCGGTGTAAACACAGGTTGCACACGGGCCATCAGCGTCGCTGTGAAACCTAAAACTTTGGTTATTTCTGTCCACACAGAAACACTTAAAACGGAGAAAACACAAATCTTCTTTTTTGCCGGAGTTTTTAAAAAGATTTGTTTTCATTGCGTCAATCTGCGTTTTTGTGTGGATGACAGGCAGAATCATAGAAAAATATCTTCGTTTTGGAAGATACCCGGCTACGTGTGGACAGGGCCTCAGAAAAGCAACACAGATCTACGTCACACCGTCACAACATTCATGGACTCACCCATATTGACTCGGGACAGGGAAGGCAGTAGAGAATGTCTCGACTAGTACAAGCTAACCATTAGCATTAGCAACTCCACCACACAACAGAACTCCTTCAGGTTTGTGTTATGTGTGGAGATAGAACATCAATATTGCAGAACAAACAGAGTCAATGGTAGAATTGCGTTTCTGTTAGCCAATCAGAGGCAAGATGTCCAAATATCAGGAAATAAGACTCCAGATCCTCCGGCTGACTTCTACGTCATCATACAGGTGCACAGTGCAGAGTACAACTTATAAAGCATTCATTCCCACTGCAAATGTATTAAAATATGAGTGAAGTTGACCTTTAACTTCTGTTTTTATGGCTGTTCTGTTTTCTAGTTAATATAACAGCTGGACTAGAAACAATTTTAATTTAAGTCATCAAAGCTCACCTAAATACTTTTTTATTTATGTGAAATGTGGTTATGTGTTTTTTTTTTTGTAGAAACATAAAATACAAAAGCAGAAAATAAGTTTTATTCCTAAAGTTTAAAGACTTTTTTCAGCATTCAGATAATAGAAAGGTAAGAAGTCAGGCTAAACACTCCATTTTTACAAATATTTCTTCTGAATATCTTTGTAAAAATTAATAATTAATCCTGTATGAACTCCTCTCAGCCTCTGTGCTGTAGTCTCTATCTGCTGACCTTGGATTGGATGCTCTCTCACTCTTAAATCATCCATCACCTATACGCGGCTATTCATCAACACAGCCTCTCTGCCAGGAAACAATAATATTGCTGGTGTGTTTCAACCTTTTTATTTCTTTTTTCTAAACTCTGGCACATATAAGGGATGGAACCCTCATAGCTATTTGTAACAGGGACTACGCTGAACTGGCGTCAGGAGTCAAACTGGGATTAATAACGTTGACATTACCGTGAGAACAGACTGATGAGGTGTGTGTGTGTGTGTGTGTGTGTGTGTGTGTGTGTGTGTGTGTGTGTGTGTGTGTGTGTGTGTGTGTGTGTGTGTGTGTGTGTGTGTGTGTGTGTGTGTGTGAAGAAAGCTACAAAAGCTAAGTAACTAATCTTTGATTATGAAGAATGGAGGTTGGTGGCAGATTGAGCAGATGCAGAAATGTTGAGCTAACGAGCAAAGCTACAAGGATGTGCTAACTTGGAGGTAAAGAGGGGATCTCACAGAGGAGCAAGGCCTCTCAGGTGGGATGCTGCGAGGTTCTGACTAAGTGAAGTCTAGAGTTGAGCGGAGAGAATAATTCCACTAGAGGGATTTCTGTTGAGCCTGCCAGGCTGTCACTTGGTTGTACACTGTGTGTGCATGAGTAACAAGCGTGATCACAGAGCTATTTATGCACATAACCCGCTTGCAGGAAAGTATTCAGCAAAGTTCAGTACAAGAATTACACAAACCCAAAAACAACAGAGACAAGCTACCAGGCTCCTTTTCTAATTACACAGTAAAGGATTTGTGTGGAATTCAACAGCGTTTAGGATGCAAACAAGAAGGCAAAGATGCTCTTTCACATTATTCTGGAAGTTTCCAACATGTTTACAATGTAAGTCCTATCAATACAAAGTAAGATCTATTATGAGGTTTATGTAACAAATACAATCGAAAATCAAGTCAATTTAAATGTTAGTTTAAGATTTTTCCTTTTACCTAATTTTATCAGCTGATTTTACCAGATTTTAATGCAAAAAGTTTCTATTTTAAACATTTTTAGTAGTTTTTTGATATTAGCTTCCAGGGTTGATTGATATTTAACTGGCTTAAGTTTAATTTGCCACTGACTTTAACACAAATCCAAACTACATGATAACCGACAACCTGAGAGGTGGTTTATTTTTTTTAATCATGACATTATCCAACATGTTAACTCAGCACGTCTGTTAATTGCTGCCAAAATGTCCTGTTTTACGTCAGTGAGTTTCACAACTCGTTTTGTTCAGAATTAGCCTCTGAATCTTGCAGTGAGGTTTAATTTTTACAATGGGTCATTTTATGCAGAATTCTGCACACTATTGTTCATAGGGCTGGGCGATATGGCCTAAAATCAATGTCACGATATAATGAGGATTTCACCTCGATAACGATAAATGGACGATAACAACAGGTATGCGCAGAGACAAAAGTTGTCCACTAGATGGGGCTGTCACATGTGTCACGTTGAGTCACATTTTTGACTCAAGGTGGTACAGCTTCTTAATGGGACATGAACGATGCCAATCTACAAAAAATATTTTCATTTTTTTATTATCAAATTTATTGACATGGGAAAATTTATCACGATTAGAGTCAGAAATTTCGATAATGATCAATTTTCAATTTATTGCCCAGCCCTAGCTGAAAACCATTTAAATTCAGTTGAAAATGATAATAATAAGTTAATTTATGTAGCGCTTTTCAATATTCATGCATTCATATAATGCTGGTGACGGTTAACTACTACATAGGCACCAGTGACATTGGCAAGTTAGCTAAAGTGTCTTGCCCAAGGACACAGCGGAATTCAGGTAGCTGGGATTGATCCAGCAACTCTTCGATAACCACTAACCCACTGTGCCTCCTGCCGCTAAATAATTTGCCTTTCAGCCAGTCTTATGACTTCTATTGCAAAAACTTTTCCTTGTTTTTCAAACCTCAACAAGATCTTCAACATTCCTTTAAAATGGCAAATGGCCTGTATTTGAAATAGCGCCTTTTGGAGTCCTAGAACCCCCCAAGGCACTTTACAACACAGTCATTCACACACACATTCACACACCGACACATTGATATTTCCTACCGCCATGATAAAGTACAGGCATTGGTTATTTTTTAATTCAAGGCTTGTTGGAGCTGATGATTGTCAGGATTCAGTTTGAGAAGGAATTTTATTTCTGAATCTGTCAGGTTCACCTTACCTGGCCTTCCCTAATCATCCTGCTGAACAACCCCTAGCAGGCTGGAGTCTAATGATTTGATAAAACTTTGGACAACATAAAATTCCTGGGTCTTCCTAAACTTTTGTACGGTGCACCGGTGTACTTTTGTACATATTATGACTTTTTTCTTAAATTATAATAGTTCTATTGTCGATACAAAACATGTTCATAAAGTATTTTGCACAAAAGCCCTCCAACATAAGGTGATTTCAGCAGTTTTATTCTTGATAGTTTCAGTACCTTCCACGATGAGTCGTGCCAGGGTTCTGTCACTTTACAAAAGCACGCTGAAGCTGGCCACACCCACCCACACCCACTCAGGCTACTATAAGCTGAGAAGCTCAGATTTTCAGAGGAGGTCCAAATTAAGCCACTGCTCCTCCAGCAGGAGCTCTCTCTTGCACAGAGAGGTGGTTCTATGCTGATTTCCCAGTTTGTGATGTCACAAACGGAGACTTTTTGAAACATCTTGTTTTACACACATAATTCCTAAAACCAAACAATGACAGAAAATAGATGCATGTGTTTTGTTCATGTTTAATGATCTAACAAGCTAATTTTAGTAGTTTCTTTAGCAGTAACAGAGAAGTTTTGATTATTCATTTGATGGTGTAAAATTCTGAGTTTGTGTTGTGCGTCATCTGTCTGACCAGACATACAGTAACTATTAAAGGAAAGAAGCAGGCAGTCGTGACTAGAAAGTGTGTTTCAGCCAGCATGTTGCCAGGTTTGGCTCGGTTCCCTGCACGCTCTGTGATGCTTCGTGTTGTTACTGAAGCCCTCTTTAGCAGCGCCAGACCAACTCGAGCCTTTCCAGGTGCTCATGCGTTAAACAGATCAAAAAGAAAATCATAGAAATCAAGTGACGAGGAGAAAATAAGGTCTGGAAAGTCTCCAGGTCAATCAGACAAATGCAGTGATTCAAATGCACAAATAAGGAGGAAAAAGAGCTGTTTTTGCAGCATGGTTGCCACGTACACGCTGGCAACCATGCAATGTAAAGGACTAGGTTGTTTAAATCACGTCTTCTCATGATTCAGCTGGTATCTTCACTTTTTGGTCCAGATAAAGCTCAAAACTGTAAGATATTTGCCATGAAACCAGCAAACACATAACACTAACACTGTCAAGTGTGTGTGTGTTAGTCTTCTGAGCATCCATGTTTTACACACACACCATCCTCCTGTTATCAGAGGCTCCAGTGACCCACTTTTGGGGGGAATTTTTGATTTCATACAGACTTGAGTCTGAGGCTAGTTAGTCAGGGTGTGCAGCATATTCCCCTCTTTGCTTCTGACCATGTATGTCCTCATAAGTTGAATACATTTGAAAATAACCTTTAAATATTTTTCTTCTTTTTGGGATGAATAATATTGCTTTGAAGTTGTGAAATTGTCACCAAAGCACGAGTGAGATCACATTCAGATAGACTCGTTTTTATTACTTTCTTTCATTGAAATTCTAGGCTTTTTTAATCTGTCTGGCACCCGTTTTCTTCACCCTCCTTCTTTTCTCCATTTAATCATCCTCCACTGCTCTTGTTCTCTCTCCTTCTCACTACATCCCCCCCCCCCCCCCCCCCCCCCCCCCACACACACACACACACACACGTCTTCTCTCTCACCAACTGCACTTTAAAATAAAAAACAACTATCTCCCCATTCTTCCTCACCAGCGTTTGGCCAACTCCAAAGCCCATACATCACGCTTCATCAGTGCCAACCTCCCCTGCAACAAGTTCAAGAACCGGCTGGTCAACATCATGCCCTACGAGACCACACGTGTCTGTCTGCAGCCAATCAGAGGTCTGGAAGGATCCGACTACATCAACGCCAGCTTTATTGATGGATATAGGTAGGATGGATGAGATGAAGACACCTTTGGAAATGAAAGTTTCATGAAGAGGGTTTAAAGTTGTACAAACTAAAAAAAAAAACATGACTTTATTCTTAACAGGCAGCAGAAGGCCTACATTGCCACACAAGGCCCTTTAGCAGAGACTACAGAAGACTTCTGGAGAATGCTCTGGGAGAACAATTCCACTATTGTCGTCATGTTGACCAAACTTAGAGAGATGGGACGAGTAAGGCTTGGATTTACTTCCACTTTTTTTCCTCTTATCTAATGTTGAAATGAAAATGGTCAAATCTTCTTGACAATTTAAGAATTGATGACCTTGTTCACACAGGAAAAGTGTCATCAGTACTGGCCAGCAGAGCGTTCTGCCAGGTATCAGTACTTTGTGGTGGATCCTATGGCTGAGTACAACATGCCTCAGTACATCCTACGGGAGTTCAAAGTCACAGACGCAAGGGTAAGACTAACCTACATTGTTCTTTTTAAAAAGTCATTTAGCTCCAACAATCTGGCTTCTGTTAGAATACCCTTTTTTTTGTTTGTTTATCCATTCAAATTAGACTGTTGATGTCTGTAATGTTGGCTCTGGGGTATGTGAAGACCCTGATTGGGTTACAGACTGTGAAATACAGTAACTTAAAAAAATGTTCCTGCTTGACTCGATATTAGACTAAAACTAAAAGGATGCCGTGGCTTTTTAGGGGTAACATATATAACTTCTGGGTCGCTCCTGTTTACTGGCTTAGGGTCTTTAAACAACTCTGGAGCTTTTAGCCTGCCGGTGTTGAATTACAAATGTCTGCACTGCTGAATTAGCTTAGAGATTCAGCCACTTCACAAACTCACAGTGTAAACAGGAACTCCCTCTTTTGTTTTTATCAAAAGGAGGAAAACTGGCAACCCTCCAGCCTGCTGAGAAGGATATCTGTTTCAATATAGCCTTCCTTCCAACATGAGACATTAGACGATTTAGTGATTATTTTAGAGTATTTTCTTACATAATGCACCTTTAAATAAAGTCGTTCTTTTTGTTGATTAACCATAAACTTCAAATTCAATTTAATTCAGTGCCAAATCACTGCAAGTAAGCTCAAGGCACTTCACAAAGCAAACATTCCAAATTAAGGTCAATTATGCCAATTAGTTAAACGTTTCCTATTTAAGGGAGGAGAATAGATGTGTTTATTGCAAAAAATGTCTGGTTTATCCTTTCCTGATTGAACACTTTCTTTGAGTCTTTTTATGTTGCATTTTGAGTAAAATGAATACATACATTTTTAAGAAACTTCAATAACTGAAATGCCCTTCAATACCTAGTAATGTTGTAATGTCCACAGTTAACTTGGTTTCATAAATAGAAAAATAGAAAAAAATGATTTTATTTGGTTGTAATGTTGAGATTTCTGCATTAGGCGGGCTATCATGTTGGATTTAATAATAAGAGTCCGTGACCAAAGTGACTTTTATTCTGCTGACGTGTAAATCTTGTTCCATACCACCTAGATCATCCCTCCGTCTCAGCATCCTACCTCATCTTTTTTTAAGTCCCAATTAGATTTAACAGCTTGAACCAGCAGAGATGTAGCAGATAAATAAAAATGGTCCCTTGTCACAGAAACAGGCTGACTTATTCAAAGATTTCCCAGGCGATGTAGCAGGTAGCTGCAGCATCAGTCATTTTCCTGCTATCAGAAAAACATAAATCTCTGCTCTTATGCACAAACAGCACCGATCAAATTGAAAGAGTAAGTTGTGTAGCACATACACAACATGTGCACCTACCTGCACTCAGACTTATAGTTTTTAAAATAAATAACTGATGCAGAGTGCACACACAAATGTTTCATATAACTCCAAATGATGCATTTTAAATTGAACAGATACATTAAAGACGTGCATGCTTCCATGCAACTGCAACGAATCCCTCATGAAGACTGGTGAGCGCTTGTATTTCTCAAAGCAGGTTGAATCATCGGCATGCTCACCAGTAGCCAGCTGATAGTCAAATCTTATCTCAGTTACGGGAACAAAGCAGAAAGATGAAGAGGACGATAGCGCAGGAAATGATTAGACTTTAGGACGTGTGGAAGTTGTGTGCGTACTTTGTACAAGCCTCAGCCCTTTTAGTTAGTTTGTAAAGTCGGCTTGCACATAGATCAGATGCATGTTTGTGTTTTTGCATAAAAATGTGTCTGTGTGTGTCGTCACAAGCCCGTGCACAGTAATAGCACAGACTTCACGCAGTAATGCCATAGACTCTACGCCTCAACACTCACATCTAGAGAGCCAGTCACGTATTTAATCACACAATTTGACACGCCGTGTGGGCCCCCAGGTTGTGTGTTAAATTTGCCTCATTTTTTTTTTATTTAATAATTTTTTTTTCCCTCTCTGCATTTTCTTTGGCATGCTTGGTTTATTGTGTTGTTGTCTTTGCCCCTCTTTCATTTTTAATCCCCCCGCTGGAGCTAAATGTTTCTGAGAGGAACAAGAAAGACACTGAAAGAAAGAAAACATGCAATGTGTCACAGAACAGGAAAAGAAGCAGGAGTTGATAAACAGAGAGTCAGTACATGGAGCTTAACTTATCAGAATCACTGTATTTGTCAGGCGCAATAATGGAGAGGAGTGTATCATGGTGGCAGGCGGTGGTACAGAAGCGTGTTTGCTGCAGGACAATGTGCAGGCCGATTCAGTCGACAGATTAAAGATATTTCAGAGTACAGTTACCATTTACATGTTTCCTGCTGGCAGTGGAGGGCATTTACATGCACATGGCAAACATTTGAATGACCAAGTAAGTAATTTTTGTTCTTTTTCTACTTTTTCTGAACCAGAACATTTAAAGCAGTCGTAGAATTTAAAACCACATTTATCTTGAAGCTGTTGAGTATAGGCAGCTTGGAGTGTCTGATGCCCTCTTCAGCCTGCTTTCAGTGCAAATTAGTAATGTTGTAATGACCATGGTGCAAAGGTTTGTTCTCAAAAAAGCTGATTTATATGAGCTGCACCACCTGGGCGATGATGGCAGGGGAGTTAGGTGCCTGCCTCATAACCGGAGGGTTGCAGGTTCGAGCCCCATCTGTCGAAGCCGTTGTGTCCTTGGGTGGACCCTTCCACCACCACCACCAGCAGTGATCAGTGACACTAGTGCTCAACAGCCACTACCAGTGTGTGAATGTGTGTGTGTGCATGGGTGAATAACTGATTGTGTTGTAAAGCATCTTGGGGGGTTATACAAAGTACAGGTCATGTACCCCACATTTGCATGTCCCAAACCATTTCAGTGTCAGCAATATATAAATGTTTGCTAACCGCAGAACAATGCTAGCCCAAGCTGCTGCAAACACTAGCCTGAGCTACTGCTAACATCCTTGTTTGACAAGAAGAAAACAACATTGAAAAATGTTGGAACACCGCTCAAGTTCCAGGATGTACTGGGAATATCCAGACTCTGGGCAGGGTTTTTGTTGTAGAGTTATGTTTGGCTCCTGGGTTCTTGTGAGCCCCAACAAATCAAAACTGCTCAAAGAGCCGTTTGCAATAGTAGAAAGTACACATTTAAAGGTGTGGAACTCTGAAAAACAACTCTTTACACAATTGTTTCTGATTATAATGAGCCACTTAGTGGGAGTTTTTCATGCAGGCTGAACATGAAAATAGTCTCCTACACCTATCTCCTGCATTAGCTTCTGATAGAAAATAGACTATTAGAAAAGCCTGACAGATCTACGTCATACTGGCACTTAACACTAATGGTCTCACCCATTTTGACTCATGACTGGGAAGGCTGTTGTTGGTTTAGTGTCCAAGAAACAGAAGAGACCATCTCAGCTGGTAAAAGATAACTGTTAGTATTAGAAATTTCACCACACAGCAGAACTCCTTCAGGCTTGAGTTATTTGTGGGGATAAAACATAATTGTTGCTGAGCAAATGGAGTCAGTAGTAGAGTCACATTGCTGATAGCCAATCAGAGGTGAGATGTTCTAATTTAGCATTCTGCAAACTCCTGAAACAAGTGCGAAACAACATGCAAGGCATTTATTCTTACTAGAGACACCTGCAAATTGGTAAAACGAGTGTCCCGTGCCTTTAAGAGTGGATCTGTGCATGCCTATTTTAATTTGCCTACATAGGGGTTTGAATAATTCCATTTCTTGATCCTGTAACACATTTCTTCATTCCCTATCAGCAATCAGCTAAAATCTCATTCTCCAAGTGAATGTTTAACCTATTGTGCAACACTGGTGTGCTTGACTGGACAGACATTGAAAGTGACATCTCATATCTAAAGAGCAGTATGTTGTGCAGAGAGGTGAGAAACAGCCATAGAAAAGAATCACCTGGTTGTCTTAATTACCGGTGGCATCAAGCAGAGAGGCTGTGTGCACAAAACTGCTTGTCTCTGCTGACTTTCTTGGCTAATTTGTTCTCTCTGTGACAACTTGAAAATAACTTTTGGTGCAAGGACACAAGTATCGACTGTGCTCCCTCCGACTGTATAATAAGCTCGCACAAAATAATGCACATAGCTCCCCCTCGTCACCCACTCCAATGTGAACGTTGATATTCTTTAAGTTTTTGTTTGCATGGAAAAGCTGTTTCTGCTGGCTCACCATTAAAAACAAATTATAAGACTCAGTTTGAGATAAAGTTGTTGAGATTGTCATTTTTTTAGCGCATGTGTGATTGTTTTTATTGTCCACCCCTCCTCCTCCTGCACTGCGCCTAGCTCTGCTCGTCCATCAGGCTGCGTTATCGATTGCAGCACAGGCTTATCCTATTCAACATGGCACCTCGGGGAAGGCTTGTCGTGGCAGATACACTATTGATTAGTTTACCAGAACCCACTTTTGACACACACACACACACACACACACACACACACACACATATATATATATATATATATATATATATATATATATATATATATATACAGCAGAGGAGAAAATGGAAACAGTCTTGTTGGAGGTGGAAGGAGGAAACTAAACACAGCATATTTTTAAAACTGATTAGAAGATTTTAATGGTGCATTTTCTTCTAACTTATCCGTATTATACTTTTCTGTCATTTGTAGGACGGCCAGTCAAGGACAGTGAGACAGTTCCAGTTCACTGATTGGCCGGAGCAAGGTGTGCCCAAATCTGGGGAGGGTTTCATCGACTTTATTGGCCAGGTCCATAAAACCAAGGAGCAGTTTGGACAGGATGGACCCATCTCTGTCCACTGCAGGTGAGTTGTCTGCACTTCTTTTTAAAAATGAAAAGAGGAGTAGAATGTGCTTCTTCTTTTACTTCTGCCTCCCAGTCAGCTTTAAAGACTGTTCTTATTAAGAGGTGTACAGGTTCAGGTATAGAGGCCAGATTACCGTAAATCCTCTAATACATGCCCGGGCCTTTATTTGGTCAAGCACAACCCGGTTCAGGTTTTTATTGAAAGGAGGCCAGAATTAGAGGCAGACCTCAATTTCAATTTGAGAAAAATAAACTACCAGTAGAATGAATGAAAACAGGATTTTGTGTCTAATTGAATCTATAAAACACTAGGTTCGTATATTGAAAAATGCACAGTTAACGTTGTACGTACGTATACATATAGAACATTTACAACAAACACCATTGTTTCAGGCTAAACCCCAGTGTGGTGGCAGACATAGCAAACATTCCGGTAGCGCATTGTAAACACTTGGTGATAATTAGGTTATGGATTCACAACAAAAGGCAACAGACAACTTACCGCTCCAAGGTTTAACCATTCATGTCACGTTTGGTTTGACTGTTTAATCCTCATCCTTATCCTCCGCAGTTCCACGTTACAACACTGAGCTAACTGCTAAAAACATTAGCACGCTGCAAGCTACTTACGTGAAGACAGTATCAACCTGTTTACCTGCTGTTGTTGTAGCTGCGTTTCTAAGCTGTTCAATAAAACGGCATAAAAAACCCTTTAGCAAACCCTTACCTGTGATGAAGTGGTCACTGTAAACTGTAGCATTTTCCGTTCTATTTCTGCTCATCTTGCAGCCGGAGATTATGATCCACTAATCCGTCTTCGTTCAGTAAGTTTCAGTAAGTCCTTTGTGGCGCACTACTTTCAGGACACGGGGGAAAAAAACGCTTGTTTTTGTCTCGATCGCACGGAATTTGGACATTTTTACACCCAGTCAACAAAGTAAATAAAGCTTGGGGCGCACCGTAGGCGGAAGCGTTGCACCGCGTCGTGCGGCGATTCTGGAGAATCAAGCGGTCACACAGCACGTGCCACACCACTGAGCGCTTCTTGGAAAGTCGTGCGATAGTCACAACATCACGCGGGACTTGAGAGCAGGAAGCGACTCTATTGTTTACACGTAATCAGAATTGCCGTCATGTTTTGTGAGACTCTAATTCATTAACAGTGGGTAAGTGTGCTATTTATTAAAATATTTTAAGATCAAAAGTACTTTAAAGTTATCAAAACTGCGGCTGGGTTTGTGCCGTTAAAGCCGGCCACAAATCCCAAATGAGCTAAAACGCAAGAAGCGTGGATGCAGAGCGGGAGCAAAACGGAGACAGAGACAGAGGAAATTTAAACCATCTCTTCCATCGATCATAATGGGCAATGTGAGATCGCTGGCCAACAAGATGGAGGAACTCCAAGCCCTTTCAAGGACTCAGCCAGAGTTTCGGCAGTTTCGGAACCGCTGGAGGAGATAATGCAAAGAAGGATTCTCCAGAGAATCAAGAAAATGATGGACAACCCTGAGCATTCTCTTCACAAGACTGTCTGACAACGGAAGAGTGTCTTCAGTCAGAGGCTTCTTCAGTTTGGCTGCAACACTGACCGCTACTGGAGATCCTTCCTGCCAACAGCCATTGTAATATACAACAACTCTTTGATGACTTGATTATTATTATTATTCTGAGCAATCAATTTCCCTCTGGGATTAATAAAGTATTTTTGAATTGAATTGAATTGTATTGGAAACGGGCCTTTATTTACCCCCGCTGACAGCGAGACCGGCTAATGTAGGCGACCCGGCCGGTATGGCCAATATTAGAGGATTTACGGTAAAACGGTTGTGGTGTTTGCTGCAAACTTGACTCCTCCTCTCCTTTCTTTTACCCTTCTTTGCACCACAAACCCATCTCCTGCATAATTAATAAGGCTCAGATGTGGCTTGACATTTCCGAAGAACAGACCTATGAAGTGATACGACCTTTTTTTTTGCTTTTATGATCACTTCTTGATGCGTTTTATGACTTTTGGTGCAGCTCCCAAGGTAACTCACATCATCAACCTGGCATCGTGGTTGAAGGCTGCAATTTGTACTTGCTCCTCACTCAGTGCTCAGATTCCATGCCAATAAGATGTAATCCTCTGTAGCATCACAAAAGACAATGTTGATGCCTCCGGTCCTTCATGAGCGGCATTAACACAAATAAAGGTGATGTGAAGAAACTAAGGTCTCATTAATTCATGATTGACACTCAGAAAATTTAAAAAAAGGTACAGCTGTTCTTTTGGAAGAAAACGTACACTCAGTCATGTCTTCACTTCACATTTCCATCACACAGGGACCATGACGTTCTCCAACATGGTTTTAAGAAGAAGAATGATGTCACCGACTAAAAAAATGGCCCTCTGGGAGTTGTAATGTGCGTCGGGGTAATTCCAATAAGAGTTATTTTACTCATCTGTGAGATCATAAGGTGGTGTCGTAATGCGGCTTCCTTATCGCAGGACTGAAGTAACGAACACAAAGACTTTCAGACTTGGTTTAATATTCGAGGGGTGGAAGGTCAAATCCTGGAAAAATGTTCTTTTCTAAGCTACCAGAGTCAACTAAACACACTTGATGCTCAAATCTAATGTCATTTATTAGCAACGCTCTGCTAGCCCAATGTTGGACCACATTTTACCTTCAGAAATCACTTGGTTCCTTGTAAATTCAACAAGGTTTTTCAATTTTCTTTAGAAATTTTGGTCATTTTGACATGATGCTTTCACGTCTGTGTAGACACCAGTGATCCCAGTAAATACGCAGTTTCTGGTTTAGTCAAACCAGTCCTTCAGGTACTAACATTCAACGTCACTATTGATCTTCAACAAGTGTGATTAGCTAAGCGGCGTACCTGATTAAGTGGTGGATGAGCATACATCAGTGGCTCAAGCAAGCGAAGTGCAGGAATTAGTTCGATGACCATCATGTAGATCCCACCATGCTCAGATCTGAGGGCAGTAGTATGTGTTGCTTGTTTTATTCTCTAGCTGAAGAGCTACCTCCTCCTCTTATTTTTTTGGGGGGTTTTGTTATCTCAAAGAAGAGAGCTTATGTCTTCCCTTACTTCTTCGTTTTCTATCACCAGACTTTCCTGACTGTCATCTGCCTATTCCTTAATCCTCTGCCCCCCCACCCCCACCCCCACCCCCACCCCCCCCTCCAGCCTCCTCATCCATCCATGCTCACAAACCTCTTTTCTCGCACCACCCCTCCTCCTCTCCTTTCTACGGCCTCTATCTAATATGCCCACATGCTTTGTGTCATTAATTGCATGATTACTTCCTGCGAATGGGGACATGAAATCCTCTCAGTCTGCAGTGGCTCGCCGAGCTTTAAGATTTGGATCTGGAGTGAAGGAGGCTGAAAAGAGAAAGAGGAGCTACGAATGAGTTTAAGGGCCCACACTGAGCTGAGAGCGACTCCCAGGAAGTGGCTTTGGGTGGGCTGAGAGTTAGTGTTGCATGCTGGAGGTGATAGTATGTTCTACATGATTAGACTACAGTGTTTGTTATCATTGAAATTTAGTCAAACTGTGTGAGCCATCTTTGTCCGGTGCACTCACACACACACACACACACACACGCACACACACACACACACACACACACTTGGCAGTTTATATAAGGGAAACGTGTCTGCAGCCATCACTTTCACTCCGTATTCAACAAAGTGGCATCAGAGGCTGCAGGAAGCTCATATAAATCTGTTGTCACATCAATTATTGTTCCATTGGTGATGTGGAAGTCATTTCACAGTAAAGCAGCTTAGAGAAGCAACTCCCAAGTATTTCAGGATCTGAGTTAAGACTCAGACCATTTCTGGAGAGCAGCAGCAGGATAAGAGTGGGTTTTTTTTGGCACATGGAAGGAGTGTGTGTGTGTGTGTGTGTGTGTGTGTGTGTGTGTGTGTGTGTGTGTGTGTGTGTGTGTGTGTGTGTGTGTGTGTGTGTGTATGAGTGTGTGAGTGTGTGTTTGTTCATGTGTGTGTGTGTTCATATTTGAGTGGATTCACAGGGTTCCTACATGCCAGTTGTCTCCCTGCTCCCTGCTGTAGTTGTTACTTTGCAACAGAATTTCTGACCATGGAATTTTGGTTCTTCCGAGTCATCACAGGTGCACAGTTATCACAACTAAATCCTGCTGACAACAGAGCATGTGTTTCAAGAGAAATGTTGGTATGAAGTCATTCTGCAGGATAGTAAAAGGATGCAAGGGAACGGACAAGGTGTCTTAGTACAGGGAAACATTTTCTGCTGTGTGTATGTGTGCGTACGTGCACGTGTGTGAGCACGCGCAGAGGATTTATGTTCTTTTATTTTTCCAGCGCTGGAGTGGGAAGGACAGGAGTCTTCATCACTCTCAGCATCGTCCTGGAGAGGATGCGTTATGAAGGCGTGGTTGACATCTTCCAAACAGTGAAGATGCTGCGGACACAGAGGCCAGCTATGGTTCAGACTGAGGTCAGAAACCTCATAAAATTAACAAAAGTTCACAACTTTCTGCATTATTTGCTTATCAATATTTACTCACCAGTTTTTTCCACATGTGTGCTGCAGGACGAGTACCAATTCTGCTACCACGCAGCTCTGGAGTACTTAGGAAGCTTTGATCACTATGCAACGTAAAAAGCCATCTCTTCTCCCAGAATCCTGGTGCCCTCGCCCCTCACCCAACTCAACGGTTTCCTGAGCCATAGAAACTTTGATATCTGAAACGACAGCAGCAGCAGTCGACCACCCTCCCCACTGCTAATTCAGACACACCAAACAGGATCCTGTGAATCTTTCCAACAATCGCGTCACCCAAAACAACCAGTTCAGCAAAATTCCAATTGAGCTGCAAAAAACAGGAGAAAAATGACCATAATCCCAACAAATGAAGATTCTCGGCTGACGGGGAATCAGGAGCTGTGGCTGGAGCTATGGGGCCGGGTCATCGATCCAAGAGTCAGACTGCTTACCTTACCTCAAGTGTTTCTGTGTGGAGGACGTTGTAAAAACCCGTGGACGTTTCTCTCAAAAAATAAAAAAGAAACAAATCTTTCCGATACATCAGTGGCAAGGTAATGAAGGAGAAGGAAAGCAAAAGAAACAAATAAAGAAAAAATCAATGAGAAGCAGATGGATGTAGCCAAGACTGGGGAAACACGCTTGTTTTGGATGTAAAAATGGTTCAAGTATTTCTATCAACTATTTTTGTGAGTGTTATCCAGAGAAATGGCCAAGTTGCAGCCACCTATGTAAACACAAATGGCTTTTTCCCCCTCCCAAAGTCTGATCTTTCACACGCCGGCGGAACAAGGGAGCTCATGCAGCAGAAAAACGGCCATTCTTGTTTAAGTGTGCAGTTTGTGTGGAAAAATTCTCAAAAGTCACAGTAAACGTTTAAGTACCAGGAGCTTTAAAAGGGCAATGGTTCTCCAAACAGAAATCACAGCACATACGATCAAATTTGTTCGTTTTTTGAATCGCAACGGTGCACAAAATCTGTAATAGGCCAGGTAACAGCGTAACGGCTGTGCCACGCTTCGGCGAGCAGATGAGTGAAGAAAACCACGTCTTTGTCTTGGCGTCCTGCTCGATGACCAAGCGGAGAGACGAAGACGATGATTCATGTTTTTATTTTTATTTTAATAATCACTTCTCCCTTTGGAACGCTGCAGGATTACGGTCAACAATCCGTCAGGTGAGGAAAACGGCTTTTTGGAACAAATGGATCAACCAAACAGCGAAAGCTGGGGCTTTCTTTGTGTACAGTGCCCACCCTTCATCATCATCATCATCATCTGCATTTTTTTTCTCCGTTAAAAACCAAACATGCTGCTTATCTCTTGTATGCGGTGCATGTGACTCTTGAACGAGAGGAAACTGATGAACATGCCAGCTCCGCTAACTCCTTGCGCCCAGGCGGGCGTAACAGAAAGTGCATCCACACAACGCTACGGTCCACCGCTGCTTCTTTTTTTTCTTTTCGTCTAATTTCCTTGGCCTCCTCTATAATCATCTATATAATTGTACAAGACACTCAAAAGTGGCAAAGGCCTTTTTGCAGTTACAGAGTTGTACATTGATGTGGTTGACAAATCTGCCCTGAGTTTCACCGTCTGTGTTTGGTAACTGGTCGATTAACAAACTAGACACTTTGGTGTTTGGCCTCCGTTTTCTAGACGATGTTTTCTGTGGGTGAAAACAACCAGAGTGAGTAGCCATGTTGGAGATCGATGCCACGACGAGTTCATGAATTTTGTCAATTTCTTGCAAATCCCTGAGGCAGAACAGATAATCGACTTGCATCAACTCCCACCCCACCCCAGAGCAGCTGCAGGTTATCTTGTTAATGTGTCTGATTTAAAAAGAACAACAAGACAAAAGCTTTTTCAAATTCCCAAGATTTTGTTTCCAGGACAGCGCTTTGGTACGAGTGAGCGTCTGGATTCTGCGAAGGTTCACAGCGGACGTGCACAAAAAAACTGAGCGATGGACATAACTGTGTGTGATCTTTTCTTATTTCCAAAAAAGCCTTATTGTTATTGTAACATTATGAAAACATTAATGTTGTAATATGATGACTTATACTACATGACATAGTTGTTGTTTTTTTATTTCCTTTCGTTTTTAACAGAGATGTGTTTGTCACATTTTTTTAATTAGCAGGAAACAGAGATGCTTGTATGTTCAGATTATGTTGAAAGACATTCTATTTTTTCACTGTAGAAATGTTAGTTATAACGTGTGTGTGTGTGCGTACCCGTGCATACGGCACACTCGCACATGCATATATATTTAAATGCAAAATTTGAAGATATATCCAAACTCCTAGTTACATTCTTTCATCTTGTTATTATTTTTTATAAATACATGTCGAACCTAACACTTGGAAACATGATGAGTTTTCATTACTTTGACTTTTGCTTTATTGTTTTTTTAAACATTGTGTAATCCTGGAGATTCTGTGTGTCTTTGGCATAAAGTCACGTGAACTTTTGCCTCCTTTCATCAATTTAAACCTCTACCTGTTGGGTAGAACCTGTGCCGATGAAGAGATGCTCTCGAAAAAACTTTAATTTTTTTTTGTCATTAACTTTTTAGCATTTTTTTTAAATCTAAAACCATCAATCAAAACTCATAACTGACCGTGTTTTGTTCTGTGTATCAGGCGCTGGCATATTGTATGAATATGTACAGACAACGAGCCTCACAATCGTAAAAGAAAATCACTTTTTTTACTTATATTTTCAGACATAATGTTGCCATTAATTTTATTAGACATCCATATGATCTAGAGTATACGTGTAAATAAAAATATATAGAATATATGTATCACTTGACCCTGGAGATCTCATACTTTTAAGCAGAGACACAAATGCACAGACGGAGATTTTCATCATACCCAGTTTCTTTGGTGTTTGTGGAGTCTGTTTTTCTCAGACCTTTTTTCTCTTAGCTCTGCTCCCTGGTCTTTAATTACCTCTCACTTTTTTCCCTGCCTTTAATTTCCCCTGCTAGTAGTCGAACTGGGAAACATGCCAGCTTCTGTTCCCACAGCCATACCCCAAACAGGGGCACAAAAATCCGGATCAGTGATCCGCCGGTTGAATTTCGCCCAAGCAGAGATATCTGTCCACTCCACCCTCTAACCTTTTAAATCAGCAGTTATTCTTCGTGTGGACAGAAGTAATTAGAGGGGATCCGGAAAACGGATTGTGTTCAATTATTTAGACACAAAAAGTCAAAGAAAAGATAAATGGATTCTTGTTGATTCTTCTTTTCTCAAAGGTGTTGAATTTTTAACAGTTTCATACGAATCCCCAAACGATCTCCAGCAGTCCAGATACCTTAAATGCCGAGGTGTTAAAACATAAATGCGTCATTAGCTGGAATACAGCTGTGCTAAAAGGCCAAACATACTCCACTCGCAGCAACATGTTGACCTTTTTTGTCGTCCCTGGTGGATTCTTTTCACCGAGGTGTTTTTGTTTGTTCATGTTTCATTATGGGATGCAGAAAGACATCGGGACTCCGTGAACAAAAGCAACACGATGAAACAAAACGCCAGAACGAGACAACCAAAAACTTGCTGCAGATTCTTATTTAGATGTTTCCTAATGAGTTGAAGTCTTCTGTTATTCAAGGAGACTGGTGAACTGGCCCGTTGCTCCACGCTAGTGCAATGTGTTGATCTTATGATGTTTATTTTTGGTTTGGTTTTTATGTTAGAGCCACTAAATTTATTGGAATATGTCGCTAAATATTGTGGGGGGAGAATGACAAAAAGGATAACACAGAAAAATAAATCATGTCAAAATAACAGAAAAGTGTTACGAGACATAGCGACACAACGAGAAGAACCCGAACTCTGTAAAACCATTTTCCTTTGTATGAGGGCCAAGTGCTACCACTTTCAAACTGTTACATCGAACTGAAACAATAATTGGTTTAAAGCCACTGTGTATGTAGATATGTTGACTTTGTATTAAAGAAATGTTGTCTGAAAACTTTTTTGCATGGGATTTTTTTTCTGTCTGTATAATCTGTCACATTTGATTCCCATCCATCTGTTTCTATCGCCCATGCTTATCTGGGGTCGGGTCGCAGGGGCAGCAGCTTACAAGTGATAGTGTGTATTTTTCCTGTCGATAGGGGGCAATGACGCAGTATTTTTGTGTTGGAGTAAGACTGTACCAACGGATGCCCATTAGGGTCAAAAAGTCCTGGGGAAAAATGACAAGCACATCAGACTCCTTTCATCACTGTCAACGAGTGAAGAGGTAAATGTGTAAAACAACAACATTTAAAAATGTGTCACGAACAGAACTCCAAAGGACCCGTAATGTTCCCAGCAGACCCTCACTATGCGTTTGGGTCTGCCAGGTCTACGCGGCATCTTCCCCTGCCGTCTGATCCAACTCACCACCAGGTGGTGATCAGTTGACAGCTCCGCTCCTCTCTTCACTCGGGTGTCGAAAACACACGGCCGCAGGTCAGATGATACGACTACAAAGTCTATCATCCACCTGCGACCTAGGCTAGACTGGTGCTAAGTGTACCAATGGGCATCCTTATGTTCGAACATGGTGTTCGTTGTGGCCAAACTGTGGCTTGCACAGAAGTCCAATAACGAAACACCACTCGAGTTCAGATCAGGCGGGCCGTTCCTCCCAATCACAACCCTCCAGGTCAAGCTGTCATTGCCCACGTGAGCATTGAATTCCCCCAGCAGGACAATGGAGTCCCCTGATGGAGCACTATCTAGCACTCGCCCCAGGGACTCCAAAAAGGGTGGGTACTCTGAACTGATATTTGGCCCATAAGCATAAACAACAGTCAGGACCTGTTCCCCGACCCGAAGGCACAGGGAAGCTACCCTCTCGTCTCCCGGGATAAACCCCAACACACAGGCAGAGTCTTGGGGCTAACAAAAGCCAACCCCAGCCCTCCGCCTCTCACCCGGAGCAACTCCAGCAAAGGAGAGTGTCCAAACCCTCTCAGGGACTTGGGTTCCAGAGCCAATGCTATGTGTCGAGGTGAGTCCGACTCTATCTAGCCGGTACCGCTCAACCTCCTGCTCCTTCCCCACCAGCGAGGTGACGTTCCATGTCCTAAAAACCAGTTTCGTTGTCTGGGGATCGGACCGCCAAGGCTCCCGCCTCGGTCTGCCACCCGATCCACACTGCACCGGACCCTTCATGTTCCTCTTGCAGGTGGTGGGTCCACAGTTGGATGAGCCCATGTATCCGGTTCGGGCTTGGCCCGGCCAGGCCCTATGGGCGAAAGCCCGGCCACCAGGCGCTCGCTCACGGACCCCAACCCCAGGCCTGGCTCCAGGGCGGGACCCCGGTAACCCTCCGGGGCCGGGTACTCCGACTCTTTGATTGTATATCCATGAAAGATCCTCTGAACCGTTCTTTGTCTCACCCTTCACCTAAGACCAATTTGTCATGGGAGACCCTACCAGGGGCACAAAGTGCCCCAGACAACATAGCTCCTAGGATCATTTGGGCACTCAAACTCCTCCACCACGATAAGGTGACGGTTCAAGGAGTCTTGTATTTTTCTGTATTATAATCACAGTCTACTTCATCTGTAAATTTGATAATTGGCTATCTGTAAAAAGCTTATTTGGAGAAAGAAAATTAGTTATTGTTTTGGAATAATAGTCATTTTTCAACTGTTTATTGTGGACTAAGAAGGGACCACCAAGACTGTTTTTTCACCAGCCGCCACTGCTCCTCCAAATAGTTTTTTGTGTTTAAAAACACTAAGCTTCCTACAGGTTACCCATCTGTTAATATAATAATATGGTACCATTTAAAAAATGTGATATTTAATCACATCTTCTTTGTATACTACCCAACAGATTGGAACTTGCACTGAGAGGAATCAAAAATCAGAGCCACGGGACAAGTGATGAAACGAACAGATGGTGAATTATTTTGTTGAGAGACGGCTTGATTAGCTTTCCTCCTATATTTATCCACCAACCTCTTCACAAACATCCTGGTGTGTCCTTAAGCCCCTCTTGAAGCTCGATAAATGCCACCCAGGCAGGCTGATATTGGTGCAGAGGTAAACCCTCACCTGGTGGTATTTGCTCTCTCGTCTGTTCTCAAGAGAGGGTCTTCAAATAGCTGCTAACATTAAAGTAAAAGGTCTGAAACGTATAGGTGTCTCTGCCAAACCTTTGCCTTCTGCAGGATTGTTATTGTTCCTATAATCTGCAAATGAAAGTATGACGTTTCAGGGAAAAATATGCAATCTGATTTATTGCAACCTTTAAACAAATAAGCATACATTTTAATAAGTGGCACTGCTCTCATTTTCATTTTGTCTCCTCTTTTTGGAATGAAATGCATAAATTGTCATGGAGGAATTAAACCTGGCACATCATGAAGATCATTCACTTTAAAGACAAAGTTTCTTGAGAATTAACTAATTACTTGTTATTCATTTTTTTAGATTATCAGTCAAAGTTGGCGCTGAATGTCGCTGAAAGCTGCACAAGCCTGGGCTATCTTGGCAGTGTGGTCAGGGAAGGCAGAGACCATATTGCGTATCTGTATTTGTCGCAGCTCCCTGGCTTTCTGAAGAATCTTGGCAGAGTCCACATAGTAATGTAACCAGATGATCATGGTGTGGCGTCCCCCGGCGGCAGGTCTTGGAGCCAACAACTGATAACATCTGTCCACCAGCGGTTCCTTCTCAAGATGAAATGCCTCCATAAGGAGTTAAAGCGTTGTCCTCCGGCACCCCAACGATGTGTATGTTATTACAGCCTCCTCACCCTTGTTCCCCAACGCAACCATCTTCTTTGACATGGCATCCATCTTAACTTGGAGATGAACTAAATCAACCGTACATGTGGAAAGAGACCGCTCCATTTCTGTTACTTTGCTTTTAAGTCTGCCTGTAGAAGACTGAAATATCCAAGGACAGGTCCGTTTTCAGCGCCTGTATGTCAGACCTGATAGACCAGATAGACCGCTCCCTTCTGAACATTAATGAAATTCTCCCACAAATCTCAGCCTTCATGGAACAGTCCATTCAAACAGACGGTGAGTCAGATAATCCAGGTTGGGGTGTGGTCACACCACGAGGTGGGGATGTGGTCATAGTAGGCCGCGAGGTGAACTGAGACTGTGACATCATTAATGACCGAAGCAGAGCCAAACATGTTCCAGAAGCACAAAAAAATCATAAAGTGTGCCTAAAAACATCAAATAACTCTTAGACTCTTTAGGAAATGTGATCAATGTGACCTACACCATCTTGTGCCAAACAGACCTCTACAAATGTGTCAAAAAAAACAAGTGAACTTGGTCTTTAAGATGTGAAACAAAGCGTTCTTTCCCCTTGTGTCTTTTTTGAAAGGGTTAAAAACAGTTTTGTCTTTCTCATTTGAATTGTGGGTAAACTAAACTGCAGCCATTTCAATCCCTTTATAAGATATAAATGTAGGCCAGGAGCAATTAGGACTGAGAGACCAAATTAGAAAGCTAATTATAGACCTTGTTTAACTTATTTCCAGGTCTCAGATGAGTGAAAATGTGTTACCCAGTTAATCAGTCTTTCCTTGTAATGTTAATACTTTGTGATCATCTAGATTAACTCGAACAACAGTTTGACACACCGTCTCTGAGATCCAAGTCTTCTCTCTGCTGGCTCCTGTACATTCTGGTATTTACTCCTAGTTCAGTGGCAAATGTACTAGACTGCTGCCACCTCAGTCTACCATTTTTCTGGGAAGTAGCTTTGGGATTGTCATTTTTCAAAGAGCAATATACGTACAATGACACCCTATTTCAAGGAAGACGTTGCTAATTGTCTGCTCAGAGAGATGTTTTAGTCCATTCTGTTGTAATAGTGGCGAGCCAGCAGACCGAGGGCGAGGGTAGGCGAGGAAGTGAATTAGGGCGGCGATTATGCAGTGATTCAGACAGCAGCTCATTAGGACCCAGCTAAGCAAGCAATCAAAGAATCGATGTGACAGTGGACCCAAAAGCCACAGAAATTTGTAATAAATGGCAAAGCGATAAATTGGATTATCCACCGCCCCGTGGCCAAGCTCTTTCCTTTTGCAAATGACAAATCAATCCAATCACGCTATGAGAAGAAAAAAAAGCCAAAGAACCAGAAAGCGGGCCTTGTGCTGCACCGGCTGGGGAGGTTACCCGTCTGAGAAATGTGTCTTGTTAAGAGTGGAGCCTTTCCTGAGGTTATTTTCTGTATGATATTCAAGGCTCTAAAATATTCATGACAGCCCATTAGATGTTTATGACTGCCATTTATAAGAGGAGATTTACAGACATCTGGACCACAGCCAGAACCGTAAACGTGTCAGAGGGCTTCTGTGTCACGTGTTTACTGATACGCCATGAATGCAGAAGATCTGCTCGGATGATGTACACCCATGGCCGTAGATCACTGATAAATAAAACGTGCAGAAAGCAGGATCTCCTCCTGTTCTGAATGGTGGATCTGGACCATGAGTCTGAGGAATTCCTGTTTGTTACTGTTCATAACGGGAGTGCACGATGAAAATGGAGGAGTAGATGGTTCATAAACAGAAGACACGGTTCTAACATGCTGGTTAGTATTCTCTAAAAATATGTAAAAACAATTTCCCCTAAATACTGGACCTCTTTGGAGAACTGTGACATGACGTTGCTGCCATCTGCAGGACGTCATGTGGACTTCCATCTCTGTGATGACAACAGAACAAGTAATTCAGGGATTAACGTGGATGATTTATTGAAATGCTTTGTCTTCTCCAGGGGCTCTTGCATTCCCTATGCTAATCAGACCATTATGAGATCATCTCAGTGATGCTGAACAGCAGCGCCGCATCTATGCAAGCGTACCAAATCTGCACATTTAGACAAATACGATCTTTTTTCTCACTAAGTTAAATGAAAAGACATTGAACTGTGAGATTATGTAATATATAAAACAAACCAGATCTGTGCTGTGGAGTGCATGTTTGAGCATTTGTCAGCAG